GTGTTTTTACTTGCTCATCTGAAAGAAAGCATTGTTATGCGTGTCTCTGTTAAGCACTAGTGGTTCACAGAAGAGGAGATATTAGTAGAAAATTCTGGAGCTAAACAGATGAGCCATGTTGCCTAATGCACAGCTTTTGGCAGCCTAATGTTTGTTGAGGACAGAGCACAAAACACCTAACAGGTGTATGAATTAAGAAAGACCTTCAGGCTTTATCTGACCCTTAACATCTGGTGGTGTGTTTGTCACATTTATTTGAACAGGAATCAGAGTAAAAGTTCATGAGCTGTGTGAATGATCAGTTTGCTGAAGTTGGTATCAGTTGTGCTCGTCAGGTTTCCAGCAAAACATTTTAACATTTTGCTTAAGCAGAGGATCAGAATACAAATTGAAGAAAATAAAAAAGATTTTAACAAAGAAACAATACCAAGTTTACTTAACATTTTACATTGAACAAAACAAATCATTTGAGACTATTTCCTTTTTTACTCTGTTTTTATTCCAGTACAAAAAAATGGCTTCCACTAATCTTCCTACACTGGGAGAAATTTCATTTCAATATAATTCTATATTACAGAATTTTATTGTTCCACCCACTTTATTGTTAACCTCAGACTTTTAAATGACAGATGAAGTCTTAAGCTGTCTTCAGAAAAGATTTTTCCTTTTAGATACAGACAATCCCTGATAACCGACAAGTAGAAATAAAAGATTTAGGGAGAACAGAATAAACATCTTCCAACTCTAATCTGAGCAAAGCAAACTGTACATATTTATTTTGCTGTTTGTTAAGTGGCAGTTTGTCAAATATACTTCCTTTTATTTAATTTTTCACTACTGGACTGTCCCAAGATAAGATGGTAGTGACATGCACAAATGTTTGGTCATGTTCAGGAGGAAACAGACCTTTTCCTAGGAAAGGTTCTGTCATTGTTCTCAATTAATATGCACAAAATAGTTTTAATGAAAACCATATTTAATTATCACAACAAGTAACTAAGTTTGTCAGTCACCCTCTAAACACTAAAAGTACCCCTACAAATGCCAAAGAGGCACTGTCAGCTTTTCGTCAGAGAAAAATATTGTTTTGTAGCACTGTGAATACATTTAGTCATTAGTTATTAGTTATTTGTTGCTTTTTCTACCTACATTCAATTTGTAAACATATCTCGGAAAACTCTTCTCTTTACTTGATGGTCAGGACCAAAAGCAGAGCTGTCCAATCTCTGTCCAGGATGTCAAGTGTGTCTGCAGATTTTCATTCCAACTCATCATCTAACTAGCTAAACCAGCTGCTTATTTGCTTAATTGGACCACAAGAATTTCACCCAACCGTTTTGCTTTAAAGAGACATAAAATAATTACACAAAATCCAGCCATCTAGGTCCAAAAATGGACACCCCTGGCATAAGATTTTAACAAAAGGCTTGTATCATACAAATTTGCTTCTAAATTACTGTATATTTCCTGCCAGTTTTGATAAACCTGTTACTTTTTGCTATCTGAAATGGTAATAATAAAGGTCACATACAAATATGTAAAAAGAATATGAAACAACTGAGACATATTGTAAATTATCAAGATACCGAGCTTAAGATAAACCCTTCCTTTATTGTACAATTATGGAATCACATGAAATATATGTGATATAGTAAATTGAAACATTTTCAATTTTTTTGCAGTGAATAGAAAGAACCGTACACATAAAATGCATCAGCAACACAAGCTTAGAAATGCATCATAATTATAAAAAATACACTTCAGAAAAAGATACATTTATGCATGTAATGTGTGTAGTTGCAAAGAAGAGAAAAAGACAAGGTTAAGTAAACAGTTCTAATTGCATTCCCAGAGGCAAAGTCCTGCAATGTTGCAGTGTTGCAATATGGTGATTTTTGACCTTTCAAACTAAGCCATGTACTCTGTCACACCTGCACACACAGAAACAGATCCCTGGGATATTTGTGGCTTTTTTGCTGCTATTTACCAATAACGACAAGCCAAGAAATACTGGATGTTTTACTCACAGTGATGTTTTAAAGCTGTAATTATTTTTATATATATTTTTTTTATTTTATCTACATATTTTCCAGATTATATGTTTTGCTTAGTATGTATATTACTAATCAACCACATGCTATAGTAATGAGTAAAATTGTATGGCACACATTGTTTTACAGATGTATGAACCATGCTTCTCTGATAAATAGAATCCTTGTTGTCACGATTATGTATTTTTTACCATTTTATTTTTATGTACACTGATGATATGTTCCTTGTCCTGAACATACATTTAAGCTGTGGTATATTCATTGATAGAAAATGACATCATTTCTCTTTTGGTCTGGGATCACAAAATATTAACAATTCAAAACATAAAACAACAAGAAAGTCTTTGTATTGTAATGACCTTAAATTGTAGCAGACTTTTTGATTTTTTTTACTGCTTGCTTCTAAAATTCTCATTTTTTAAATAACATGATTAATTACACATTTTTAATAATTATGTATTTTTTTATTATTTGTGCCATTACCGGTTATTTCATCTGCATCTTGTTTCCTTTTCCTTTAATTCTGTATTACTTTGAAATATTGTGATGTAGGAGGCACTGTATAAAATATAATTATTATTGCTATGGTACCATTTAGTTGACTTTTACACGCTTTCAAAATGACCAGCATAAAACTCTATCCCTTTATATTCTGCAATTTGAAAGTTCTTAAGGGTGATTTTAAATTCTTCAACGCTAAATTTGTAAGCATTGTAAATTAATGGTTATATATGGTGAGTATAAAATCTTGCAGTCACAACTCTGAAAAAGGTATCCCTGTATTTTTTTTTCTTGCAATGTCTGGTCATTTTTTCCATTATATTCACATGCTTATGATTTCATCAGCACAGAAGCCTTTGCAGAGTGGAAAAAGGGTGAAGAATAGGTTTCTCAACAGCTCAACGCCTGCTGAGACCATTTTGTGGGCTTATTGTTCTAAAAGAAATGTTAACTTCTTCTAACAAAGTTATTCACATGATCTCTGGATCGGCACCTACTGTATGTTGGTAAGAATTCACTCTGAATGGAACTTTCCCCAAATACTTCCATTATGTATAGTACTGTTTTCACAAATCCCTCTCAAATTCTAACATACAGTACAGTACTGTGTGAAATACGAAATTGGGCTGCAATTTATCAACAGTATTAGACTGAGACAAATTTCTTTTAAGGGTTTCTGTGCACTTGTCGTTTGAGATTTCCCTTCCAGGAGCCCCAGTGTTCACTACATGTTTAAATCTCTACAATGGTATCAATTGTATGCTTGTATAAATCTTGTGTTGCATTGCCTGGCAACTATGACATTACAACATGTCAATATACTATTGTATAAGGTAAGATTTCTTTTTTACATAAAATATATTATTTAATAATGAATAACTTTCATTGTATACCTACTTTTCCCTCAATTATCATAATTAGTTTCAGTTCTAGACATACAAATTTGTATTTAGGCCTTGCTTTATAAATATACAGGTCCATTTATTTAAATTATATATGTAACAAATATTACAGTATGTGTAATCTGCAAACCTGACTAAAATTACAATAGAATAAAAAACAATTATTTCCCCCTTTAAAAATATTTTCAGTTGTTTCTTCTCAACACTTAGCATGTTTTTAACATGTGCAACCTTTATCAAATTGTGTTTTGCCAGAAAAAGCAAACCAGGACAGAGAAAGTTGTAGTCGTCTGTTTGCACTTGAGATAAAATGTCCTCAATATTTAATCAAATGTGCTCTTGCAAGCTATCATCTTACTGTTTACATTATTTACATAAAACCTGAACAGTGTTCAATGGCTACTAGGTTTTCTTATAGACTAGGTCTAGACTGTTCACCAAAGATCAACAAACCTTGCATTTTTTATTTCCTACTAATACTTAGTATGCAAAGAGAAATCAAATCATTCTCTCAAGGCAATAAAGTGATAAAAAATGTTTATCAGTGTTTCAGATTGATTGTAATTTCCTCATTGTATGATGGGTATGATGTGATCATTAAAATTTTTAAAGGGCCATACCTTGAATTTTGCCTGTGGTGCACTTTCCTTTCCTTAAAAAGAAAACATTGTTTACCACCTTTATTATCATATGTGACTTACTCATCCTGCTCATTCAAGTTTAGAAGTATGTCAAGTCACTGTCAGGTATCTTATTAAACCCAGAAGGCCAATTTCACAATGCATTGACATTGTAATTAGAAAATCGATCAGTATATAAAGCTATATTGGCATTATTATTTTCAGCACTGTATATATTGTCTTTCTATGTCACACTATGTTCCTCCAGTTTAGTGTAAAAAAAGTACTTAGGAATTAAATCAATTTTTGCAATGTAATTAATTTGAACACAACAGCTATATCAAACAATTACCTCACACATCAAGTTTTTAAAGATCTATTATTTTATTTTGACCAAACTGTTCTCAGGTTCACTGTGGTAGACTGCTTTATTAATCTAAATACTCTCAATCGGTGCACAATAATTACAGCTGGAGATAAGCAGAAGGCCAGTTATAATCGCCGACTGACATGACCACCCCTTGCACAGTAAATTTGAGGTCCTTCTACCTCAAATCTGTTGATTCAGACAGCCCAATAAGTAACTGATAAGTTATTTTCATACTGTATTTATCTAGCTCACTGACAACCCAACTTCTTTATTTATCTTTGGATTCTGAGGATTATTTAAAACTTCTGACTTGTATTTAATCTTATGCATGTCAGTTTTTAATTCGTTAATGGATTCATTTTGTCTTAAATGTATTATGTATTGTGTAACGTCTTTTACTCACCTGAAGTAATAAGTTTATTCGAAATTGCACAGAACGTGTGTTTTGAGTGGATTGGAGCGCCATACAGTGGTGAAAATTATTTCACCCTCCGGCCACTAGAGGGAGACCTTCTTAGATGATTTATGGATTTAAAAAAAACATTCTCTTGTTATCAGACTCTAACACAACGTCCAGTGAATATGTCGTCTCCCGTTGCAGAGGGTCACTTGTGCGTGTGTTGTATGCGGTTGTATTATATCGATTAAGATAGCCAAAATGTCAAATAAAAATCAAGTGAAAGATGATGTTGTACAAGCAAAAGCGAAACAGAAAGAAGAATTAAATAAAAAGGTGAGTTACACAGACAGCTATTTTTAAAAATTGTGAATGAAACTTCAGAGAATATTCTTCTCTGTTGTGTATGTTTTATGTTTCTTATAGATCTGTTCGTGTTTTGATCATGATTAATGTTTTTAATTTGGGTATTTATAAGGGTGAAATGTATATAAACTGTAGCCAGTATGTAGCCAGACAAGGTTTTGGAATTGTGGCTACCGATTAAAAAGAGCGAACCATGCACACTTTCACTTGAACCATTAAGATGACTCTTTAAGTTGGATCGTAAAGAAATTCTAGTAATTTCGTATTTTGCAGATAAGAGAACAAAAAATTGTGATTGATGAGCTCTCCAATCTTAAGAAAACCAGGGTAAGGAACTATTTTTTCATGAGAGTATTTTATCTTTTAATAGTTTTCATTAATGTTTTGCCTTACATGTTTATGTACGAGACTGTTTATGTATTGAAACATTATGATCAAAGCGATGCAAACCATGCTTTTCTTACAGACGAAAGAATAGCAATATTCTGTGTTGTGCTTTTCTATCATTTTAACAGAGGGTGTATGTGCAGCAGCCCAACAGCCACATCTTCTTTTTGGCAAACAAAGCTGAGACACTGAGTGCTTCTAAAAGTAAGCGAGAAAGCCCGAGATCTTGTCAGGGGGACTTATCAGGGAGAACATTGATCATTGAAACAAACTGTAATGCTTGGAGATTGATTAAAATCAATACTTGGCTAAAGAAACCTCATTTATCAATAAGCAATAGACTTATTTCTGTTCGAAGTAGTGGTTGTTCTCATCTTAAAATATCCAGCCATGCTTAGCCTTAAATTTCTGTCAATTATAATTTTTTCCTTTAATTAAGATAGATTTATGGTGATCATGAAATGTCCGTATTAGGTTTTCATTTGATACTTTTTTTTTCTTGCAGATTCACTGGAAAACATGAAGAAGGAGTATCAGGATGTGTAGAAACAAAACAGGATTCTTTTAATTTGGGAGACAGAAAAAATGAGTAAAACTGGATGAATTGCAAACTAAGATGTGCGGTATATGTTGTGTTGTGAGCTTCTCCTCTTTGCCTTCAGAATTGTCAAAGTTTGTGATTAAAAATCTGAAGAACCGAGGACCCAGCTTTAGTCAAGAAATAACAAAGACGGTGAGGGATGTCAACGCTCTGTGCTTTTTCTCTGGCCACGTCCTTCATATGAGAGGAGTCCTGACCCCTCAGCCAGTGCAAGATGAAGATGGAAATGTCTTCCTATGGAATGGGGAGGTCTTTGGTGGTCTGACAGTGGGAACTGAAGAAAACGATACACAGGTCGTTTTCCGCCATCTTACTAAATGCTGCAGCGATGCAGAGATCCTGTCTGCTTTGTCATCTATTCAAGGACCATGGGCTTTCCTGTATTACCAGGCAGACAGACATAGCCTGTGGTTTGGCAGAGACTTTTTTGGTCGACGAAGTCTTCTCTGGCGATACAGCAGTGAAGGGAAATCGATTGCTGTGTCGTCTGTGTCCTCAGATCCTGGTACCGGGCATGAACAGTGGGAGGAGGTGCCAGCTTGCGGAGTTTATAGGATTGATTTAAAGGCATCTTCTTGTTCAGGTTTCTTGGTTCTAGAGTTTTATCCTTGGGCTTATTCTTGTGACATCCAGTTACCTGTAAATCATGAAGTGAAACGAGAGGACTTACCTTCCTTTGTCTCTTTAGTAATGAATGAAAATGGACTCTTCCTGCACGCTCCGGTTGTTCCCCTAAATAGTGTCATCCCTGAGAGTCTGCCAGTTGCAGAGCACATATTTGGCTCTCAGCCATCTTTTAAAGACCTTGATGTCTTTTTGGAGGATGTCAAGAAGAAGAAACTTGCTCAGCAGCTTATAGATGTTTTAAGTGAGGCAGTGAGGCGGAGGGTCCAGTCTCTTCCTAAAGAAAGCCAGGCAGAGTCTCCTCTTGATGACAAAGCTGATATTGCCATCCTTTTTTCTGGTGGGATTGACTCTATGATTCTTGCTGCCCTAGCAGACCGTCATGTTCCTTTAGAAAAGCCAATTGATCTTTTGAATGTGGCCTTCCAGTTGCAGGAACCAAAGAAGCCGAAAGGATCTACCAGAAACCAAAAGCACAAGCACATTTCAGAAGCAGTTCCCCATTTGGAAGCAACCAGGACAGGTTGTGGGATATCCAAAGAATCTGGCTGTTTTGATGTGCCTGATAGAATTACTGGCAGAGCTGGTGTGCAGGAGCTACAGGCAGTAAGCCCAAAACGAAAATGGAATTTTGTGGAAATTAATATCTCAAAGGAGGAACTTCAAGAAACGAGACAAAAGCGCATCACTCATTTGTTGTATCCATTAGATACGGTCCTGGATGACAGCATTGGTTGTGCAGTTTGGTTTGCTTCCAGAGGAACTGGTTTTGCAGCAGGAGGCAAGGAACAGCAACCATATACCTCAACTGCAAAGGTGCATAATCTTAATATACATTTGTATATAATCATGGTAGCATAGTAGTTAGCATTGCTGCCTCTCAGCACTGGGATTCTCGGTCCACTTCCGGACCCGGAGTGCTATCTGCGTGCATATTCTACTTGTATATTGTCCCTGTGTTTGTGTGGGCTTCCTCTGGGTGCTTTCCCACAGTCCAAAAACACATTGGTAGGTTAATTGGCTTCTGGGAAGATTGAGTGTGTATGTTTGTGTGTTTGTCCTGCGATGGACTGGTGGCCTGTCCAGGGTGTACCCCACCTTGTGCCCATTACTTGCTGGGATAGGCTCCAGCACCCCTGGACCCTGAATCAAAAGAAGCTGTTAGAAAATGGATGGATTGGAAAGCAAATTTGTAGAAAGTGTGACAAATGTTTTAGGATAAGGTTATTTTTCCGACGCGAATCGCCCAATTAGGATTCTGTTGATTCCTGGGCTCTCTGTGACTGTTTAGGTCGTGCTCACTGGAATTGGTGCGGATGAGCAGCTGGCTGGGTACTCCCGCCACCGCCTTCGCTTTAAAACCTCAGGACTGCGGGGTCTTGTCCAAGAGCTAGAGATGGAACTGGGCAGGATCTCTTCACGGAACCTCGGCAGGGACGACAGAATTATTGGAGATCATGGGAAGGAAGCCAGGCAAGTGTTCTCCTTGTGAAATATGATCTTCTATCCATGTTCTGCTTAAAGGCGAGATAGAGATTTGTAGAAGTGGATAATCCTGGGACATCTGGAAAATCATTTTTTAAAACGTAATGTTATAGTCCTCTATCACTGGAAGAAACTGTATAGATTCCAGTTATATTTTACTGAAAGTATGAGAATATTTTTAAAAAAGATAATTTATAATAGTTTCCTGCAACCTTCATTGCAGTACTCCTCTCAATTAAATAATTGAACACGTTTTTGGCTTGATTAGAGCAGTTTAAGTGATTTTGAGGTCAGCTGATTTAACGCTTCATGGCTTGAATTTTTGATTTTATGTAAAAAAAAAAGAACTGCACATATATGTAGGAATTCCTCCTTTAATAGAAAAATTGTTGTACACTTGTTCACAGGATGCGGGACTTACAAATCCCAATAAGTCTCTGCAACCAAGCTGAATGTACCCATGTTGAATATTCTGATGTTATTAGTGTCATGATAATTTTATACAAATGCATGAGATGCACAAAAATATCATTTTTTTACATTTTTCAATAATGAGGTCCATTAGTAGAATAATGATTCAGCTACAATGACTGAATAGTTCAATAAAAAACATTTACATGTGATGAAACTCAACAAAGCAGTTCTTTTTTTCACAAAAAGAAAAGGCGTCCAGACTGTGCACCTGGATTATAGTCAAGGTTTAATTTTTTCTACAGTCTAACGTGAAAAAACATTACAGTCCTGTCCTGCCAGACAAAAAGCCCGGATTCAGAATTCATACATTTTCTACTGTCAGGACCTTCAAGTCTTTTAACCCTCCAAGACCTCCAAGAACTTTAACCCTCCATGTTAAAGAGACCTATAAAACATGCTGATCTTAATTCTCTTCTCTGCCTATTGATAGGGACAGTCGGGAAGTAGGATGTCAAAATTCCCAACTGGAATTATTTTTTTGCCTTTTGCTTTGTTTTATTTTAAGGATGTTAACAAGCGTAGCGAATGGAAGCTAACAAGAGCTAATGAAGTTATGTGGCCATCAAGGAGAGCAGTTGGGAACACCTGCTCTGTAACAGTTCAAGGATCTGTCTCATCTGGCTTTCGTTACAACTGAGCTCTTCATCGCTGAAACAGAGCTCCATCCATTCACAACTTAACCTTACTTATTAAGTGGTTGCCGCCTTATTATCATCTCCTCTTAATAGGCAACTGATTGCTAATGTCCAGAAACAGGTGGGAATGATGCTGTCTCAGGCTCTCCCACTGTAAAAAGCAACTGCTGTTCACCAGAGGCTCTGCTATGAATATTCCAAACACCTGACTGGTGATTTTTTTGAGTGTCGATGCTCATTATTACCTCCATTAATGATCCCGGAAAGTATATTTAAGAACCGGTTATTGTAGGACAATTAGCGTTGTAAGAGAAATTCCTCTGTAGGAATGAATGTTCAAAAACATCCTGGAGTAACACGACTGAGAAACTAGACATCGCCTACCTCAACACAGACGAGGAATAAAGATGGAATATTGTGTTCCCTTTCAGGTTTCCCTTCCTGGATGAAGAGGTGGTTAGCTTTCTGAATGCTGTGCCGGTGTGGGACAAGGCCGACCTGTCCCTGCCCCGCGGACTGGGAGAGAAGCTGCTCTTGCGCCTGGCTGCCAGGGAGCTGAACCTCACAGCCTCCGCAGCGCTGCCAAAGAGAGCCATGCAGTTCGGCTCCAGAATAGCCAAGATGGAGAACAGCACCGAAAAGGCCTCTGACAAATGCAGCAGACTCCACATGACATAAATCTCGCCGTTTTATTGTCAGGATGAAAGTGTAGCTTTGTAACTAAAACACAATCTTTGTTTTAAAAATATTAAAATATATTGTCCATAAATTTCTTTATCTCCATATTGGTACATTCCTTAACTCTCCTAAATGACATCTGTTTTAATAAAACTTGTACATTATTCACACTATGAAACCCATTATCTTTAATAAAGTTTAGGCCATGAAGATTCTTTGATCGTATATTCCTATATTAAAAAAGGTTAAATAATACTTTACTTGTTCACAATGGTAAGTGTATTTTGAACACTAAATGCTAGTGAGAGATAATATCAAAGTTGCTGAAGAGATTTTATCACCAATGTCCTGGAGCAGTTATCAGTTTAACGTCAGATAGTGTAGTCTCGCACCTACTTAAGGTATATTTAGGTGCTGTAATTTCCGGATTAATTCTTCACTGTTTTATTTAATTTTTGTATCCATTCATTTTGTGGTGAGGGTTCAAAACATTTGATTTGGTTGTTGAATTTTCAGACTGTAGCCATTCACAAAGAATACAGCTAAACACTTATGTTTTACACTACTACTTCAAATAGGTCTTAGTGTTTTTTAATGTTTTTTGAAAGTAGGCATCACATTCTATATAGGATTGCAAGTTTCCAACGTCGAATCGGCCAGAGATCTCATGAATGTAAACCGGCTTCCTAAAATAAAGCAATACAATTTAAAACATAAGAATGTATTATATAAAGTGGTGGTATTGGCTTATTAAAGTAGTGATAACATTTTGAGCACATGAAAGATATGCCTTTTCTCTATTTAATTTACATAAAGTAGACAGATGGCAAGATTAAGAATTTTTTAATTTATCTGCTGTTCATAAAAAGAAAAACGACTCTACTCAAAGCCAAGATGCAATATTGAAATATTTTGGATTTGGAAGCCTTTGGAATTGTTTCAGAATGCTCACTCAGCCATACTACTTAACACAGTGAAGTTAAAAATGTAAGTTCTGTTCACATCAATTTAAGGTAAAATGTAGATTGATACCTCTGTATGAGCCATGATAAAAAGTTTCCTGGAGCATCTCTCTCTTCTATTGGTACTGTCTGCAAAACAATGTAATGCATTATACTGTATATCACAAAGAAACTTTAAATAGCTAACACAACAGTTAACATGTTTTACCTTCTTTTCTTCGAGAAATTTCTCCAAAAGGGGAAGAGTTTTCTTGGAGAACAAGTAGCAGCAAGGGCACTGCAAGAATAGAATTAAAAAGTATGCAAATGCAAACTTTGGAAAAGTATTTTGTTGTAGACACCTGTATTTAAAGCAGCATAGCACTCTCCTATGAGAAAGATGAGAGATGAGAGACAAGCAATATATCAAAGAGCTACAACCCTATTACTGGAGAACCACAGTCCAGCAGGATTTGTACTTTAATATAAATAAGAGCAAGAAAAAGTCCATACCAGAGCTTATCTTGTTTTCCATAGGGTTAAGTGAAGTAGAGAGCACATTGACTCTCCCCCTGAATGAGACACTGGTGGTCCCCACTCCTACAGCAAGATCTGTTCATAAATATACTTTTAAGACTTTCTAGACAGGTTAGGTTTATATAGTATTATAAAGTTAAGGTCGCTCACAGCTCTTCTTGAGTTTGTGTCAGCAGGGGAGGGTTTCTCTTTCATACAGCAGACCTTCATTTCACTGTCCACTTCAAGAATGCCGTATTTCGAGGTCTCTGTGAATTGATTACAAAACAAGTATTGTTGTGCAGAAGGATTCAAGAAGTCAGCAAGGTTTATATGCACTTAAATGATAGCAGTATACAAACTCTCAAGCAGTGGTCAGCAACTCTGATCCTGAAGAACCATGGTCTTGCATGTTTTATAGGTAACCTTAAATGGTAAACAAGCAGAAAAGAGCGTGCTGACTCCCTAATTCAGGGGTCTCAAACTCCATTCCTGGTGGGCCTTGTGTCTTCCGGTTTCTGTATCAATATGAGTAGTTATTTCAGCAATAAACAAACTTATTTTTTAAATAAGACAGGTATAGGATTTTTCCTGGGGTCTTTTACAATTGATTACACAAGACATTCACTTTATTTAAGGTACAATTATCTATAAACTACTGTGAGGCTGTTCAATATTACAAGTTTACAGACCAACTGAATCTGAGTTGATGACACAAACGCCCGAAGAAACTAGGCCCTGCAGGAACTGCATTTTAAGTTTATCTCCCTAAGACTAGTACTACAAGGCCTTGCTGTGCAGCAGAGATCTCCAGTCTTTAAAGCACAAGCTGGTTAACTCATCCAATTAAGTCAATAATGAGCTGATTCATGTTATTACAAACTGTTGGATGTAAAATCTGTAGACACACTGGCCTCTCTAAGACTGGGATTGAGGATCCCTGCTTTATTGGGAGAAAAGGGATACTCTTGGCAACTGGCAAAACTGCTGCAAGCTTATGCAGGATAATTTGAACTTTTGCTAAATTATATGTCGTAATGTTCTAGTCTGACATACTAAAACTTCATGCAGCTTTTTTCCAGTCATTATTAGATTCAGGGACAATTTCCCAAATAAGTAAACTTTGAGCACTCAGATGGTTATCAAGACACTGTATACTGTAGCTAGTCCTTATTTCTTGCAAAAAAATAAGTTAATGAAGTACTATATCAGTTCATGCCCTCAGTACCTGGTTTCTATTTTTGCTCACCTTCATCTTTACACTGGTAGGACAAAACCAGATTACATTCATCACATTTTCTTTGTAGATCAAAAAATACATCCAGGAATCTGGAGAGACTGAAGTCCTCCTTAAACAAGGTGTCCCTGTGGAGATAAGCAATTCACTTTTAATTCTACGCAAATTCCAGTTCTGGTATGTTTTACTCCACTTATATTATAACATTACGTACAAACTGGTAAAAACACATTTGAAGAAAACAAAGGAAATGTCACTTAACTTGGATTGCAAAGTTTAGTTTAACACTGGAAAGTCTTACCCCCCAATAACTAAAACATGGTCCTCTGTAGTGAAATGTTTAATTGCAAGCTGAAGACAAGCAACAGCTCCAAGTCTTTCCTAAAACAAAAAATGAAATACAGAAACAAGTGTAAAAATATGTAATTGATAGATTTCATGTTTCCTAATAAAATGAGAATATAAATATTGAGTATTGGGGTTTCTGTTGTTATTATTATGAGATTACTGCAGAAACTCATTCAAATCGGCACTGACCTCATTGCATCTGGTCCCATCGTTAATTATTATAACACCTGGAAACTGCTGTCCCCATTCCTCGAAGTGTTTGAAGTACAACTCATTGGTCTGTTGAAAGGAAGTGAAATTTCTGTGTTCTATCAGTCAGAAAACTCTTATTTCTCATTTCATTGCCACCTATAACTGGGGTCTGTAATTGGTCCTGAAGGTTTTCAAAGCTTAAATGATCTTAAATGATCGATGAGCCGCGAGCTGGAAAGCACATGTAGTTCTAATTAAGCAAATGATTAAAGTCTGAGCACAGCTACAAGAATAACCTGGGTAGCACACCTTTAACCTTAAGTGGTTTCTTTTTAGTGCAGCTGCAATTATATTTTAGGGGCCTACAGTAAATGGCCAAATTCTAGATTTATGTTGGACTACAACCACAACTATACAATACAATGCAATACAAATGCTTCATTTTATGTTTGATTAAAAGCTGACATAATATTTTTGTTCAAAATAAAAATGCATATACATTACTTCTGTTTTTCTTAAGAATGTGTGTTGTTGGTGTAGGTAACTGCAGTGCTAGAGGACCAAAAACTGGTTGGTTTTCATTCTAGCTTTTATTTAAAACCTAATAGTTCCACTGAGCAACTTATATGTATCTTTTTTTTAAGAGTTGGTCCATTTTTAATTATACCTTAAAGCCCTTTGGAATTCCAGACCACAAGGCCTAGAACTGACTTGCCCATGTATGAACATAATCCACTATCTAATGAATAATGGAAGCTTGCAAAAGATGTTACAATGTATATACATACAACAACAAAAATCGCATCCACACAGTCAGAACTGTTTAACGCCTCTATCCAGTGCGAAATCAGAGGGCACCCTCCAACGGGGATCAGGGGTTTCGGGGTGCCGATGAGGCACTTGAACTTCCCCGTTGAGTTGCTCTGGAGATCTCTGTGCAATCTTGTGCCATATCCCGCAGCCAGAATCACAGCCTTCATGCTACCGTGTATGCAACTGCAACAGAATAAAAATACGTTTTACTTTTTAAAGACGTAATTTATAATAACAATGTGGTTATAACTAATGGTTTTTATTTTTGCATAGTCTACAGCTGAAAAAGTAATTAACTTTTTTATGTGAAATCCATGTGTGGACGTACAAATGAGTGTACAGTCTTACCCCTAATTTCGTTCTTTTCTGAAACCCTAAATCCAACCGTATGAGTTTTCCTGTTTTAATATTGCCATTTGGCTAAGAGATGCATCTGCAACAATTATTAACTACAATTACACAGCAGTTCACCACAACTGTCCCTTTCCTTGCACAGCGCTTTCCATGGTGTAAGCGAAGTCCATATCCTGCACAAGCATTTGTCAACAAACAATATACATTTTCTCTAAATAAAAAAGTTATTAGCAGTAACAGACATGCCTAGTAATACAACAAATCGCATTTAACCTACTAAGTGATCGTATTTATATCCACAGTGAAAAGCGAAGTGGAAAAACAGAGCCTCGAAAATGTAAAACTTATCTACAAAGGCTCTCTGCAGCATTTTTTGCAGGAACCAACACGTCAGCCTCCAGTGTCACAGACCACGAAATAAAAACAGCGCCCCTATCTGCCATTACCGTAAACTACTGCTATATGACACATTCAATAGGAAAGACGCGCCCCCTGCTGTCGTGTTCAAAAGACTGACGCGTTTAGACAACGTAATTTAGCGTCCTTGGTTGCTAAGATCTACATTGAAATTCCTCGACGTGACACGTTGATCGTAAGATATGCTTTATTTGAATTCCACAAGTAAATGCTTAATAAATAGAACTCTTTGCTGCACAAAATTGTCCCAAATGCACACTAACATTTTATTTGTCTTGTTTAAACCAAGAGAACACCTGAGATTTACCAACGGTACTTTCCATTCAGCAAAAGTAAGTCAGTGTTTACTTTTTATTTCAATACAAAATTGGTAAAAAACAGAAATAAAGTGTTTAGTTTAAACGCAGTTTTTATTTTGTATTTTATATAGCACAAGCAAATTCTGAATATTTGTGTGATTTTCATCGTATTTGGTGTCTAGCTTTGCTTGATGAGTATTTAAATAATGGACGTGTGATGATAATACCTAATCTTCAATTAAACGTCTGTGATTTAGCTAGACGACCTGTGGAAGGAATGCAATGCACTAAACTTCAGTATGGTGATAATCAACTTTATTATTTTGTTATTAGATTAATTCAAATTATTGCATAATAGACTTTTTTTTACTATACCGCTTTATATGATATATCTTGTAAAATATGTGTATTATTTGCAGGCGTTTTTAATATTAAGCGCCAGTGATAAAGGCAGCAGTTAAATTATTACAACGTTGACGGATTTCAGTGTCCCTGCGTTCTCTGCCCAGACACATTCTTCAAAAGCACCTTTATGACCTTCTAAAATTGAAAGATAGGGAAACAGTACGAATTCAGTTTCATGGTGATAGGTTGGATGTGATTGTTGTTTAAATTTCAGCAGGAACTGATTGCTACATGGCACAGTCGGTAGCCTCCAGTTCTTCATCCAAATCTTTCCAAGCCAGCGGTGGTGAAAGGGATGACGAGGCTTACCTTGCCGGGTTAGCGGCCCAGAGAAACGCAAACGCCTTCTTTGAGAAATATGACAGAAGAGACCTACAGGAGTTGCTGAGCTTGACGTCTTGCAGCTGGCTACTGTGCTGTGAAGACAACAACCTGCCTGCTGAGCTTCCTACCGGAATCATAAAGCAAATGAAAAACTTCAGCTTCCCCAATGCAGTCATTCTTGCACCTGTTGACCCTCGGGTGTCTTTGGACTATAAAGACGTCCATCAGATTGTGAGGGAGCTTGTGATTGGTATCTACTGCTTCAACCAAATCCCGTTTCTCAGCCTTGAACCCAACTATGACCAAAGCACCTCATGTCAGCTGACCCCTGCCTACTATGACACAAAGGTGGGACAGATTCTGATCAGTGTTGATTACATGGTTAAAGCCCTTTGGCATGGAGCTCTCATTCCAAAGGAGAAAAGAGTCAGGTTTTCTGAACTGTGGCGATCCAGCATGGACGTTGATGCCAGTGGAGTACCTCATACAAAGAAAGATATCTATGCAGAATTTCTTACTGCAGGTAAGAAGCACCATTACAATAATTCTGTACACCATAATTATTAGCTTTAATGGATACTTTGTAATGGCTGCCCTCCTCACATTGTTCTGTCCTTATTGTCTTTATTCAATTGTCAATTGTTCCTGCAAATACTGATTTTCTTCTGTCTGGCCCACTTTCTCTCTCCCTCCTTCAGTTATGTCCCAAAGACTTGTTTGCACTACAACTCCTTAGTTTCTCTTTTTTTTCCATCTCTCTCGGTTGTGAAGCAATATTCCCAGGTGAATTTTCCAAGTTTGGGATAATAAGTCTTCTAATCTAATCTGCCTCTTTGGATGTCCCGTAGTTCAGATTTCAAAGTTCAGATTTCATATCCAAATGCTATAATAATAATGCAAATTACAAAGTCTGGATCTTAATGGCACAAAGTCAGATTCATTAGAATCATTAGAATTACAGATTTTTACTCTGCTTTCTTATCTGGGACATTTTGGTTTATGGCTAATGAGATTTATTCACACAAATACATATAATGACCAGTTTCTTCTAGCTTTATGTAATTTGTTTTATTGTTACTGGGAAAGGCAGACTCATTAGTAAAACACTTTCATTTTCTGTAAGTTATTTCTCAGTCTTACTTTGATGCTAACTTGTTTTAGATTTTTATTTGAATTGTAATTCTGCTGGGTTCAGTGTACATGTATGGCCCCATATTTGGTGTACTGCATAAGCTAAACAAGAGTTGTCTAATCCTGATCTTGGAGGGCCAGTATATCTGCAGGTTTCCATTCTAACTCAGCTATTAATGAGCTAAATTAACTGGGTTGGACCAGTTTAACAATTTAACCTACTGTAGCTATTCAAGTGCTGTTAATTAAAGAGAACTAAAAAAAAACCTGCAGACATGCCAGTCCTCCAGAATCTGTTGCGACACGTTGAGCAAAAAAAGCCACAGTCTTAGATAAAGATCCTAGATAATCCATTTCTGTTGATCCAACACTGCATCAGTATTTTGGCCGGCAAAATGTACATCAGAGTGAGGCAGTGCTAGAGACCATGGGATATTGTTAACCTAACATAATTATTGCCAGCCCTGATCCTGGACAGCCAAATGCTTTGTGGCCTTAAATGATCGGTTTTGTTACACTGTGAACAATTTCATTTTCACAATTTAATCTGGCGATGTTTTTAGTTAGTCATTTAGAGATCACTACAAATGGAAATGAGCACCTTACAGCTGTCAAGGATAATTTCATAAGGATTAAACAACAACTACTGCTGCTAATAATAATGCAATGGCAGCCATAGTGCACCGGTATACTCACCACACATCAGGTATTAATGGGGAGGAGAACAGAGTGATGAAGCCAGTTCATAGATGGGGGATTATTAGGAAACCATGACTGGTAAAGGCCAATGAGAAATTTGGTAAGGACACAAGGGTAACACCCCTACTCTTTCCAAGAAACACCCTGTGATTTTTAATGACCATAGAGAGTCAGTTTTATGTCTCATCCAAAGGAGGGCACCTTTTTACAGTATAGTGTCCCCCTCACAATATATACAGTATAGGACCCACACAGATCACAGGGTGAGCGCCCCATACGCCAAATACCTCTTTGAGCAGCAACCTTAGTTTTTCCCAGGAGGCCTCTCAACCAGGTACTGACCAGGCTCACACCTGCTTAGCTGTAGTGGGTGGCCAGTTACGAGTTGCAGGATCATATGCTTAACAAGGACTGGCTTCCTTGGTTAGTGGAGCAAGTAAACTTGCTAAATTGATGAAGATGTTGTAAGTGTTTCAGGACTTTATAAATTGATTAATTAATGGTGTCCTGTAGGACCTGGTGTAGTGTGGCTCTCTAGACCAGAGGTGGCTATCCCCTGCTTAACATGTTGAAGGTGTGTGGTGCATTTATTCTTTCACAACTGCAATTGTAAAAAAATGCAGTTTATCTTTTTGCTAATGTGCTTTTCTTCATGAAAGTGTGGTGTTGCTTTTCACAATGGAGCTGTTTCCTCTTTGTCAGGTTTAATGGATATTTCAGAAGATGCTTCCTATCAAGGCATATATAGTGAAGTGATCAACGTGGACCCAACCTATGATCCCAATAGTCCTGAAGAGGAGAAACTCTTTTCACAGCATTCAGAAAGTATCCTTCTAAAGCTCTCTCCCTATCTCTGTTCTGTGAAACAGCATGAGAATCTGTTTGTGTTTGAAGGAACATACAACCTGTCGAATGTGGTGAGGCTTGCAGAGGATAAAGTGGATCTCTCCACCTATCAAAGGCTCGAGCAGAGACTGAGGCTTCATGAAAGACTCGTTGGAAATTGCTTGGAAAGGAAAATGGAGATGCGTAAAAACATGGCTTATCTAAAGCTAATTGCTTTCTTAGTGCCTTTTCTTATTGGATTGAAGAAAAAAATGAAGATCCCTGATCTAGCTAAGTTTCTTCCTTCTTTTTCTGGTAAGTGCTTCTGGTTCCATTGTCTCTCGTCGCGTAGGTGATGCATACATGCGTACAACAGTTTGCAATCTTGCCTCCTGGGGGAGAATGTTGTAAAGATCCATGGAAAACAGTTAACTTCTAGACACACTTTCAGATATTCCAGACTTGCAGAATGTTTCTTCATGTGCTTTATGATTAGATTAGAAAATCAAACATAATAAAATAAAATAAAAAAAATGTTACCTCAAAGAAAGAGGTTGATATATTAATATACGTTTATAAGACAATCAGTTTCATTTTTAACTGAGCAGTGCACTTGTTCTTAGATGATAAACTGAAGACAGAAAGAGAATTGCCTCCACTCCTGCTGGGTCCTGACTTTACCTGTAAGCACTTCAAGTACAAGCAGAACGAGTACTTTCACCTCCATGGCAGTATAGAGTTTGATATTGGAACCCCTGGTGTGGAGGACATTCCTAGTGAGATAAAGGTGAGCAAAGTGCTTAAATTCACAGTGTTTAAGAGTTGTCCTTGATTGCTTTTTCAGTCGAGCAATGCTTATTTTATTTGCACAAAATATTGTTTTTACAGTAGTTCAGTTGCTTTTGCTTCTTTCTTTACAATAGGATGCATTTGAAGATCTACAGAGCTCTGCATCTGATCATTTAAGTGGATTGCTTGCTCACGGCGTGCCTTACAGAGAACATTACCCCTTGCCCGTAAGGCAATTTGAAGGAAGAAGGCAAGCATAAGTATTAAGAACAAATCAGTTAAAAAATACTTTATGTGATGGCCACTTGCATTGTATGGGATTACCCTGAAATGTTCTTTTCATTGCAGCTATTATGTAATTTCCATTGAGATTGGGATGTTGTATCAGCAGTTAGGCAGGATTCAGTGGTGGGAGGCCATGAATGATTCCATCAAAGCTCTAAAGGCCAAAAGACTGCCATTGAATGACACCCAGCTGCATGAACAATTCAAGAAAACATTTGGCTACAAAAAAGCCATTAAATGCAAGGTAGACATCTGCATTTTCATACTGTGTTATACTCCGTGTGACAGTTCATTAGGATTGAGTCTTAGGCATTTTTATTACAGATTTTAAATTGTGGATCATTTATTTTACAAGTATGTGGGAAATATGTTCAATGACCAACTTCTAAGCTTGTGAACGAAACTATTACGTTAAAATCAGAATGGCGTATTGTAAAATAATATTTTTTTTCATGACATAGTTCCAGACATATTAAAGTGTTAGAAGATGACATTTTAAAATTATTTTAAAATAAAAAATATGCAAACGGAGAAATGAACCAAGAGCATTCCAGACACCCTGGGACTGCCTCAGCCTGTAAAACTGAAGCCGTTTTGAAAATAGCAAATGTGAGTTCAGTAATTGTTTTACAGACACTAAATATTCTATTTAATCTTGTTGCGACCGGGCACTGCTTCAGAGTTTACCGCTTGGCCTGAAAGCTGCTGCAGAGAGGGGTCTTGTTGCTGTGTTTCAAACCCTGTGCCGCCGCAACCCTGTGTCCCGACTGAGGTTCCTGGACGAGCAGGGCTACTCCCTTCTGCACCACGCCGCCCTGCACAACCAGGCGCCCATCATCTGCCAGCTGGCCATGGCAGGACTCAGCCTCAACCAGAGGCGAAGTGATCGGTTCATTCGGGCAGGTCAGTGTACCCCCTCTGCATACCCACGTTCTCTCACGCAAACAGGTACATCTCTGCCAATGCGCACTCACCCAGAGTCAGGCAGAACAAATCTGGGAATCTGTCTTATCTTAAAAACATATATAATGGTAATCTGGTTTTATCTATCTTATCTTAAAAAATATTAAAAAAAAAATAATTTGTCCTATTTATGAGAAAATATGCAGTGATATCTGTGTGGACTTTTTTGTTGTTTTTTGTGTTTCTTATCAAACAATTGTATTTTTTTTTGTATGGCCCTCCATACCTGCTGACATAGTATAAATAGTTCATTTTATATATACAATGTAACAGAAATGTATGATGAAGGCAAATGTTTATTCTGCTGTTTTGGTTATGTTCTGCTTGTAAATCCTTTCATCACTAAATAAAAAGTTTTTAAAGATCATTTGTCCTTATAGCAATACCTACTGTCTCTTGACCTACTGAAAACAATAGTGCAGTTTTTAAATAAGATGAGTGTTACACCCCTGTAATTAAATATTTTAATTGTTTCTTATTTGTCTTCTTCTTCTTCTTCTTCTTCTTCTTTTTCACAGCCTTAGTCCCAGACTGTCCTGGGGTCAGCTGCTTTGGTTGCTCTTCTCCATTTGTCTCTGTCGAGCACATCTTCCTCACTCACTTCACATACCTCCATATCTTTTCTCACACAATCTATCCACCTCTTTCTAGGCCTGCCTCTTCCTCTGTTACCTTCCACCTCAAATTCCATTACCCTCTTTGTTACTTCCTCAACGTCCCTCCTCATGATATGTCCATACCACCGTAACCTCGCCTCTCGCATCTTCTCAACCACATCCACCACCCTACATCGTCTACGGATTTCTTCATTTCTGATCTTATCCTTCATTGAAATCTGCAGAATCCATCTCAACATCCTCATTTCAGTTCTTCTCATCAAGTTCTCTTCCCTCTTTCCAACTGCCAAGCATTCAGCTCCATATAGTAGTACAGTATAATTGTTTCTTATTTGTCTTTTTAGTAAAATCACTGACTATTGGAGAACCCTTAAGGGAGAGAACAGGTTAGTTTTCACAATTAATTTTTATAAATATAGTTTTCTTTCTATGTTTCACTGATTTGCCATTATCCAGGATGGCACAGTGACATAGTGGTTAGCATTGCTGCTTTATAGTGTTGGGGCCCAGGGTTCAATTTCAGTCCTGGAGTTTGTACAGTATGTCCTCCCTGTATTGTGTGGGTTTCCTCTGGGAGATCTGGTTTCCTTCTACAGTCCAAGAGACAAACTGGTAGGCTAATTGGCATCTAGGAAAATTGGCGATTTGAGTGTGTGTCTGTGTTTGTGTCTTCCCTACGATAGACAGGCATCCCATCCAGTGTCCTGCTTTGTGCTTGTTTCCTGCTGGGATAAGCTCTGCCTACCCTGCAACTGAACAGAAGTAATAGTTAGAAAATTGATGGATTGACTCATTTTGACTAGTATTGTTGACAATTGGACAGCCCATAGGGAAAATTCATATTTAACAATCCTGACAGCTTTTGAGTCTCCATGTTGAAGAGAACCTGAAGTGAACTCATAATCCTCTGAAAAAATGAATAGTCGTTAGACTGCATTTCTTAGTATTTTTGTGTGTTTTTTAGGTCCCACTCCTCTGCATTTGGCTGCACAATGCGGTTCTCTGGATGCACTAAACTGCCTACTGGCTCTTCAGGCAGATTATAAACTGGTGGACAGGAGGGGTTGGGCTGCAGTTCATTTTGCGGCCTTCTATGGCAATGTTACTTGTGTCCAAGCTCTGTACAGAAAAGACCCTGCAGTTTTGGAGCTAGAGACCACCGCTGAGTAAGTTTATTATAAGACCATATGTGAGTCTGTGGGCATCTGAATGATTTTGTTGGGTCTAAATATGCAACAGCTTAACTTCTATTACACATGAAAAGATAAATATAGTGTAGTGACATTTATTATAAACAATCTTTCTCTACACGAAGTTTAGCTTTTGTGAAAAAGGAAAAATGAGAAGAAATTAAATTGATAATGGGAAGTCTTATATTTGCATCCTTAAAAGTTGAAGGTAACAGTTGACAGCTCTGCTATGTTATGTTATGTTATGTTCTGAGAGTGTGAATGAGTGCACCAGACGTGCACCAGGGGCAGGACAATTAAAGATGGCTGACATGAATCCTGGAAGTGCATTTGTAGTATAGCTCTGCAGCCATGTAGAGGGTTAAACAACTGTCTAGTGTGGATGGGCTGGGCAAACCCTGTTTGTAAATCAAACGGCAGTGAATTACAGACAATATTGTATTGTCTGTAATGACTGTTATTTTATTTATTTTTAGCCGTGCATTGGTGGTAGGCTTTTCAGTAGATCCAGAAAGTAATCACTCTCGAATGTAATTGCGGCTTCAGCTGCTGAAACGACATTCCGTTATGTTTGCCAGGTATCGTTGTACCCCTCTGCTGCTGGTGGCCACATCAGGGTCAGTGGAAGCTCTGAACTATCTCCTGTCCATTGGGGCTAACTGGAAGAGGAAAGACAGCCAGGGAAATAATGTGGTCCAGCTGGCAGCATTGTATTTTCACACAGAAAGCCTTCGGCATCTCATTGAACTGAACTTAGAGGAGCTTCCAGTCTGGAAACTTCTTGTGGGTATGCAGAACTTCTAAATCAAAGTGGCGTGGAATGGAATGGGAATACTGATTTATTACGTTTTGCTAAGCTTGTCAGTTTTAGTATTTTCAGGTTGTTTTCCAGGTTATTGATCTCTTTCAGGTGTGTTTCCCTTTTATCCAAGGCAGGTGCCCTTTGAATGCTGGGTAATTCAAAACTCGCAAGACAGTTATAGAATTGTAGAGGAAAAGTAGCACATGCTGCGACACGCACATTAGCACCTGCACAGAAGACAAGATTCAAAGAACCCTGGCAAAAGAGTGACACTAGATATAGTGAGCATTGAAAAACCTATCACTCTGTTTAATTGTTTAAGTTTTAGAAACTATTAGACCCTAATTTTGAAACATAAGAAAGGTTACAAAAGAGAGGAGACTGTTCGGATCATCAAGCCCATTTGATAGTTAATAGTTAACTTTTCCATGCAGCTACAAGCCTTTGGGTAAGGACGTGCCACTTGTTCATGCTTGAAAATGCATTCCCACATAGCTTCTCCACTTTTTCTGTCTGGTTGCAGATGTACAACTTGTATTACTTCCAGTAGTGGCCACTGAGTTTCACAGTGGATTCTATATCGATCAACCCTGTTGATGACAAATATTAATCAGCATGTTGAATTTACCTGTCATGTCTATTCAGTTGTTGTAGTTTTAGGTGATGTGTGTCTTTGTGTTCAGTTGAGATCAGCAATTGTGGTTCTTTATTCTGAACACTTTAAAACTATATTTTACTGGTGAGGTATCTTTTAATTCTTGTGAACTGAAAAGATTAATTCAAGCAGGTAACAAATAAATAGCTACTTCATATGTGTTAGACATTACTGTGTTCTAAAAAGATTTAAATGACAACTAACTCTTAAGTAAACTGCTACTCAGTTTTTCGCCATGAATTTAAAATCTGCTGAGTGCTGTATAATATTAAAGACGTGTCTAATTTTCTAAATATAACTCTTGCCCTTTGCAGGCTATAATTACCCGTTTTATACTTTATGTTTATATTGTTACTAGTATTACTAGATATGAGCTAAACTTGAAACATTATTTTTAATAGCATTGTCTCAGCATTGTATCTCTTCCAAAGATTCCATAGTGTAGTGTGATATAGTAAACCCCAATGGAATTCACAGTAAGAATAACTTTTGTGGCTGCTGTTAGAGATGCTGCAGAGTGAGGAATACGCTAAGAAGGAGATGGCTGCCAGGTGTCTGGAGGTCCTCTGTGTTGCCACAGACTCATTCTGGAAGGACATTATGGATGCAGGTGACAACACAGTGAAATTGCAAGCATCTGTCCCAGTGTAGTGATCTTGAATGCACTGTGTGTTACAGAATCACATTTACACTCTTGGAAATATTCTACAAATAGATTTGCAAACACAGGATGACAAAGCCTTTATTTGAAACAAAATATACATTTAGTTCTGTAGAGGGGCGGGGGGGGGGATTCCAAACTATTTGATTGTCAGACAAAGCATGAAAATAAACTTAATACTATTTTGCCTCCCATTTAAGATCACCAAACTGACATGGGGAGCATGAAAATGAATAAAGAGATACAAATGACACACGAATGATGTTTTGGACCCCACAAATTCTTCATAGACCTATACTTGTGATAACGGAGTCTTACAGATTTTAATTAGTGTTTACCTCCTCACCACCTTATCATGGATGCGGTGATAGGATCTAGTTCAAAAGAGCAAGGCAAATCAGTTTTGTGGAGCTTTCCTGCTGTCTGTCAAATATGTCCTTAGCACTTTCTTACACAGACAAGGTAGAGCTACAGTATGCTCCACCTCGCAGTCCTGTGTTTCACAGTATTGCCATTGTGCCATTTGCCACCAGGGGGCATCCCCGCTCTGATGGGCTTGCTGTGCAGTGGGCGGCAGACCCTCCAGTGTGTGGCGGCAGCTGTGGTGTGCAACATGTCTGAGAGGGAGGCAGTGAGCAGAGGCCTGGTGGAGTGCGGGGCAGTGCCCGTGTTGGTGCAGCTCCTGCACAGTCCACTGCCAGAGCTCCAGTCTCGCTGTACCGTCATCCTGGCGGACCTGGCCTTGTGCAGCAGCGAATACCAGGCCCTCATTGCACAGCTGGTGAGCCTCAGGACCGCTAGAACTGTCTTCGGTGCAGCTTTGAAGTAGCCTTAGTGAAAAGGGAAATGGAGTGGAGGAAGGGATCCAGTCAGGAAAAAGTTTCAAACCAGTGAGCACAAAGCGTGATGTTCATACGCAGATAGGCAGAAGTGGGCGAGATTAGGGTTCGACCTCCTGAACGTCTGGTTACAACTCCATTTTTACTATTTATTTTTCTCTAATTAGGAAAATAAACCATACCATTAAACTGCTATTGATGCCTCTAATAATATGAATGATAAATTTAATACCATTGACAGACACCCTCTATATTTTGTAGTTTTTTTTTCTGAATAATGTACTAAAGGTGAATACATTTCAGATTCAGGGTGCCAGTACCAAGTTCTCAAATATTTACCAGTATTTAGCTGAAGGAACATTTTGACTGAACTAAAAGAGTTTCCCTAGGGAGAAGTTTTGTTTGGAACAGGGTTAAGTTGTGTGCTTGTCCTCTCCCAGGGTGGGATTGTCCCCGTGGTGCAGCTTCTGGGATCAGACCTCGAGGACGTGCTGATCAGCGTGGTGAACTGTGTCCGAGCCCTGTGTCTCCACAGCACAGCTAATCAGAGTGCAGTGGTAAAAGAGGGAGGGATTCCACCACTTGTGGAGTTCTTGACTATTAAATCAGGTAATGACTGATTCTGCGTGCGTGTATTTTAGCTCTTGTCTTCAAATGATACTGTAGGTAGTATCGGTATCTCAAACCTTACTTTACCTGGCCCTTGATCTAATGTTAAGTGTGCAAAATAATATCCTGATTAGCCGCAGAGCAGGTTTCTTGATGGCTTCAAGAGAATAACTTTGTTAACAGGCAATCACAGCTCAGTTATACAATCCATTATCTTTTTTTCGTTGGCTCGGTTTATTTGAACATGGTTTAATGCATGTGAAAACACCCCATACAGATACACGGTGACAAAAGATCAAATTAGTGGAATATGCACACGATGTTTAGATTGCATTTTTCTCAGTTACCTGAAAGCGATACTTTTTACATTCCTCCTCTCAATTTCTTTACACAGTTATTTAGTATGTCCATTTGAGCATGGAATCAGGCTGCATAAACAGTATAGTAAAATATTTTTCTGAACTTAAGCTTGAGCTTAAGGAACTTAATTATACAATTTCCACTGCAGAATTTGTATAACTAAATGTGAATATATACCAAATATGATACAGACTTGGGTGTCACAGTAGCATGGTGGTTTACACAGCTACCTCACTGTTTTTGATTCCAGCCTACTTCCTTTAGTTTAATTGGCATCTGTCATTGCACCCTGTGTATGTATAATGCCATGGATTGGTCCAGGATGTAGTCTAACCTTGTGCTCTATGCCTGTTGGCATAGGGTGCAGCTCCAAAATCCGCTTTCAGAACAAACAGAAATGGAGTTTGAATAGGTCATTTATAGTATTTTAAACCAAACAGCCTTCGAGGAGGACGAAAAAACAAGACAGCGTACTGAGCACTTTGGGGTTTGTTGGCTCTATGGTTGCATTTCAGCTTGAGATGTTTTGGAAGTGCAGCCCTTGTTTGGAAGTCGTCATTTTTTAAGAATAAATTCTAAAATGAGTATGATGTTCCACCTCCTAAGCCCACTGCAGGCTGTTTTGGGTTTCAGATGTGCTGCAGGCTGCTTCTTCTGCCGCCCTGGCCGAGCTGGCCAGAGGCCACAGGCAGAACCAGGATGCCATCTGCGCGGCAGGAGCCATCGGGCCTCTTGTCAACATCATCCGTGGACGGAAAATGGCAGTGCAGGTGAAAGCAGCCGTGGCTTTGGAGGCTTTGGCTGACCACAATGCTGCCATCCAGGCTGAGTTTCTCAAGAAGTCAGTCTCGAAACACCTTCTACGCCTTTTAAAGGTAAGTATTTAAAAGCTATTTTGACACGGTGTCATATATGAAGATTGGTTTGGTGGCAGGTAGATCTATAGGCTGTCTGCATCTGTAGACACAGTGCTTTCATTCATAACGTACCTTGAAGGCAACGAAAACTCAGCTTTCATTCTGGGTACGTCCTATACATGTGCAGTAACAACATTAATAATAATAATAATAATCCCTTTCACATTGGTGGTAGTTTTGTTAAATTCAGGCAGTTAGTATGTTAAGGACTGTAAAGGTTTTGCTATCAGCCAATAGCAAATTTCATAGAAACAAAAGAATATGTATTTGCATTTTAAATTAACTTCTGTGCTGTGTTCAGGTTTTTCAGCTGGAGGTGAGGGAACAGGGAGCAGTGTCTATATGGGCTTTGGCAGGACAGACTCTAAAACAGCAGAAAATGATTGCAGATCTGATTGGATATCATTTTATTTTAGACCTCCTTTATTCTTCATCTGACAAAATGCAGTTCGTTGGTAAGTTAATGCTTGAAATCATGATATTTTCACGTTGTTTTTATGCAGTTCAATTACAATGCAGTATCAGTCTATTCAGTAATAATGTTTTGTTTTTTTTACTGAAGACATCTGTCCTAATTGAACAGTAGTTTTAGAGTGGACAGCTGATGGCTGGTCAGTTCTGTATTGGAAGAAGAAAAACAGGCATCTTGGACATAAGAAACTAGTCTTAGTTTCTTTTAAAAATGACAATACCAGCATCTTGCAGCACAGGCCCAACAGCTTTGAAATTGTTTAATGTATGCACTGACCTCCAAAACCAAGTCCTCAAAATCAAGAGTATATCCTTCATGCATCATTGGCAGCCAAACCCAGCCCATGGAACATCAATCTCACAAATACAGTAATTTTCTTCCCCTTCCAATCTGAACTCTTAACAACCCATTCCCAAAGTTATCAAACAAATCTTTGTTTGAACCCTTTTTAATTATTCAAAACCCCTTTAATTTAATTATCCTATACATTACGGAGCGAGCTTGTTCACAGTTCCCTTAACTGCCCACTGTCTCCCATCTACACCAGACACTTTATACTAAATTAGCCTGCCAATACATGCCCAACAGCATGCATGTACATGGCCATGTCAAGCACATTATGTTTGTCCAGCAGTCTCATTTACTGCCTCTCTTACGGACAGTTAACCATTATTTAAATTGGCAAGCCAGGAAGATGCCTGGCCAAATGTTTCAGGGAATATATTGAAGCCATTAGGATCAAAGATCTTCCCAGGCCAATAGTTTCCCATTTAACCTATGCACCCCTTCTGCATGTACAGTATCAATTCCAAGACTCCTATACCAAAAAGATATCAGAAGTAAAAAATATCCTTAAACTTGGTTCACAAATTCCCTCCAGCAGTCAACGATCGAAAAACTTCTATTTAAATTCCCTCCATTAAATTAAAATTACTGCCTTCCGTAATTTCCCTGGAATGTATGAGCCAATTTCCATTTCTTTTATACCCTGTTCATCTCCCCCTGTTCCTTCCCGTGTTTTCTTTCTGTGCTCTATCTACCCCACTCCACCTCTTTATCTCATATTTCTGCTCTCTCCCTCATTCCCCCACTTGTGAGGCATTATTTGCAGCAAAAGCTGTTTACTAACATAGTGTCTGTGTTTACAGTATTGTAGATAGAACAAGATTGCTCTACAGGCATTTATTTTCAGTTTTATAGCTGGACATGTTAAATAGACGTGGCTACCTCTATACATGCAGTACTTTTAAATGTCATAGTAAGAACGTTATATTTATACTTTATACTTTTGACATGAATTGAAAATTATGAACTAAAATGTTCACATTGCTTGTTTAATGAGTGACAGGGCAATCTTCGCTGTTGTAGAAAAGTTATATTTAATTTGGAAACTCAGTTTAGCAGGCTACTCCTGGGACTAATAAGATGATGCACGGAAGACCTGCTGTGGTGAAATGTGTTGCTGTAATTCATGGTTAGCTATGTTAACCTAATTTATTATACTGTGGAAAAGGGCACCCTGCTGTTGGACTCCTTTCTGCCACTAGAAGTGTATTCCAGGTGGAGAAAGAAAGGCTGGCGAGCTTTTTCTCGAGTGTGGTTGCAGTGATCTGCTAGACTCATTATAAAATAAGGCATGCAGTCTGGAATGCTGGCCTCCACTGGGATTCCAACCACATACCTTCCTTTCCTTACAAGAGATACGACCTGACATCCTGAAGTGTTCTTACAAAGCTGTGTTTTTTTAGAAGGCTGACACTACGGCCAGCCTGATGTGTTCCGATAAGCCTGCCCAGGAACATGTCAGAGACCTCCATCCACACCAGGCCGCACCTGTCTCTCCAGTCAACACCCTGCGCCTCAGCAGGAGTGTATGTCTGCAAGGCGCACTCATCCGAAACGAGACCGCAACCTTGTTTTAAGTGACAAAACTTTAATGAGATGGTTTGGTATTAGGTTGCCAGGCAGTGATTGCGTTGAGCCGGGACAGCAGAGCACACCAGAATGGGATCTGCGACGAGAATGGAGTGTCTCCTCTGGTGCGGCTGTTGCGGAACCCCAGAACCACAGAATGCACCCTCCTGAGTGTCATTCAGGCCCTGGGCACCATGTGCATCGGTGTGTACAACGTCCAGCCAAGCGTTCCAGGAATTTTATGAATCTAACTAAAAAATGATCCATTTTCGATGGTAAAATGATGTATTTGATTGTTTTATTTAATTTTATTGGTTAATCTTTTTTTGTGTGTGTGTGTGGGGGGTTGTTTCAGGAGTAGCACATACAAACAACCCTTACAGTCAGAAGACAATTGCAGAGGAGAAAGCCATTCCCATCCTGACTGAATTATTGAAACAACACAGATCTCTTCAAGTCAAGGTAATACCTGCAGTAATAATGGTATGTGTCAGGGGACATCAAAGGTTTGCAGTTTTAACATAGAATATCCATCATTGTATTTAAACAGATATGAAAAGAATGTGAAGAAACGTATTTCTTGAGCAGTAAAAAAACATAAAACCAGGAATGGCGGTAATATTTCAGAATCCTGATCTGTGTAGATTTTTCTGTTGCATTGATCACTTTTGATTCTGTCAGAATGGACATCTCTAAAAAAGGTTTGGGTGAGAGGATAAACCCCTCAAAAATGGCCAACAAATGTAAATATGAGCAAGACCATTTTCCCATTATCCAACATATTATATTCCCCACACCACCCACAACTGTTCTGCAGTCCTTGTGCTCACTCCATGCAATGGAGATGATCCCAAACCCTTATCCTCATGGCCTGGTTGTCTTTTCCTCAGCCAAGCATGAAACTCGGACTGCTCAACCGGCAGAAATACTTCATGCTGTGGGTGCAATCAAAAGCTGAGTTTAATTACAAAATCCAAAAACCAAGGATTGTTACTTAGTCTTTAAATATGGGTTGGCCTTTTTGGTAAGTGGTCCAAAAAAGAGATGAAGATGTTTGGAAGTAAATAAATCTGATAGAGGATTTCCTAGTCAAGAGAACTGTGCCTCATGATTTGTTTCAGGTCCGGGTGGCTCAGACTCTAGCCTGCGTGGTGCTGGGGAACACGGAACTACAGACAGCCCTCTGGAATGAGGGAACATTCACTTACAGCATTGTCTTGGAGATGCTTCACAGTCAAGATCAAGTACATTATAGCAGTATTCCTTTCATTTATACTGGCAATGTACACAGGCTTTAGATACATTAAAAAGTCCATTCATCCATCTGTTTTCAGTCTGGGCTATAGGCTAGTTTGTGATTTCCTAATGTTTGTTTTCAATCATTAATGATCAAAACCATTATTACAAACAGAACAAAAAGCCCTATCACAAATACAGTAGGGCCACACCTGTTGTTATGTTTCTTTTATTTTTATAATAAGACAAAGTAATGTATTGTAGAACTTTTCAGTTGTGTTAAACAGGGGATTTCAGTAATAGTAGCGATTTCTGCTGAAATTATAGGAATGCTAGTCCAAACTATGTAATGCTAGCATCATGTTGATCAATTTAAATATGAAAATGCTTCTCTAACTAAATCTTTTGCTTTTTAGAAGATCTGCCTTGAAGCTGGATATGCTTTATCTCTCTTTGCATTCAACAACACAGTACAGCAATTCATGATTCTGCAAAAAGGAGGTATTGAAATGGCGATTTATGAACCCTTTTTGCAGTCTGAGGATGAGTTTGAAAGAGCGAAGGCTGCATTTCAGGTATTTATGAACATATCATTAGGCAGAGTGCTTATTACACTCTTCATCTTGATCTATGACCATGTTGTGGTGAGGCTTTTGTTCCTGTACCAACAGGACTTTGGCCCTTGAAAGGTTTTACCAGATATCAGGTGAGGGATCAGATTAAAACAGCAGCTGGTCATCTAGGTTGGGGGTTGAGCGTGGTCCTAGTGATTCCACCTGTAACATGGGCATCTAGTTACAGAAACTGCAAAAAAATCTACAATATCATCCAGAGGTCTAACTATGATCTCCAGTTGATGTACTGGTAATCGGTAATATATAGTTTGAGTAGGTAGCTGTGTCAGCATGAGTAGGCTGCAAATGAACAAGTAAAGGTTTACTCCATTCTAAAAAGAGAAGAAAAGAAACACAAGGTTTAGGCTGAGGAGCCTTCTTCGGGTGTGTCACAGCCAAAAGCTCCACAGCCAAAACATTGTTTCTTTTCTTCTCTTTTCACAATGGAATAAACCTTTACATGTTCCTTTGCATACTGGTAATATGACAGCTTCAGATGAAAGCCCTGCCAGTTTAGGGTTAGGAGTTTATAGAGCTTATGAAATGTCCGCACAATGCATGACACATTCAAGCCAGAACAAATTATCCAAGAGAAAATACAAATTTCTTTGTATCAGCGACTGTGGATGGCAACTTGAGTCAGGATACAACATAATAGGTGATGGCTTAACCATCCTTTTCGCTGGGAAAGGCTACACAGGTGTGGTGTAGCCAGCGTAGTGCGCAAGAACAATGGTATTTCTCTCATAGATTGGGAACCCATCAGTGATCTAATCACTTGCAAACATTGGAGTAGATAACAGTGACTGAGAAAGAGCTGTGGAGCAACATGGTCAATGACAAAAAAGGAGAAATACTTGTCGGCTTCTGCCTTAATAATGACTACATCATTGGAGAGACAACTTCTTTCTCAAAGACACGGCCTAGCTGACATGGTCTGTCATCGTGAACAGTGACCACTGCCTGGTTTGATAAGTAGAAATTAAAGTTTTTGGTTAGCCATACCAGACTCAGAGTAATAAGTCTTAGACACTACCAAGATGAGAGTGAAGAAAGTTTTTATCAATGAGCTCAATATATTGGTCAACGTAGAAGATCAAGACAGTTTAAAGTAAGTTAAGACAGTTAAAATGTTCAGACAAAAAGAAGACATTTAAAAAGACACATACACCAAAACAACCTACAAAGACATTGAATATAGAAGGACAAGCAGTGATTAACAACAGAGATGTGGAAGGAGATAGAAGAAAGAAGGCATGAGGAAAAGCTGATGAATGATAAGTTACCCAGGCTGACTGAAAAACAGCTGAATAACTATAAAAGATCAAAGACAAAGATGTAAACAAGAGGCCTAGAAGAGATAAGAGATCCTTTGTCAAAGAACTGGCAGAACTGGCTGCAGCAAGGGGAAAATTGAACTGTTTTTAAAATCAGTTAACAGCTCTGGAGACAATCATACCATTCTAGTCAAGGACAATCAAGGAAGGGTAATACCAGACAACAAGCTGGAACATGGGTCCAGCACTTTGAAGAGGTTCTAAATCGGCCTCATACTGATTATCCACCTAATTCACTCCCCTTCGGACAGTGTTGGCATTGACTTACATGGAAGCAGAAGTGAGCACAGCCAACAAAAACATTTTTCTAGCAAAGCCCCTGGACTTCATACTTTCTAGGCACAGCTATTCAAAGCAGGTGCAAACATGGCTTCCAGGGAGCATACCAGCCTCTTCATAATACACAGAATACAAAAATGAAATCATATCAGAAGATTTGTTTCTAGACTGCCAACAAAATGGGGCCTGTACAACTGTGAGGTGGAATGCTAATGTCATTAATGACAAGCTTAAACAAGAGCATGCAGAGCTCTGCAAGGACAGATATTTGATCTGCACAGCAACACAGAGCAATGTAATGGAGTGCACCCCCCCAACATCAACTTCTCAGACTTTGTGGCAATCACGACAGAGTAACAATGTTCACCATGAAAGCTTGAGTAATTATTAATTATTTATTATCCCCTGGGGATAATAAAGACACTCACTCAAATTCTCAGAGCCTATGGAATTCCAACTCACATTATCAACATTATTGGGAAGGTCCTTGAGCACTTGAAATGTAGTATATAAGACTATGCACTGTCTGGTTTGAAATTAAATCTGGAGTCTGGCAAGATTGCATCCTATCTCTATATTTCTTTTTACTGTCGATTGGGTTATGTATCAAACAAGAAATTAAAACACATTTCACATTTAGAAGACCTTGACTTCGCCGATTATCTCATTGCATTCTCTTCAAATCATCCCCATCTTTAAAGTCAGACTGATTCATACTGTCAGACTGATGCATGTACTGTGTAAAACAAGGTTGTCTGCATATTAACAACCAAAAATCATAAGTATCAATACACCAAAATCACCTCAAATTACCACCAACTCAGACGTGCTAGAGTATGTTGAAGATTCAGAAGTTGAGTGCATTCAGAAGACTTCAAACCATCTAGAGATCTAAAGAATACAATACTAAGATGAAAATCAGACTGTACAGCAGTAGTGTAAAATCAGATCTTATGGTATGGATCTAGTTGAAGGATTGTGAAAACAGACAATGGCAAGGTCAACTACTGTACCTTTGTAATACTTGACTATATAAGATCTGCAACCTTGCCTTTGCGAAGAACATTTTTTAAAGAGGACCTGTACAAGAAGACTTGTTGCTATAGATTGAGATCCAGAAGCACCAGATAAGATCAATCAGGCTTGTGCTAGGAGAGCAAATATCAAAGTTTGCTCTAAGATGGGAAACGTCAATTGGAGCAGGACTGAAACAACATAGTAATTGAACTGGGGCTTACATGGGGTGAGGCACAAGACAAAGGGTTGGTTGGAAAAAATAAGGATGTTACACCTTATGGGACATGGGACCACAAGGATAGGTAAGTACGGTAATTATAAGTACAGTATGTGTCATACACTTTGATTCTTCATGAAAAACGTTTTACCTAGATTGCACATTTGTTGCTGTAAAGCTTTTTCCAATGAATCTGATAAAAAGGGAAAATAAGCATCAGAAAACGTTGATCTTAACGTCTGTTTTCTGTTTCAGATTGTTATATTGGCCAAAGTTATTACAGGCATAGACCAAGTTACTTTGTCTGCCAGAGGGATCGCCCTACTTGTACAGGTGCTTCAGTCACAGAACTCCAGGGCAGTCATTCTTACAGGTAACCAAGTCTGTATGCCACATTCATTATCACAGAAAGGGGATAACAGAGGCCACTGTCATAATGAGTTCATGTGGATATCTGACAGTGTGTACTACACATATACTGTAGAACAACAAGAGTGTCTTCCTGGCATGGCTGCATTTGAATCCATTGGTAATGTAGTTTGAAAGAAAGTTTTTCTTCCAATAAGGAGCTTGCAAGTACTATTTTATGACAAATATTATGCTTAATCGGTATGGGTCTAGAAGAACTTTGTACTAACACTTAACTGGTGAAAAATCTTTAACATTTAAAAAAACTGTATTGAAAAAATATTTTCAAAGCAACAACCCAAAAATGCTCATTTTTTTCTTTAGCCTGTCACAGCAATGTCACTTGAATGTCTTAACCTTTGGTCTTAGATGTGATATAATACATTCAGAATAGCAATGTGAAAGTGTGCTAATAGGTTCTGACATTGTCAATGGTATATTTCCTTTTGATTCAGCACAGCTGCTCGCCAGCTTGGCTCACACTCGGGCGGGCATTCCTGATGCCATAGTCACGATGGGAGCTATAAACCACTTATGTGCCCACTTATATTCCAATGAAGAAGAGGTAACAGCATCTAAAAAAACATTAGTTTTTTCTAAAGCTGTTTATAATCAAGATGTGGTACTTCATCTCTGTTGATATTTTAAAAAGTTTCCTTTCACTGATTCATTGACAAAAACTGATGCATTGATGTATGAAGCAGAATCAGCATGCAATTCCTTGCATTCATTTTGCACTTTTCATTTAGAAGGATCCCAAAGTATTAAGTCCTTAATGTAGAGGAGGGGGCCCCACTAAGGTTCAGCTCCCACCTGACATAGAGATTATGCACCCACAGCTTCACTACACAGCAGATCAAGTGGAAAAGTAAGAAAATACTTTACTGGTTGAATGAAGGGGGTACTAGGCTGGATTGTGCAAGCCCAAAGTGGTGTATAGCAAGGATACCATGGATAACACCCTTGAAAATGCCATATTAAGAGTACTGTTTAATGTTGTAGTTGGGATCTCATTTTAACATCTCATCCAAAGGAAAGCACCTCCTCCAATTCCCTACTCCAATTCTGCACCAGAGGGAAGAGTGCCATCTACTGGTCCACCAACATCACTACATTTTTCTTTGACCCAGTACTGACCAGGTCCAGCCTTGGTTAGGTTCTGAAATCGGATAAAACCAGACTGCAATTTAGTAATGCTGCTGTAATTTTAAAACAATATACTGTTTCAGTCAGTTATTAAATGTACTTAAATGCAAGTGTTCTTGTATTTTGTACTTTACAGGTTCGAATAGGTTGTGCAATTGCTCTAGGCTACCTCACGTTTAATCGCCCTGCACACCGCATCCTCCTGGTGGAATGCCGCAACACACCAGGATTATATGACCTCTTGATCGAGCACCTCAGTAAAGATGCCAAGATATCCCAAGTTTTTACAGCCGAATTCGAAAGACAGAAATTAGTTGGGCTTCCTTCGTTAAGGTAAACAGAGGATCACAGAGCATTATAGTTCAAGAAATGCAAATCACATTGTTTTTTATCACAACTTTAGATTAATAACTAAACTTTTTTCCACAACAGTTTGGAAATAAATGGTGGTCCAGCTGTATCACACCATAATAATAAAGGTAAGTTAAGCTATACCCATTATCTACATGATATTAATTTGGTATTTGATTGTTTAAATTTCTTCATGTCTTCATACTAAATTACTTAACAGTACTATTAAATACAACTTTGGTTAACCATAATTAAAAGCGTTAACAGTGTAATAAGTTTTAGTTTTCTTAGTTTTTATTTTTTCAGTTTTCTTGTACATAGACAATATACTGTGTAGAAATCAGCACTTCTTTTTTGTAAGACTAGTATAATCAAAACAAATATAGTCAGTGGCATTTGGACAATATGTTGTTCGATTTGAATATGATCTGTAAATCTGATGAAATGTCACATTATTTCCAAACAGACAGACCAAAAACGATGAGCACCATTCGGAATTACACAGATGCTCAAAATACCCAGTGTCTGCGGACAAGATCGGCTCCAGTCTTGTTGGTTCATAGACGCAGGACAGCAAACACCAAGCTGAGAACTGCAGAAGTGCCCCTGCATAGGTCATTTCAGACCCTGGAGAGGTAGCAGCTGAACAGAACCAGTGAATCAGTGCATCAGGAGCAAAATGCCTGCAGACCGGATTACGCACAATCCCTGGACCTTCTAGCACTAATGGGTTACAATATTAAAAACCAGGACATGGACCACATATTTTTTAAGTATATATTTAGAAATATAAAAGTATTCATTGTTAACTTGAATATCAGACTGTGTAAAAAAATCTACTTTATTGTAAATAATGTCCCAAAACAGAAATGTAGTTTTAAGTACAGACATTCTATTATTAAAAAGCATTACAAAACAACCATAAACTCATCTGTATGTCTGTTTCTAGTACATGTTTCAACAATTTGTACAAATTAGAATTCATAAATTGCACATTGAAGCATTAATATACAAAATCAAGCATATTTGAAGGGCCATATAGTACAGAGTTTTGAATGCTTACAAAATCTGCCAGTGAAAAATACTTCTGATTTTTGTAAAAACAACAGCTCAGTCTCTTATCTTCAGTTTCAAGCGTGGAATCTTTATGGCTGCCTCCTTCACTTGTCCTGAAATGTCAGTCCCAAATGAAGCCCTGCAGCACATAAACCACAATACATTAGGCTGATATTCTCACTTATACCTAAAGAATGACTATTTACGAGTTAAGGATATGCTTTAGATGGTCATCCGTAATAAAACAGCAAAGTATTAAACATCAAGTGTCTATATTCTAAATATAGATTTCCTTAAACTTTATATGACAGTCTATTCTGCTCAGGAATCAGTTAGCCATGTCTTTAAACATTTGATGAAAAATGATTCTTCCATTTTCTTCAATCTGCTTTTTATTGTAATTTATGTAAAGCTTTGTGACTTACTTTGGCTCATAGCAGATGTGTTCAATATGATTTAATATTCCTTTTCCCTCTCGGAGTCTCTCTATTCCATTCCTAAAAAACAACAATATTTACTCAGGCTCTAGGTAGAGCAGTACAAAATAATTTAATCTAAAAGCCAACATTAGGAAATAATTGATATCGGAGAATATTATAGCCTCACTTCCATGTTCCACTGGCATACCTGCAGTTAGTCAGACGAAGTGATTTAGGACAGATTAAATCTGTGCTCCATTATTTCATAATCTCACTAGTTCAATTCTATATTATTTTGCCTATGGTGTTCTCATTGTGATTTACTCATATAAAACTTGTTTGGCACAATAATCCTCACAAAATGCAAACTTGCCACAGATAGGCAAACAGACCTTTTGGACTCCTCACCATGCAATCATGACACCGTTGTCTGTGCAAAATTTTGAGGGTGGACAGAGCAAAGTCAAATCGGTTGCATCCGTAACAATTTTCAAAGTCTTTTTGATATATTGATTGCTTGCAACTCCTCCAGAGACAACCTGCAATATGAAATGTTATGAGCAGTCAGATTCACTCTATAAACAATAGTTATCAGAGTCATTAAGACATATATTGGCCTTCATATTTGATAACCAGATATCAGATGCATTTCAAAGAGAATATTTGTTACACCTTAACAGGAATGAACAAATAATGCACATTTTTTATGAAGAGCTTTTAACTAAACACACTCATTGCTTTTAGACACCGTCTATACAAAGTACTGCTAAGAAGACAAAATATAGTCTTCTTTGTAGGACACCTATGATTTTTTTAATTGCTGAACCCCCAATTTATTATTACTTGTTGTTCTTTGAACATACCTAGCTCTGTTCTTCTTTATAATAAATATATTCCACAAACTCACCAGAGTGGGGCTGTTTTGGGGCAACAGTCCCTTGGCTTTACAGAACAGTATCGCACGATGGGTGCGCTTTGCGATATGGGAAGCCACAGTGTGCTGCACTGCAGCAGCAATGTCATTAGCACAGGACAACATCTGACCCATTTGTACACCTGCAATAAAGGCACATCTGTTTAACACCCTTCAGGGACCGAAGCCTTGTTCTGCTTTTCAAATAGGATGTAGTCCACAGCAGGAGTAACCACTCCTGTTACTAATTCAACTAAGAGGTGGCATAAACTAGAAATTTTTCACAAACTGGAGAAATCTCAGGTTTACCACAAAGAAAAGCTCGCTTACCTTCCCCCTCTTCCTTTTTGATAATGACCTGAGTCACTTGGTTCCGAAGACCAGCAAAGGAAAAGTTGCAGTCCAAATGTTGGCCCATGGGTGACTTCAAGTAAAACTTAAGCCTGTCGCCTTGTTTAGCTAAATGCTCAATGGCCTGGCCACCACTTAAAGTGGAGCACTCTGGGTGTTTAATGAGGGATAGTCTTCTTGCTACCTGTCAATGACAACTGGGTTATTCAGTTTAGTGAATAATTTATGAATGTTTCAGCAATGTATATAGGAATAGAGTCAGGGTATAAACATTACCAAAACAGACAAAAGAAAAAACACATCTGAAAAAACATACAGATATTGTTCTGTGTACTTCTACTATTGTATAAATAAATATGCTCTTTTATTTTCCCTTCAGCATGGAATAAACCTTTACCTTTTCCTTTGCAACTTGCTCATGCTGAAGCAAAATATGAATTTCTTAAGTACAAATATTTGTTCACGACAGTAATGTACAGGGGCCACCGATGCTTCATCTTCTTTCCAATAACATAGAAAAACTGCAATGGAGAACATCCAGACAGACCCCTCACAAAGCAAAAGATGAATGTTCTTTATATTTGCCATTAATACTGCATTCTTTGGAAATATTTGAGCTGTTTATCAGTGCAGGTAAGTGGACTTACAGTTTTGAAACCACTTACACAATGCTCAAAAAATCCTCAACAGACCCTTTCTGAGAGCACATTCAAAATTTTTACGTACTTTATCTAAAGTGTCTCCTGGCGCTTCATCCAGTGATTGTCCCAGGAGAAGAAAGTCATCGATTCCATTAGCCACTGCCAGTAGACAGTGACCCCCAGACACCAGGAGCACGAGGAATGGGAACTGGACAGAGTGAATCATTCTGACAGTCAGTGCATGGGCTTCCATGTGGTGGATTGGGATGAATGGCTTTTTATACTGCTGTACGAATTTCAGACTGTACTCCAGGCCCACCCCGAGGCTCAGTGCTAGACCCGGTTTTACTGTGGTTGCAACAGCAGATAGCTCGTTTGGTGTAACTCCACTCATGGCCAAGGCCTGCTGGATCACTGTCGTTATGTGTTCCCTGTGCAGTCGTTGGGCCACTGTTGGAATGATCCCACCTGTTCTAAAGCAAAATATACACATGCATACAAATGACACCACTATTACTATTGCACATATTGTTACACCACAGTTTTGACCTGTAAACCATATTTAATACAGAAAGGAAATCTGAAGTAAGAAATGAGGGGGAAGGTGAATTTGTATTTAAAAAAATTCTGATTTACAAAGTTTTGTTATGGTGTATATGTAGTTACATAGTAAGAATAAAATGATATTATATAGAACCTATAAAAGTAATCATCTCAAAGCACTTTACAAAAATTGGCAAAAAAGCATAAAACATCACAAAATGTGTTTCTATAAAAGTTGGTTTTCAGGCTGGATTAAAAAGCACCCAATGTGGGACAGTCACTGATGTCTTTTAAGATAGTGGTCCAGAGCTTAGGAGCCATAGAAGGTCCTGTCACCCACAGAGTGTAGACGAACAATAGAAACACCCAGTAAACCAGAATCTCATGAGTGAAGGTTGCGTTGAGGGGAGTGAACAGATAACATATTGGCTAGATGCTGACTAGTTATACCATGTACATCCTTGATTGTGAGTAAGAAGAATTTTACAATCATCTTGAAACCTGGATTTTAAAACCATACTTGTGTGATGTGCACATGTGTGACATAGTTATTTCCAAATATGCTGTAATATCCTTGTAGGTATAGAGACTCTTCCGTGCAAGGCTTTGCAATACTCCAATCTTTGCATGTACAAACACATAAACCAGTTACAGACACACACAGAAAGTAGCCTGGGAATTTTTCTAAAAAAAAACAGACATTTATACAGTATTCTGCCCATGAGGTCTCAAAGTCCATCCAGAATTAAGGATCCCCATCAAAATCTTGCGTGAAACTCAAGCACAGTGCTGTCAACTGACAATTGTTACAGCACTGGTTTGATGTACCTGATGGGAACAATGACCTCTGTCTTTTCACAATTATGATGCAAAACATTTTGTTGCATCTAAACATTTATTACAGAAATGTAATTGGAGAGTACTGAAACTTGGTATCAGGATTAGTCTGGACATAAAATGAATTATATTCTGCATAGAAATGATAATTCAAACCATGTAATTTTAATGTTTAACTTAGAGTAAGCATATAAATATTAAACAGGAAATGGCTCATTTCTAATTCTACTTCATTTCAATTCCTGTGTAACACCAGACTAACCAACCAAACAAGAGACCTAAAACCACCAAGAGAAAAATTCAAAGCTTATCAAGGAAAGAATTAATCCGCTACGTCTAAAAGAATAAAGACCATCCAAAATCAATAGCCATGAAGAAAGAATAAGAATATTTAACAAGAACAGTTTCAATGCTAATGTATATAGTTTTTTTTAAATCCAGACTGAAACAGTTTGTAAAATGTACAGTGAGACCACCAGTTGCACTGCAAGAGCATGTTCTAATATTTCACAAGAAAAGGCAAAGCTGATGTGTGTCAGAAATTATTAAGACCACTAGGTCTGGTGGGTACAGTACCTGGTGTAACTGTAGTGCACTGGATGTCAGGAAATCATTTCTGAGGTTATTAGCAGGAAGGGTCATAGAGCAGAGAAACAGAAGTGCAATAAAACAAAGGGAATGAGTGGAGACAAGGACAACACAGTGGAGGAGAGGTTAGCATTGCTGCCTCGCAGTGCTGGGACCCTGGATCCAATTCTGGACCTGTGGTGCTATCTATGTGGAGTTTGTATGTTTCCCTGTAGGTGATCCAGTTTCCTTACAATACTGACGGGTTAATTGGATTCTGTGAATATTGACACTAATGTACATGTGTGTGTTTGTGTCTGTCCATTGGACTGGCATCTCGTCCAGGATGTACCATGTGTTGTGTTTGTTGCTTGCCTGGATAGGGTCAGGCTCCCCTGTGACCCTGGATTACAAGAAGCAGTTAGAAAATGAATGTAATGGGGAACAGAAGACGGATTTTATATGTGATGCCACTTGAGTATGACATGCAGGAAGTGAGCTGCAAAAAGTGAGAAAAAGGAGAACCAGAAAAGTTAGGCATACAAGCAAGCAGTGCTCTATGCAAGAGTTGAGAATTGGTAATGGTTTATATATAAGCTTAGTTTAAATAGAAAAACATTACATACAAATTATAGTGGAAATTATTGTTTTCATTAATATTTTATCATATTTTATGAAGAAATTTTTTGTTTTTATGTGTAATTCTATTGGTAATAGATGGGTAAAATCCCTTCTTTAGGCAACTTTTGAAATGAGAAATTGTTCAGTTGACAGCCTGTGTCAAATGTTTCAAGGTCAGAATAAGGTGATGCACCTACTTCAAATGCACTTCTTTCTGAGAATATAAAGATTCTCCGAGGACTGAACCGGTCTCATCCATCACGGCGGCTCCTGTGTCATCACAGCTGGTTTCTACACCTAAAACGACTCGATGGTGGCTAACCGTACGAATACATGTAGTTCTGTATGAAGCCCAAGAAAGCACTTCTTTTAGTTTCCATTGATGAGGTTCAGTAACAGTAGCTCTTTGAAAAGCCAAGCCACACAATCGTGCACCGAAACAAGATAACAGTGACATGAGTTATATAATATAACATACGCTACTCATGATTTTAATACGACCGTGACTATTTCTTTTCTCCGATCCTTAATTCCATTAATTCTCACAACCTCTCATGCGTCCAGCGGCAATTAGTCCCCCGTGTAAATATTTCCCATTAGAAACAAACACCGAAATGCGCGTTCCATTTGCGTTGCCTGTACTGTTTTTAGAATTTTCAAATAAATATATTGACCATCCGACGTAATTTTATCATAGGTTCTTTTTTAACTAAAAATCATCCGAAAGTTAGGAGCGGAAAATTAATACTATACAGGAACCAAAGATGTGTACCAATTGTTGCCGGAAGGGCACATTATACACGTGCAACAGTGAGAACGTGAAAGGGATTGTAGCCATAAAATACATCTACTTTTTGAAATTATGACCTCTTTTTTTGATTTTCTGTGTTGAATCCGTTTCGGTATTGCTTTTTGTTTTTAGGGTGTATATAGGTAAGTTAATGGCAAAACTGAAAAAAGCTTCTACAAACAATTTTTAAACTCGTACTTCGTAGGAGCATCTGAACAGCAATTGCATATTACATTTTATTATTTAAATTGAAACTTGTTTATAACCCTTTAGACTTAATATAATGTTTGTGTTAATTGAATTTGTAATAAAAAACGTTTTAGATTTAGTTGAGATTTGAAGACGTTAAGACTAAATATTTTGTATGTGCATATTTATAAACTTATACTGGGTCTTATGGTACATTATAAGTATTTTTGTCTTACGTGAAATTATTTTATAGAAGTTTAATTTTTAGTGTCTACGTAGTACAGGAACTATATAGGAGAAAGACGGTAATGACAAAATATGAGGTTTTATTCGTTGTTAAAATAACATTTGCTGAAGTTTAGAAAAAGGATCCCGTGATTTGAACTAAACATAAATTTGTAAAATGCAGCATTTTAGATATTTTTTAGGACATCAGTATATATTACCATTTACATAAACATAAATATACAATATGATAAGCCCAGTTGTGTTGTTTTTAAATTTAAGGCAAAAATGGGCTTTGTCCATGACTCAGTCGTGAAATTGGTCTACATGTAAAGAAAATTCCTTTGGCAGATTGTAGATATTCATATCGGGATTTTATAAAGGAAGAAAGTCAGCAAACTCTCAGCATAATGTACTGCTTCCTTGCCCAACATTTTGCATTTCTGCTTCTTAAGAGTTTAAGCATCCCTTGTTTTGACAGGTTTTAATGGAACCACAGTGCAAACGCAGAAAAACAGAAGGTGAAGTGATGCCCTGGGCCATCTTACCTGTTCTTTCTGATGAGCAGTCCCAAGACATTGACTTACTGGAAGCCTATGCTGTGCCTATTCTTGATAAGAGAGAAACCTCTCGTCTTGTGAAGGAGCTGAGTGCCATATACCCCTTACAAGGCCTGAACCATATTAAGAGGGTACGTGCATGCAAAGACAAAGAAAGCCCACATCCTTTGGAAATGATTTTGTGTCTGGCGAGAGATATTGGACACAGTCGAAAAAACCAAGAGCTGTCTATCTCTGCTCTTTTGTCTAATGCCACTGTGGACAGCAGGGGTTTAGGTGAACCATTTATAGTGAAAATACCAGCATGTCCTCCTTTGACTAGACCTCAGTTTGAAAAAGCCAGCAGGCACTGGCCCACTTCCTTCCATGAAGACAAACAGGTTACAGTGGCACTGAATGGGGAGCTGTTTACTGCTGCTCAGAAAACAAAGATGGAGACGTACATGAAGTTGGCTATTACAGCAGCAAAAATCGGACAAGGAGAAGGCATGGAAGCTGTAGGTGCTGTTGTTGTTGATCCGGAGGAGGAGAGAGTCCTTGCTGTGGGCCATGACTGCAGGAATAGTCCTCACCCTTTGCTTCATGCTGTTATGGTATGCATTGACCTTGTGGCACATGGCCAAGGTGGTGGGGCTTATAGTTATGATAAGTACACTGCCTGTCGTTTCTTTAAAGTAGATAACTCGAAAGATCAGGCTAAAAGTAGCTGTCTGCCCTCCAAGGACATGTATATCTCAGAGCAGTCAAAGGAGAGTGGGTTGCCATATATTTGCACTGGTTATGATCTGTATGTAACAAGAGAACCATGTGTAATGTGTGCAATGGCTCTGGTTCACTCTAGAATACAGAGGGTCTTCTATGGAACTGCATCATTAGATGGAGCGTTAGGAACCAAATACAAAATTCATACCCAGAAAGATCTGAATCACCGTTTTGAAGTTTTTAAAGGAATTATGGAACAGGATTGTGTAAAGCTCACTACATTGCATCAATTAAATCATGTTCCAGTAGACTCACTGGATATGGATTTGGTTTTGGAGACATTGTAACCAATTCTGTGCTAGATTTGAGTTAACAACTTTCACATTTCTGTTAAATCATATAGAGAGATGCAGATGCACAAAAAACAGGTGTAAGTTTGCTAGGTAGGATGTGTTACTGCTGTGAAGTCATGCCACTGTAATTTTTAAAGATGAAACATTTTTTAGAAACTCATTTTTAAGCCCTTTGGTATGGACCCAATTGAAGTTATATTCTTTTTCAAATGTATGAATGTGCATGTTTCTTTTTTGTCTCTTAGAATAATGAGTTATTTAGAACTAAAATCTTTTTTTAACTGTTACTTATTTTGTTTTATCCAGTGAATAGTAAAACAGTTTGTCTGTTTCTGTCTAAGTTTTCTTTTCTAAGTAATCTTAGAAAGAGTCTGTTCTTAAATGTATAGTGACTCTTAACAGAACAAACCAAAGTGCCTGAGACTGATGCCTCTTTACAAAAATAAAATTATTCATAACCATACTTCTTTGGATGCCATATTTTATGTAATGAGTCCATATTCAGCAGAGCTTTACCATAAACAAAGAAATACACTAATTTCTTGAAGGGCACAAATGATTTTATTGTCATAAGTAAACAGGCTGTTGAAAAGCTCCAAGAACACCTTGGATGAGCAGACCTGCAAGGGCTAGCTGCCTCAGCAATAACGAAGAGCTTTAAAAAGGTCCATAAACATGTCTTACAAACATACAGCCACATAAGTTTCAAAAATACAACATTTTCAGTTAAAGTCTTCTGAAAGAACAGTGCTTTAAAAGAAATCTTGAATCCAAGTTCACCCTTAAGAATTGAAACTTATAGTCTTACACAAAACTAAAAATTTGCTTACATTCTTCTGTAGACAGAAAATGTATTTTTTTAAATTTTCTAACAATGTGTACAGACAATTCAGTCAGTGGAAAAAAAAAACATGCAAAACAAATTGTTTCCTCCATAATTTAAGCCCTAATGAGCAAAGTAACAACATTAAATAAAAACAGCATCATCTTAAGTTGAATCACAGGCCCTTATTCAAATGAACAAATGATCTGTAAAAAGTATATTTTCCGTGGCTTGTGGGCAGAGTGCCTCTCTCAAAGATTAATCTGAATGGACTCTTCAGTACCAGCACCATTCTGGATGCAGTGGGCAAAGACCCCAAGCAACAAACACTACACTTCATGAAAATGCTTCAAGTCTAAGAACGGGGCCTGCCCAGTTCTTTAAAGAAATCCAGCGTTAAATAGTCATTTAAGTTAGTAATGCACATGTAAGTGCAGTAATGCATTTGCCTCTTACAAAGTCCCTGACATGTTTTTTCCAAATGCATTTAAAGAATGAAAGTGGCAAATAGACACTGTACAAAACTGCTTAGTACACACTACTGGGGTACAATGTACAGCAGGTTACCAATTCATCTCGCCATGTAAAAACAATATCTAATTGGAGCATTGGTCACAAAATGGCAACTTTCAGACACTCCAGTTTAATATTTGTTGATGCCAAAGATTCGGACTCCATGTAACTGCGGCAATTTTGGGATAAGCACACTTAAAAGAGAAGCTGTGTTTATAATAAAGTGTGCTGTATCATACTTTGTGTAGAAGCTGGCCAGAAAATATCTGTAAAATTAAAGAAAAGGCAAAAAGTCAGAAAAACTCATTAGTTTAAAGAAATCACTCTGAAGCCTTTTTTCTTGATTACATGATTGCATCCAGATGAAAACTATAAAATCAATTATTCTAAATAACAATGAGAAAGATCATCCGACGACAATTCTACTTTTTGTTTAGTCAATTATGTCCTCTCTTCTTTTAACAGTTACATGTAAACTATCATCTGTTAAGTCTAGGGTGAGTTAAATATGCAATAAAGTAACCTTAGAAAGAGGCTATAGTTAACTGTATAGTGGCTGCAACAGAACAAGTCCGTGCCCAAGACTGATCCCTGTTCAAAAAAATAAAATTATTTATAACCACTACTTCGTTGGGGTAACCCTACACCCTACAATTCACACAAAATGTGTCAGCCCAGCAGTGCTGGAGCCATAGTTAATACTATTTTTGTTTTGTGTATAAAAATGTATTTGGGATTTAAAGTCAAATCAATCATTCACGAACTGGTCAGATTTAAAAAAAAAAGATTCATTCAGTTGAGATCTAATTCAAAAGCAGAAGTATGCTATGAATTAAAAACAAAACATCTTACAGTATAATTGGTGAGATGGTGAAGAACTTTCTTGAGGATGTGAACTGCACTCCATAGTCCAGCTGCTCCCAGTGTGTAAGTAACCTGGCTTTACCCTGATCTGGTGTCTCAAATGGTGTGCCTTTAACTGCATGCAGAAACACGTACATCCCCTAAGAATAAAGATTTCAAGCAGGTCAGTTACATTTTCAATCTGGAAAGAACACCACACTACAGGAAAGGGAAAGAGGGGAATACATTCAAGAAATATGGAGGAGATATAATTTCTGAACAGTTTTTCTTTTCATGTTTGACAAGTTCACTTGATTGCAGATTTCGAGGACAGCATTAGTATTCTACAAGATTATTCCTATATCCCCACTACATGTACAGTATAGCTTACTTTCTGAAAATTCTGGCATACTCTACCACCATCTCAAACATGGATTATCAAGTGGAAAGAATCAATTTCCATTCGCATTAGTCCTGAGAATCTTGTCTGCAAGTCCTCAATGGTCATGTCTTGTAAGATTGCTTGATACAGACTAACCCTGAGGTGGACTTTACAGCAACTTGACTGCCTTAGTCAAGAAAAATGTAATCTAATTTAAGAAGTTTTAAGAAAGGGGTGTTTTAAGGAAAATATGGTACTAGGTATAATCAATTTCTGTAATTAAATTTGCAAACAACTCAGAAACCAGACAAGGCTGAAAAATAACAGCATTAATCTTGCATATTTCCTGAACTGTGATAAGAAAGAGAAGGAAGTTAATTAGAACTCTGCTGTAGGACAGAAATTGAAAGTGATAATTGTAGTCATCCTGATAGCCAACCAGAGATAAGGACTACGACAGAAAATCTCTCTCCTTAAGCCTCATTCCTTAGAGGAAGGGGGTCCTTTTAGGTTATTTTTTATCTCGGTTATACATTTGTAAAGTCATTTTGAACAGTATTGGTTTACGTCAAAGGAAGAGCATTCAAAATATTTTAAATATTGAGTCAACATATAAGTGGATGTTACCACAAATAAAAGCATACTGTCTGCAATACATTTTATTTGACTTTTTTCCCCAAGTAAATAATAACTAATACTGTACATAGAGATGCTAGGCCTTTCCAGAAATATTCAGTATTTTTTTTTTTTTAAGTTTTGGTGCATTTTATGCCATTATGACAAGTTTACTAGAATTGTGTCAAGATTCTTTTTTTTTTTGGAACATCAATACACCAGTAAATGTGTCCTTCAATTTCAGTTTTACAACACCACGTTGCACAGATCAAATTGTATTTGCCCCCGTGAGAATGAGAGTTAAATATGTTTGGTATATGTTTTTCTACTTAGTAAATGGTGCATGTCATGCAAAGTTGCAGGAGTTAACCTTGATGTTTTAAAAATGACAGATTCCTAACAATGGTGTTAATGTATTGAGGAAATATCCTTTGTTCCACAGCAACAGCTGCACCACATTACTCTCAAGATAAAAACAACAAGGATTTCACTTGGCATAAAATGACACAGGTTTGTAGCACATGCCCTGTAGACAGCATTAAGGTCACATAAGCAGGAAGATAAATACTAAAGGATAAGACAAAGACATCCACCTTTATATAGTCACAATTACATACTCATGTTAGTCCCAGAGGAAGTGACTTAACTTCCTACCGTTTTCTATTGAATTACTAAAAACTGGACAAATCAACTTCATTTTAAGGACTCTTATCACATTAGGTCTTATACAATACACTACTAAACCAATACATCCATCCATCTTCAAACTGCTTCATCCAGTTCAGGGGAGCTGGCAAAACAGAGGCTGTACCAGCAAACACTACACTAATGTGCTTCCTTAAAATGAAGTAAAACTGACAATAAAACACTAAAGGGCACCATTAATTTAATATAATCAAGTGTGTGTGTGTTAACAAACCAGAAGGTTGGAGCACTGAAGTTAGACTCACCAAATTGTGTATCACATTTGTTAGGGTCCACACTACTGGTACACTGAAGAAAGGAATGCTGAGTAGCACAATGTGAAGCATTCCAACACCAAGGGCATATGTCAGCCAGATTCCCCGACTGTTCATCACTCTTGTGTTGGGGTTCACTTCACTGTGAGCAACGCCTACATTCATTTTGATCTGCAAAAGGCAAAAGTCAAATAAAAGACCGCTGCAAGTTTGATTTATTAAACAGTTCTCTATAATGACTTTGGAATTCTCTGAACTCGCAAATAATAGTGAAAAGAGCTTTAGACTATAGACTAGTTGAATTTGAAGACCGTGTTGTAGACAAAAAAGCTTTTATTGTGTTAATCTTTTGTACTGCAAAATGTTGTACTGCTGCATAGTCCAGGCCATACAATATACCCTTTAGTTCACTAACCACAATGTCTGAGGGCAAGGGGCAAATGTTTTGCACCCCACAATTCTGAATACTTTCAATTATTAATACACAGAGAACCTTCTTTTGCTTTCAGATCTTTTGAACCCCCAAAATTATTTTAGATTTAAACTTCTACCAAAACACAAACTTTTATTGACTTTCTCTTCCTTGGTTATAATAAGTGTGGCAATAATAGCATAACATACAGTACCATTATATAACTTGGCACAATACACTTTCATTAACATTACAGTTACCTACATTGCAATGCAATATTGGAGTCTGATTTATTTAATATAGTGGCTTCAGATTCCACGAAACATACCATAAAACTGAGGAATTAATAAATGAATATTACTAATTCCTCTGTTTCATGGTATGGTTCTAAAATTGGTGTTACAGCCTTGATATTAGTGAAAAATTGACTGCATACTTCAACCTAGACCCAAAACAAGTGTGCAGTTTGGATGTGGAAACCATTCCATTCTTTTTCTGGCCTTGAAGTATACAGATCAATATACAACAGTAAAAGCAGCAGTGTAATATACTTGCTTGACACTTGAAATTTGGGTTAAACATTTGTAACTAGAAGACCTTAAAGATATTTCACAGTTTTTCATTACAGGGATGCTGAAAGAACTGTTTCTTTGTATGGGTAGATTTTTGCAAAGCAAAATTTAATTAAAACAGTACACCAACTGACACTAACTAAGGTTAACAGCAACATACACTTTCTTTCATTGAACTAAAGTGAAAATTGTTCATGTTAATGGTCCTTACAAACTGTTCTTATTTTTTTTTCCCCACTGTACACACTGTTTTTCCTACAGGTCACTGCAGTATAATCAGCTCGCCTTCCAAATGTACAATTTTTCATCTCTTCATCCATCCATTTTCTAACCACTTCTTCCAATCCAGGGTCACGAGCAAGCCAGAGCCCGTACCGGCAAGCAAAGGCTGCAAGGCAGGGTACACCCTGGATGAGACATCAATCCATCACAGGCCACACAGAAACAAACACAGACGCACACATTCACTCCAGGGCAAGTTTCGCCAGAAGCCAATTAATCTATTCGTATGTCTTTGATCTGCGGGAGGAAACCCCAGCAATTGGATGAAACCCACACAAACCTGGATGGAACATACAAACTCCACACAGACAACACCCCAGATCCGTAACTGGTCCCAGTGCTGTAAGGCACCAATGCCAATCACTGCGACACCATGTCACCTTCATCTCTTCAATAAAAGAGAAACAATTCTGTTGACACAAATACATGTCCCCAATCCTTTTAATTTACTATAGCATTGTGATACTATACAATTAAAAAGACCAGTGATTAAGTTGTAGCAAATAAACGACTAACAGGTAGAATTAAGGTACAAGATTGGGTTGATTATTCTAATAACTGGCTTTTGAAGAAACTACATCGACCTTTATATGCTGAGGGACTGAAATAATGGTTAGAAAATTAGTCTAAATTATTACACTAAATAGACTAAAAATTATTACTTATAAAACACCTCGAAGTATAATGACAAGTATTAACATTTCCTGTACTTACTAGTTGTATAGCTATCTAACCAAGAGCTTAAGTGAAAAAAACCCCCCAGCAAAGGCAATAGTCTAAACTCCGTACAGTCAAGGTTATTTTGCCACAATAAACTCATACTAGTACTTCAGCAATGCTACCGCTCATTAGGAATTTATGTTAATAAAAAACGTTTACTGAAACTTTTCTTCATTGACAAATTCCTACAGGGGAAAACAAAGCAAAGCGTGTTTAAGGAAAAGTAAGAAAGCACATATATTTGCAGTGAAAGAGTATAAACTCCTCCAAACCTTGTCCTTCGTTTAATATAACTACTATTAAGAATCCCCAATAATGGTGCGAACTCTCCCCTTGAAATCGGGTTTTGCTCGCGTTGTTTCACAATGGCAAAGCAATGGGTAATATATCACGTGTTTTATTACACTGAAGATTTGCCAAAATGTTTAATAACTGTTTTTTTCCCCACCTCTATCCCAATTGGAATTTATACTTGCACAAGTCAGAATGCGTTACTGATATCGTCTGGTTGTTATAAAGTTCAAGGTTGCATAACTACGCAGATTCTGCAAACTCAAGATAGCACTTTTAAATTATGTTTTTCCCATTTTTTCTCGGAGATATAAAGAGAAAGGCAACTGGCGTGCTTGTGCTCTTCAGATAATAATCGCATTTAACTGTAAAGCTACCCGCGCACGTAAATCAGACCATAAGGCAGAGCTAGTAAAGCATCTATGCAAATCAAGCACTGGCGGCCGGTTATCTCTCGTCTTTTACTGTTGTCACACTGTATACAAAACAAAGAAAAGACACAGAACTAGAGCACCAAGACAGTGGAATTAAAGCTATCCGTTCTGAAAACCGTAGATCACGGTAAAGAGAAGAATACAGAATGATGTTGTTGTTACCCCGTTATCACGCAGGTTACAAAATGCGTTTAGGTGGTTCAAAGTTCACGTAAGCTCTCGAAAATTTGCCCACCTTAATACCGCAGCAAACTAATATATATGTCAAACAGAACGTAGGCAACCCATTTAACAATAAGGATAGCAAGATCATTAAAACACAAGACACAAAAAACACCTAATTTTAATCTAATCTATTTGCACGTAACAGTAAACCGTTTTCAGATTGTTCCAGCGTGTCCTTCACAATAAAAACACACGCTTACTTGATGCAACCACATATATCTCTCCTAACCGAACAGGTCCCCGTATCGAGTTATAATCAGTTATAATTAAAGAAACATATTTCGTGACCCATTAGACTACGTTTTCTAGGCTGCGTTTTTCACCAAAGAGACACTTAACTGCAACACCAGTTGAATTTTACTACTCCAGAAAAATCTAGGTCACCGCTGAAAGCACGAGTAAACTTCAAAATATATAATCGTGCACATCCCTACTTTTCTACTAAAAGTTTCTACTTACATGATCGCCTAATAAAATAACGTCTTCTTTAAGGAAAATAATCAGTGTAGAACGTAAATGAAACCACCAATCCTCCCCCACTCCAATGCTGTTGTCTGTAGTTTTGCTCACTCAAAAAAAAATCTCACAACTCGGAAGTGGAGGGGCAAGATCCGAGTGACTGACATTTCCCTTTACCAATGGCAAAATAAAATACGGCGGAGGCGCACAGGCGCACATTTGGGGGCTGGGTTTCCGCTAACTTGGAGGCAGGACAATTTGAAAATGGAAGATGTCGTTTGTGTGTATGAGGCTTCTGAAGTGTTGTCTGACTATGTTAGAGCAATGTAGTAATCGAGAGTAACGAAACTCAGCTGACATTGTTGCATTGAAAGATACCGATCGTTCGATTTGATTTGTTTTGCAAAGAAGGGTTGGATTTAACAGACGTGGCTACCGTATCCATCTTCCTACTAGGTGTGTGTAAATTAACTGAATAAAATATAGTTTCTAGAGCAATTAGAAAGTTATTATGTTGTAAACGCAACGTGAGGCGATTCAGTTTGATAAAGTCAAGTGTGGTTCAGTGTAGAAGTCGATTGATAGTTCCCTATGATTAATGTCATTTGGAATTTTTGTAGCAAAAAGTATTGATGCTTCTGCAGATCCAATATCTAATCTTCGTGTTTTTGTTTTCTAGATTAGAATTAATTGATTCGACATTATCTTTAGGCTGTAGTGGTACTTTAGCTAGTCAAATGAGCTTTTCAAAAGCATGATTTTAGTGCAGAAAAACATTTTAAAAGCAATCTGTAAGTAAAAAGACACTAAAATATATAACTGCAACAAAGCAACAATGTTATCAGGAATTCGTTTTTTGGAGCGGGTGCACTAACATTTTTATTAAACAGACATGACATGGGTAACTTTATTGTGCTGGTTAACAATTTTTATCAACAGGGGGTCTACTGTAAAGATCAGAGGATGATAGCATGTGTTTACTGATGAAAGGAGTATGAGCTGTACAAATAAAGTGCATGATTTGCAAAAAGTTGCAGATGCTGTCTTGTGGGATCCAGACCAATTGTTCTAGAGCCTGGATAAAGCAGCTTCTTTCAGCCTGAATCTCTGAACCTAGATGTGACGCATCATCCTGCAAATGTTCAATAGGGTTCAAGTCTGGCGAGCAAGGGTATCATGGCATGAATGTTGGACTCTCATCTTGCAAGAGAGTTGTTATATGAGCAGCATGAAGATGTGTGCTGTCCTGTTGGAATGTTAGTATGTCAAGATGTGCCCACAGGAAGGGCAGTAAGTGAGGTTCCAAGATTTAATCACAGTACTGATGGGTTGCCAACAATTATGAGTGGAGTTCTGTGGCAACTAGGCACTACTTCCCAGGATCATCACACATGGCTGATGATGATGATGTATTGATCTTGGTGAGGTGTTGTGAATGGAGGTCCTGCAGATCATGGCTTTGATAGACTGTGTTTGTCTATAAATGACTTAGCCAGGTTAGAAATTACTGGCTGTGAAACACTACAGACAGTGAGTGATAGTGCACTTCCTCAAACATACTGATGGCACTGAAGCATTGCTTGCTTGATAAGTTGTGAATATGGTTTCATTTATGTCAAATCAACTAGATAAATCACCTCACTGTGCCCAGTCACAGCTTTACACTTATAAGATGATGTAGAACTTATGCAGCACTCAGTGTCACCAGAATGCATCACAGTTAATCATTAATGATAATCACAAAGACTCCAAAAACCTTAAATATGTAATATCCATTTAATTTATTTTCTAAAAGCATAAAGGCATAGGTAGCTTACGTTTCTTTTCATGCTCAGAATGACTGTAATCCCAATATAAAATTCTCTTGTGTCTGAATTTACAGGAAACGGATCAAAAGTGGCCATGAAGCAGTTGCCTCCAGACACTGTCCGGCTGCTCTCCAGCTCACAGGTCATCACGTCTGTGGTGAATGTGGTGAAAGAGCTGGTGGAGAACTCTTTGGATGCCAATGCCTCAAGTATTGAAGTGAAAATGGTAATCATTTTTTTTTTTCTGAGTAGGCTTTGTCAAGTAGAATTTTATGTCTTATTCCTGCAATTCATTGAAACGTTTCTCTTGTTCTTAATGGGTTTCCAAGAGTAATAGCTTTCCTTACTGTCTTAATAGAGAATGTTTCATTTAATGGTGTTGTTTTACTTTCGTGAGCATTGATCTTTATTAGAAAAAAAATCCATTCGATAATATGGCCTAGCTAACATTTTATAAAGTTTTTGTATGAGTGAAAAACTGTCTCTCCATTTAATAACTATTGAATGTCGAGCCTGGTGAAAATCAAGCATCAGGAGAATGCTACAGTTCGTATGAGGGCCTAGACTAAGTCAGCTCAGGTGAATATGACAGCAGTGGAGCCATGTCCTCCTTAGCAAGATTTTGGGTTGACCTCCCTGATAAATGTCAACAAGTATGATGCAGTCGTAGAACAGTACAGTAATAGTTTTACGCTATTTGACGAGGAACTTAAATTGTCATGGCTAGGCCAGGAGTGTCTAGTCACTACAGAATTCCAGCTGTCGTGATTCAAAGCAGCATGACAGCACAGTGCTACAGTGATCAGGTCCTGCAGCTTCATCTCCTGCCTTTCCTGTGGGCTCATCCAGATGTGCTAATAGCTCAGCTGGTTTGCCTTGCTGCTTGTGTAACAACAGCTTAATTGTGAGATGACAATGTGACAGTTTTTCCTGGATGCCCCGCTCACTAGACTTATTTTCCATTGAACGTCTGTGGGGTGGGATTTGTTACTATTATAAATAACATGTATCTTTTGAAGGCGGAGTTGTGCCACAGTGGTTAGCATTGCTGCCTCACAGTGCTGGGGCACTGGGTTCAGTTCCTGGGGTGCTGTCTTTGTGGAGTTTGTGTGTTCTCCCTGTGTTCTCTTGGGTTTCCTCAAGGTGCTCTGGTGTCTTTTCACAGTCCAAAGACTTACTGGTAGGTTAATTGGGTTCTGGGATAATTCTGGGACCCTGGTGTGAGTGTGTATTGGTGTGTGTGAATGCCCTGCAGTGGACTGGTGTCCCATCCAGGGTGTATTCTGCCTTGCAACCATTGCTTCCTGGAGGAGGTTCCAGCTCCCTAGCAACCTAGTTTAAAAATAAATGGGTGTTGAAAAATATGATGGATAGTGAAAAAAATGTTTTTATGCTCAGTATATTATTATTAAAGCAGAGGATTACATTTAAAAAATTGTCTTTATATTAACATGTGATTGTTTTGAATTACTGTAAATTTAATGGTACAATAGTTGTGATCTCAACTAAATTAAAATAAAAACTGAGATCAGGGGGCCCAAAGTCAAAGAAAAAACCTTTTTTTATTTTTAATTCTCCTGTTGAACGCATCTACACTTAACAAATCTATGGTTTTGGCCTTTCTTCCATTAATTCCAGTACACAGACAAAAAATGGTTGCATTAACCCGGGGGCTCATTTATACATGACTAAAAAGTAATGTTTTACAGGAGGTCCTAATCTACTGTAAAAAAAGAGAACAGATTTTGGAGAGAACCTCTGTCAAAATTAAAATTAAATTGCTAACTCACACAAGAATGACATTTACCACTGTCTATGAATAGTATATGATTCCATGTTCACCTGTAAACTTTAGGACTACAGATTGTGCAGAGATGAATATTGGTGCTTAATGACTGTACATATTGACACACCTGAATGATCAGTGATCAGATCAAGTGAACAGCGGATCGGTGTTACTGATTTGTTTTTGAGAGTTTTTGCCTTTACTTTTGTTTCTTATATTGCAAAAAATATCCGGAATGTCAAATCAAACTTGATAACACCAAACACCACAGATAGTTATTTAATTATGAAATGCAATAGTTTAAAGGCAGCCTCCAACAGGCTTAAGCACATGTCGAAAAGTTCACGTTGTTAAGCCATTTGAGGGTGTATTTGTGTAAGTGAGTGCCAGGCTGGAACAAAAAATAGCAGGACCAGAATTGGGAACCCCTGGGCTAAAGTACAAATGCCAGATTGCAGTCCTCAGTGAGCCACAATGAGCAGATAAGTTGGAAAAACCTCTGATTTGTTGGCATAGAGGGTTGCAAAGCTGACAGCGTATTGTCAAGAAAGACAACAATCCATCTTACTCTTCCAGAGACTTGCTAATGGCAGTCAGTACAAGTTTCTGAATCAGTTTGTTTGTAGCTAGTGAATTGGAAATTAGTACATGCTTTAGTAGACACAGGGAGGCCTTCCATAACTCGTGCCTGTAGATCATGTTAATGCTGTCCCTTTGACAGTCAAGTCCGCGAGGAAGAGGAATAGCGCCCTGTGGCAGGCTGCCCTTTGGGCAGAGTGTGTCATGGGCAGCGTTGACTGTTTCCCCCATGCATGGCATGTTACTGGGACATGGTTTTCCCATTTCGACACAAGCACTAGGTTTCTGCGGGAGCAAGACCAGGTTACAAGTCCATTCTTGCAAGCAGAACCATCTGTTCAGGTAACAGGGCTCCTGCTCTGAGCGAGTTTACAGAAGTGATGTCACTCCCTTCTGAAATGGCAACACTGTAGAGCCTCTATGGTCAGCTTACTGGTGCATATGGCTGCATCATCCAAGTGGGGCTGCACTTTGGTGGGGGTGGAGCAGAGTCTCCATTATCTGAAAACCACTTTGAATGGACTATCCAGAAAAGCGCTATATAAGTGTAAGCAATTATTATTATTATAGATGGGGATTATTAGGAGGCCATGATTGGTAAAGGCCATTGGGAAATTTGGCCAGGATGCTGGGGTAATACCCCTACTCTTCTTGAGAAATGCCCTGGGAATTTTAATGTCCACGGAGAGTCACTATACTGGGGCACTAAGACCCACACAGAACATGGGGTGAGTGCCCCCTACTGGCTCCAATAATGCCAATTCCAGCAACAACCTTAGCTTTCCCAGGAGATCTCCCATCTACAGTAGATACTGGCTAGGCTCACACCTGCTTAGCTTCAGTTGGTTGGCAGCTGTGAGTTGCAGGGTGATATGGTGGAGGTTTAAATGAATGTCAGAGGGTAATCCTTAAAACATTTGAAAGATATCACCTGCGGCATGCGAACAATGTCATGTTGTGTCCCAATTTTAATAACCTATTGCTAGTACATTACATTATACAGATGTACATTAAGTATGAGTATATCATCACCTGAAGCTAGATCCCTTTCAATCTCTTTTGAGAATAGCTTGACTTTCTCCATTTAAAAGTAGTAAGTCCAATAGAATTATAGATCATAACAAATGGAAATATTTGTATTGAAGGTTTTTACATAATATCATTATCCAATTTTAAACTTAAACTTAAAATTTTAAACTGAAACTTTAAAGGTAGTGGAAATCCATTTAAGGCAGTTATTTAAAAATGGGATTTAAATCGCAGTTTAAATTAACCACCATTTTTCTATCATGTTGATTAATATAATGACTTTGATAATATGACATATATGCTAATATGTCTATGAGGAAGAATTTTAGCATTTACTTTTTTTAAAGTGTATAAGATAGTGACTAATTGGCTTTTGAAAAATGCCTTTTACCCAGCAACAGTATGAAAGAACAATTGCAAGCATATTATTTGACTTTTTGATATTAATGCAACAACAGCAGAATGTCTAGCTCATTTCACACCTTTTATTTATATACTTCCTTTTGTCTGTATACAAGGTAAAACTGCTTCTTAAGAAGAACGTGGTCAATTACAAAGAAATATGGAAACTTAGAATGAGCTTTCCTGTGTGAATTTGCTGTGTAAAACTCATTGCATTTATCATCTCAGTGGAGAGGATACTCACAGATCTGTAGGAGAGGCTGCTCTCAGATCTGCATGATTATATCCTCCCCATGCGCATGAATAATGACTCTGCTTGACCACACCTAACCTGAGTAAAGACTTTTCTTCGACATCTATCACATAAAAAGTGTGAGCGTGTGCACCTTATGTTTTTAAGGACAATTATGGATTTGACCGAATAGAGGTGCGAGACAATGGATTTGGAATCAAAGCAGCAGACACTCCTGTTATGGCCATGAAACACTACACCTCAAAAATCACCAGCCATGATGATCTGGAGTGTTTGCAGACATATGGCTTCCGCGGGGAAGCTCTAGGATCCATCTGCGCTGTGTCAGAGGTGAGGAGCTGCTTTTTTACTGTGTGTCGAAGCTCTGACCTTCACAGAGTCCGGCCATGACCTACAGTAGTTGTACAGTAAACCCTTGGTTTACAGGACTTTGGATTTTAACAAAATCTGCTAAAGAACATTTTTGGTAGTAAAATAAAAAATATGTGATATTATCTAAGCATATCTAGCATATTAATTTTTTTCTTCTTATAAATTTGTGGTTTCATTTGTGATTTAACAGACATTCAGCAATAATGGACCCTTCCCCTTACTGGTATGCTAAAATCTAGGGTTTACTATATTCATTAAGATACACAAATTCTGAGCCAAATTACAGAGACTTACTTTCTTCAGAGGGTTTTTAAATAGTGGTTGATACTTTATTTCCTGACTATAATCTACTTATTTGCTGTTTGTGCTGGTGTAGTGCTTTTTTGCCCTGGTGCAGTTAACTCCTACACATGCTTGCTTTGTTCCATTTGCGCACCAACTTGGAAGTTTTCCCAACGATTCGTTCAATTAAAAAACAGAAAGCTCAGCAGAATGAAAACCAGCATGTTCTGGGACAAGTGTTCTTCGTGATTCTTGGGTTGTTCTTAAGTTACTGTTTCCCAGGACTCTGTGATTGGTACCATCTCCATCAACGAATTAGCTCTATAGCTACAGCTTCACCTGTTTTAGGAAAAGAATGGAGAGGAAGACTCAAGAAGCCTGGTTTCGGCTTCTTTTAAAAAGACTAATCTGAAATTCTGTCTGGTAAATACCTTGCTGAAACTGTGGGAGGCCTTGAAAGATCCCGCCTAATTTAAATTTAAATTGCCCTGCAACTAATGCAAACACCTTAAACTGAAGCATAAATTATTTCCTTGTGATGGTATTATGTGTGGTTTTAAACCTTTGATTTATTAGTTAACTTTGCATATTATCGTAGATTTAGTGTATCCATAATGGTTTAAAATCATTCAATGTAACTGCGCAAACACCACGTAGAAACATCATACAGAAAATCCAGCCTTGTTTTTCTTTACGACAATCTGTGAAATTAGATCTTTAGTTTAATATAAACAAAAATATGTCCTACTTTGTCTTTGTCACATTCAGGTAATAATTACCACAAAAACAGCTGCAGATGATGTCAGCACTCAGTACACTCTGGGCTCTTCTGGAAACATCATCTCCCAGAAGCCTTGTCATCTGGGCCAAGGTAGGAGAGAACTCTTCCTTCACAGTCGGTGATTACAATAGCATCACTGCCTTGTATTTGATAGTGGTTGTGTATTTGACAGTGACTGTGATTCCTTTGTCTCTTTGACTGTTTAGACAAGATCATGTATTTTGATATGATTGTCATATTACTGGCATTGCTTTTAATTTCTTTAAGATCATACGTTGTCTTGAATGTCTGTGATATACTTCAGGAGTCTTGGTACTTTTCGTATGTTGTAGACCAGAAACTGTGTTCAGATAAAGACATTGTCGGTAGCTCTCAGAGTTTTCAGATTCTTCACTGAATTTAAATGTGTGATTTAAAACATTGAAGTATGTCTTAGGCCACAAATTAAGTTAGCTTGGGGTTCTCCCGATTAACTTTAATTGATATATTGAAAATGTACTGTTTGGATATTGGTAGGACATGTAGTTTTTTAAGTCCAACAAAAATATGATTAATGCTTAAGTCATGTACGCTTAATGCTAATATTTAAGTCAAAAGTATGACTAATGCCAATTTATTTTTTCTCCAGATGTGCATAAAATATTGCAAAGTATCCCAACACAACTTGCCATTACTGAATGCGAGATGATGCTGTATTTCATTTTTCAGGAACAACCGTTTGTGTGCTGAAACTTTTTAAGAACCTCCCTGTGAGAAAGCAGTTTTACTCAACTGCCAAAAAATGTAAGGAAGAGCTAAAGAAGGTTCAGGACCTCCTAATGGCCTATGCCATTATAAAACCTGAGCTGAGGGTCACATTTACTCATAACAAGGTATATGCCTCTTCCAAACAGTTCTGTCTGTTTTCCCTCTTGGGTTCTACTGTCAAAGCACTGTTAAGACTTAATGCTTGGTTTCTGTCCTACGTCTGTTAAAAATACCATTAAGGCAACAATCCAAAGTTTTGGTCTTATTGTGGTAGAATTCGGTGTTGTAATATCTTTCACTGTTATGGGCAGTATTGGTGAAAGCAATGTAATGCAGCCATAATGCCACTGCCTAGGCATTTTTAACTCTCATGCAGTCAGTATTTAATAGAGGATCACTCATTGTTCCTTGGCTGTCCTTGCTAAGAAGATTACAGGGAGAACTACTGATAATCATTCCGCTTTCAATAGGACCTGTAGGGTGGAGAATCTCATACAGCATTGCCTATGGACATATCCCAGCCTGCTTTTGTTAGTTTCTTCAGTTGCCTGAGGGGTAGACTGTATTCTGTATTGGGCTGAAATAATGTTTCAAAGCTTCTTTTGTAGGAAAACTATGGAACAATTAAATGGGTAAAATAATTAAACCAATTTTGATGCATCATACAATGCAGATATTGAACTTTTCTTCTTAAAGTGCATGTTATCCAAAGACAAACGTCCACAGTGAAGTTAAATCTTTAATGCAGTGGCAAGATAGTTTTCAATAACACAACATTTAAATGACCTACCTATTGACAGCAATTTATGGGGTTGCTGTTTATTTTTTTATATGTCCAACATTTTGAAGAATATTATATCTCTGTTTTGTTAACTTTGGCATTTTATTTAATCCATTCTTTCATTGTTGCAGCAGTGGATTAAGATGATTCAACATTTTACATTAAGAATGGTACAGAAATCGTGGTACTTATTTTCTCAGGCATGCATTGATAGCTTCTACCACAAGATGTCTCTCTGTGTCAGCAGATCATTCATAATTTAATGAACAATCCAGTATATTACACTAGATATAGTACACTTCAAATGTATTTATTCTCTCGACGAGCTATAATGAAAAGTTGATTTAGCATACTTGATGGGAAAAAAAGGTTTGAAAACATGTATCAATTTCAATATTATGCCTAAATAAAACATTTGTCAGTAAGAGTTACAAATGTTTTTGAATGCATTATATTTGATAATTTTATTTGATATACAGTGTTTTGTGGACCTTCCTATAGCTTTGATAACATGAAGGAGGTGTTTCCTGTAGCGTTTTTGGAAGGTTTTTAAGATACTCATGAGATATATTTGACCACTCCTCCAAGTAGAAGCTATGCATCTCCTACAGGTTGCACAGCTGCACTTAATGTATTAACTGTTTTCTTCAGTTCATACTCTAAACATTCTACTGTGATAACCAATGAAGAAAACGGAGCATACAGAATATGCTCTTTTCAGGACGAGACAACTAAAATAAAAGTCAAGCATGTTCTTTCTGGTCATTCAAATTAAGTCTGAAGCATACTTAATGTTGTCCGATTGTCAAGTCCAGTTGCAACAAATCTTGAAGTTCATGTCAGAAGGCAACAGTATTTGGCTAAAATATCCATGTAAACCTAACATATGTCTTTTTCTTAGTTCTATAACTAGGGTACAAGGTACAAGCAGTAAATCAGCTCTAAATCAGAACACATACATTTCTATTCTTCGCAAAATAGGTGACTTCTTTTTCCCAATATAAGATGACGATAAGTACGTGTAATAGTGAAACAGTCTTTCCTTTGGATTGTTTTTTTTTTCTGTAATTGCAGTAACACTGGATATTGCATTTTTTTTAGCACCAGCCCAATTCACTGCCAGTGTCTGACCCAGAATTGGTGGAATACTAGGATGAGAACTGGATTTGTCCACATTAAACCAGGTTTACTTTTGAATATTTTAGATGTTCATGCACCCCTTAGAAAATTACCTAAAAATGCAATGTCACTCATTCTACATGCCCTATACAGTTACAATAATATTAAAAGTGCAAATAAAATAAATCTAATTTACAATGGTACACTATTGTGATTTATATTGTACTTTTTCAGTTCTATTGCTCACCCTTATTTACAAGCAGAGTGGTGTGTGTTCTTTTAGAACATTTTCTTATTTGGTCCTAATATGTAATATAGAGTCATTTTGAATTCTGATATCCACATTCTGAAAACAAAGCTTTCCTGCCAAGAAATTGTTAGAATACTGACAGTGCAATACCCCATGCAGGACATGATCAGAGAGAAAGGTTTTTTTTTTTCCATCTTTCATCACTTCTTTCCTGGAAAGCATACTTTGAAGTGCTGCATATGAAAGTGGTTTCAAACACAAGAGTACATTATGAGAGTGGAGATACTCCTTCCAATGCTGTGTAGCTTAAAAACACATTTTTTTATGAACTCTTAAAAAAATAAAATGTGTGGCACTGTCAAGGAATAAGTAATAGGTTTATTCCATGCTGAAAAGAGAGGAAAGAAAACACAACGTTTTGGCTTTGGAGCCTTCTTCGGGTGTAAACTTGAAGCTTGGGGGGAAAGGTAAAGGGCATCATCCTTTGTGCCTAACACAATTTATTTAATAAATAAAGTGTAAAAGATTTTTGTGTAAAAACCAGGTTCAGGAGGATGTCATCCTGATAACTTGAGGTCCCATTAACAAAAGCTCAATAGGGAACAAGTCAGAAAGATTGTATTTGTCCCGTTCTGTGTGGTTAAGAGAAGTCAATATGATGGCCAGTTTTCACAAATCTGTCGTGCTTACCTCTAACGAGGCACCAAGATGTTCACAACATGATTCCCAGTACACACAGGTGCTGGCACTTAGTTTTTGATGGTTGTAGTTTCGAGCACTAGATCCACTTGTGATGGTGATGACTTAATTCTGCTGCAAGGGAGTGGATCGTCACCTTCAGCAATGATGATTCCAAGATGGCTGCAAATTGACCTTGAGCTAGGGACCATTTCCATAGTGGTGGGACTTCTTATATTGGGGAAAAAAAATAAAAGAATGTTTGCAGGGTATTAAATAAAGTTGTGCTAAATTCAGTGAAGTGACAACCTGTTAATCATGGTTCTACTTTCAGTTTTGTTGAAATAACTTGTCTTAACTCCCTTTATTGTATGTTTTACAAAGAAGGTACATTGCTGTTTTATAATACCAGAGAAAATCTACTGACATTTTTGCTTATTGTGACAACTGCAAGTTATAACTCAAAATGAATGCTTTGTATGAATGTTGAAGATTTGAAAATGTATAATCTGAACCCTTTCAAACTGCCTTAATGACTCCTTTGGGATCTTAATTCTATTCTTGTGCACTTAGCCATTCTGATTAATCAGTAAAATCTGGTTTTATTTTTATTTCGCTTTGTACAATCAGTGCAGGGTTACATCAGTCAAGGATTGCCTAATGAGTTCCTCTTAGAAGTGAATTCTCAGTAGGTCAAAATATTGAGCTTTTCAGGCAGGCTTAGAAAACAGTACAGTAGTTGATCCTCTGGTAACTTACGGGTTTTACCATCAAGGCCAGTTTCTTATGAGTTAAGTATTATTTCCTTTCCTGTGTGCATTAATGGACATATACCAAGCAGACTGCTAGGATACAAGGAAGATTCCCATTACATAGTAGTTTGAGCCATTCTAGTTTTATATGCTATTCCACCAATTCTGGGTCAGACACAGGCTCCAGTATGTGGAGAACAGAAAGTGCAAATTGTTATTTCATTGCATTATTGACAGATAATCTATTATCAGAGTGCTGCTTATTGCTGGTAGGGCTATTGACAGCCATGGATTTGAAATATCAATATACTGTATTTGCTCTACTGCTCTTCTGCAATTTGTGCAAGTGCCAGCAGCTTGTAAAACCTGACATGGATCAAGCTCCTATGCCATCTTTCCATCCCTGTGACTGGAAAAATCATTTGAAGCCCATATTCACATGCTGTTCCATCCCCATTAATATGTTTCTGCAGTGTCACTGTACAGACACTTGAGCTCCATCCAACCAAATTTGGGATGCCTTCTACCGGAGGTTGAAATGCGGACATGAAACTTCACTGGATTATCTAGTTTGAATGCCTGGCCTCAGATTCAGTTACAGTGCCTACTCTCTATAAAACTTTAGGGGAGAGGGAGAGTTTGTTGCCTATCACTTAATTCATTTGGAGATTGTCAAGGGAGGAGCGTGCCCCCTTTTCACGCCATCAGCACTTACGGAGGTATCTTGTATCACAAACTTTGCACTTCAAGATAGCTCATGTTCCATAGCTTTTCCAAAAGCTGTTTACTACAGTGATCTTTTTACAGTTTCTAAATTGCATGTTTCACTGCACTGAGGTGTGGGACTGATAACATACTTTCAGAAATCAGCACCTTGGATTTATGCTCGTCAGTGGAAACAGCACTGACATGCTTGCGCGCTGGTGTTAAAATCTGACTTTTGCGCAATTGGCCTCGGAAAAAGACATCTGGATAGTTTCAACAAGAATACCTACATTAAAGCTGCTATACATCACCAGCATTAAAAATGGGTTATGGCTATGTGCATTTTTTCCTGTTGTCTCTTGGACCACATTGAAAGCTCTTTCTAAATCTGTCGCTTTCACCTTTCGGTGTTGCCTGGAAGTACATGGACCATGCCAAGACCTTTAAACTACATTCTACATGCTGATGAAATACTCCTAAACTGCTGTCTGTCTTAAGATACATAATTTCTGAAATACTCCAGAACAGCCTTTTGATATTAGGAAGGTTAAAGGAAGCATTTTTCTTCTGATAGCTAGCTATAAAGCTTCAGACGTCATGCTTTAGGCAGATGATTGGAATGGTATTTTTTTCCTGGAAATGCAAAAGGGAATGGTTGTAGAGTAATATCCGTACAGTATCTAGTGCATGTGGCAGCAGGGAGCTGAAACTAGTGCCATTTATTTACCTCAGCTGTGGTAAAATTGCTCAAATTACACTTTCATTGAAGAAAGATCATTTGCATAGGTTAAGGAATGTACTGAAATTTCCTCAGAATTAGCCTGCATTCTAGACTACCCTTCAGAATTCTTGCTTAGGTCAAATTGCAGCAAATGGAAAGGAAAGAAAAATGCTTATAGGTGTCCCCTGATTGGTGAATGGTGTGGAATGTCTTTCTGCAGGCACGTAATCCTGCAGATGACTCTCAATCAACAGATCTAATTTTAGGATAAAAAAAACCTGACCCTTTTTACCATGTTGTTTCAGGCAATTGTTTGGCAAAAGGCCAGAGTGTCGGATCACAAAATGGCCCTCATGTCAGTGCTCGGAACAGCCTTGATGGGCAACATGCTACCTTTCCAACACCATCAGGAGCAACCAGAGGTCAGTAAAAGGCTACATTCTAGAAGGGGGAAATAAATTCATACTCAGCACTTTTGGCATTCTTCTCTTAAAACGACATTACCCTAATTTAACTAATGACTAATGTATATAAAATATGAAATGTGAGGGAAAATGTTGTTATACTCCATTTGGACCTGTATATTAATGTCATAAATAATTATTTCTTTAAATGGCAATGTAAACATGTATTGCATCCTACTTTCTGGGGTATGTCTGATGTTCCCTCATGGAACTGTGGTACCATATTTCAATTTCTGAGGAGGTTGGGTTCTTCTGGTGTGTTTTAAGGTTCAAATCACAGCGTGGGATAAAACCTGAATTCCAATGGAAATCCTTATCTTGAAATATTTTGTTTATTATAACATATTATATTTATTTTATTATGTACACACTTCATATAGCAAGTAAACAGACAGTCTGCCTCTCATCTAAGAAAGTTCCATAAGAAAGATTGCTGCTCTTTACTTTGCAGTAAGGCAGTTTCTGTGAATAGTGAAGCTACACTTTGCTCTCATTACTTTTTTTATTCCAAAAGTGTCTCTCATTCAGAGCAAGCATTCCTCTTCAAGCCCTACTGGTATTTGAGAAATTTATGCTGTGTGCGAGATGTATATTGCAACCTTTTTTGTTGTAAGTAGTTTAAGTACTGTAAATAAATGGAATAAATGGAAGTTTCAGTTTTATTTGTGCCTTGACACATTGAGCATTTGAGCTAGAGAAGTAAGAAAATAATGCCATGTGCATGTCCTGACACTTTCATTGATGAAGGGATGCGAAGGTAGATCTTTTGGAAGGATTTTAGTTTCTGCAACAAGTTTGAGTTATTGAGCTTTGAGTGCAGAGGGACATACAGTAGCTGAGCTGAATAATCACAGGGCTGCCTTCCCAGCAGAGCCAGTGGCATTGGCCTTATCTGGAGAGGGCTCCACTGCAGGTTTTGTGTGAAAGGACCTGCATCCTGTAGAAACTGTTTATTTAGTAGCGCTATGAATGTATTCCTTTGCACTTTCAAGTAACACAATTCTTGCGCATTTTCTTTAAGCCTGAAGCTAAATCAGCCAAGTGATCCCATTGAAATTAAGATGTGCAAAACCTGTGGCATTTATATATCCCATCTTTGTTGTTGGACGGCTTCCAGAGCTTGTCCTCAGCATTTCCAAGGCTGAATTAATAATTTCTGTCACATGAACTTGTTGAACTAATTCTAATTGTAATTGCATTTCCGTCGAGCGTAAATATCAGCTCTTTCACACCACGGTCCCGGTGTTTGCTACCTGCAAAGGCTTCCCCTTAACAAATGGGTCTTGACAGACACAGCATTATTTTTTGGGTCTTTTTTTTTTTTGGTATTTAGTAACGACATTTGCAATTCGCTTAATTATCTGGGTGACCTTTTCCTTCTGCTTCCTGTAACAAGAAAAGTATGTATTTACTGCTTCTGTGGCAGCTTAACAATCACGAAATACACTGGGGAATGCCACATGGACTTGGCAAATTATTCTGAAAAAATCAACTGAGTAATTGCCTGGTGTGAAAGAAAAGGGAAAAATGGAAAGCCTAATGAAAGAAAACCTGACACTAATTTTGGAATTATGACAGTTTACAGGATTGGTCCCCTTAGAGTATTTGTGTGTGTGAGTTTCAGATAGTTTGAATTCTTAAGTTCTAAAACCTTATGCTCAGATTATAATTTAAAGCTATCTAAATTGTGGTTGGGACAAAGTGTGATTTTTGTTTTTGTAAAAAAAATTAAAAATGCAGTTTTAAGCACAGTTTTGAGTAATATGTAAGTACTGGTTAGCACGCGGCGGCCCTGGGTTCAATCCCCAGAGTCTGTCTGTAGGGAGATCCTATGTTTTCACCGTGTTCTCGTGGGTTTCCTCTGGGTGCTCCAGTTTCCTCTTACAGTTGAAGGTCTTACTGGTAGGTTAGTTGGCTTGTGGGAAAGTTGGCCCTATGATCTCCATAGTGCTCATAGTATGACCGTTACTTTGGTCTGCATTGTCTTGGTGAGCTTGAGCACAGAAGAGCCATCCTTTTGTCATAGCATAGAACTATCCAATATTTAGGAAAATGGCATGGGGTACTATAAAACCAAAAAGTGTATGTAACTGTATTGTTTGCGGTAATAGTAAGATCTTTAATGGCGTTTAGCTTGAAGGAGGTACACAATCACCGGAGAAGTCATTTTGCGCATTCCTGCATCGAGTGAGGGGGTGAATTATTATATAACAATTTCTTTTTTTAGTTTGGCTAAGGATCCATAAGTAGTATGCCAGATAAGGAAATATTTTTGTCCCCAATTTATTTTTTCTTCTTGGAATTCTTCGTGTTTTACCCTGAAATCTGAATTTATTGTTTTTTTTAATGCAGCGAGCTGTCTGCTTGTGTAATCAGTCATTAGTCTTTGAGATACTCACTCATCATTTGTATCCAAAGCCAAGATGTGCTGAACCCCAGCACACAGACAAGTCATGCAAAGTTCCATTGAGACAGCCATTTGAGACTTAGCATGTGCCTCTAGACATGTGTCTTTTTAATGGTGACCTTTGCATCTGTTTTGGTATGAGATGCTAAAAAATTGAATTTACTCCTGAAAGCTTTTTACTGCTGAAATTGATCATTTTGTATTAACAAATGGTAGTATTCTGTGTTGAAAATGCAGAAAGATATTGAAAATGGCCAATGTGGATTAAACTGTACTGTTTGGTATTTTGACATACACCGTGGATCAGTGCATTCGTTTAAGCATGTTTTTCAGCCCCATAGTTTTATTTCCTTTTAGATGGTTAATATATTAATGTAATCAAGTCTTGACAGTAGCATTGCAGACCTCACAAGCTATGTGAGCTTAGGCCTGGTCAGTATTAGGCTCTTGTACAGTACATTTAAGTAAAATATTGTTTTTGCTATGAGTATTGTTGTCAGAGCAGTAGGTAATACTCTCTGGATCCAAATATATCCATCCATTTTCTAACCGCTTTATCCAATTTGGAATCCCAGGGGAGCCAAAGCTAATCTCGGCAAATGGTGACAAGGCAGGATACATTCAAACTTCACGCAGATAGCACCCTAGCAATTAAAAACAGGGCCCCAGCACAAGAAGGCATGCTAACCACTGACCCACTGTGCCACCCCAGAATACATCCATCCATTCCCTTTTAAGGGCTTAACCCAGTACAGGGCCATGGTGACCCAGGCAGTGGACATCAGGCAAGATGCCATTACACACCGATGGAGGGGACAGTTGTGACATGCAAGTTGGATCCCAAAGACACCCCAGGCTGGTATTGAACCCTAGACCCAAGAGCTGTGAAGCTGCAAATTTTATCAACGCCACCACCACCACGCTGCCCATGGTCCAGAATTTCTAATAGAGTGCGCCAGTAGGGTAAATGCCTTGGCACAGGAGGACCCATCCCTCAGAAAAGAAATTAATCCCAGTGCCAAATACTCCGTCAGATCCCATTGCTGTCTTCAAAAGAGTAGTGTCTTGCTTTTTTTACCAGATCTGCTTCTGAATGTGGATTTTAGTGTATAATGGCTGCCATACATCACCCAGGTGGGTGCTACACTTGTGTGGTGAAAGAAGTCCCCTTCGGTATGTGAATCATTGGGATCCCTTGGGATGAAAAGCACTGTACAAATTCAATCAATTAACATTGCTAATGATTTATGTCAAAAAGTCAGTGATCTTCTCTTTGAAAAGAAGTGTCTCCCTTTAGCACTTAAGATTTGATTAAGCATCAGTAGAATTGCCTATCAGCCTGTTGTTTCAGTGGTTCTAGAAATGTCATGCTGCTCATATCGTGTTAATACATAGAATTGTTGTAATTTTTTGTGTATCACAAGGTGAGAGCAACCCTTTGTCTCCACTTTCATATTAAAGAACTATACCTCAAAACACAGACCCTTCTTGTTACCTTTTTTTATTTGCCGTACAGATACATTTCAGTGATGATGCTTTACATTTATACAGTAGGTGTAAACAGTACTGATAATTACATTAGTAAATTGACTTGGACGGTGAAACATGGTGTCAGCCCCTGGAAGGATAACGTTAGATTAGAAAAACTGGTAGCAGTGCTAAGAATTATGAGTCTTGAGAGATTCTTAAAATTGTATCGGAGACAAGCGTAAGCATAATTCCATATGACTAGATAAAGTGCAAGGTAAAGCAAATTGAAAATAATTTTCTGTTTGTACACAACTCTGAGGCATGTTACAAAAAGCTTGTAAACTATTAGGCTGTCCGAGTATGTGTACAACATCGCATTCTTATTTAAAATGTTTGTTTATGGATAACTGCTTGCTCTAAATTCAATTTGTGTGCATTTTTATATTGATTTTTTTGTATTTCTCTTTCTATGGGAATGACATTAACAAATGCGTTTGGGTCACTTAACTTCATAACACATCTGTTGTTGTAAAAAATTCCCAAAAAGCTTTTTGCAGTAATTTGAACCCACTTATCTCTGTGCCTACAGACGTTAATGACCCTGCAGTCCAAGTAATACAGATGCTCTGGCATTGGTCAGAGCAGAATAATAGTCTTCATTCAGTCTTTTGCAGTCAGTGAAAGCAATCATCTGTGATCTCGTAATTAAACTTGTTGTAATGGCAAAGTATCCACAATGTAAATGGTTATTGTAAAAGTTTCTGTACAATCAATTAGAAAGTTCATTAAAATCTCTAATTAAAATGTGCTCCTGTCCACCAGCTGCCAAGCTTGTTAATTTAAAATTGTTTGCCACTACGTACACATACGGCAGTTCATTGAGTAATTTGGAACCAGTTCCTATTTCTGCAGCTTACTTGTGCTTCCAACACACTGCCAACAGGGCTGTTGTCATAGCAGGTTTTAGCAGCTTGGCAACAGCATTGTTGAGAGATGACAAATTTGTTCTGATTGTGCATTGAAAACTTAATTAATTGCTGAAATTTGGGCTGCAAGTAAACAGTGCACAATTTGTTTATTTTGAAACGTACTGATGGATTATAATACATGATGACATTTTATAGGCATGTGATAAAATTTGGGTGAGATGGTGTAGGGGTTATTCAAGGCTGATGGACAAGGACACTGTTTTTAGTTTCTCTGAAAAGGTAAAAAAGGAAAATGTATTTATAATTAAAAACTGACTTTGTAAATTGTATTTTTAATAATAGATGTAGGGTTTCATTAGAGCATATCTTAGAACGACTATCGTCGCTGCTCATCAGTATATGCAATAATGCAAAGTACTTCATAAAAGAATCTATATGAATCAATAGAAGGGTTAACACAAATATATGTGTTAATGTGACTAGCTGGTGGTCCCACTGACAGAGGTGCCTTGGAATAGTTAGATAATTAAATTGAAAGAAGCACACAAGATCTATAGCTCTTTAGCAATGCTGCATAATTTTCGTGTCAATCATTTTTACTTTGGCTTACATTTACAGCATTTTATTTTGTTTTTACAGATTGCTATAAGCGGTTATGTTCCAAAACCAGGCTCAGATTACACTGTGACTGGCTCCAGTAACCCTGACAGAACTTTCATTTTTGTGAATCACAGACCGGTCCGTCAGAAAGAAATTCTTAAGGTAAAAGACTACATTCAGCATACGGCTGTTCATTCAATAATTTGGAACCAGTTCCTATTTCGGCAGCTCACTTCTGCTTCCATCACAATGCCAGCAGAGGCAGTTGTCATAGCAGATTTTAGCAGCTTGGCAACAGCATTGTTGAAAGATGACACATTTTTTCTGATTGTGCTTTGAACACTTACATACATACAAACCAGTATGCATGTATTAATCACATAATACTAAGCAGGGTATTACTGTATGTGTACTCACCTGCACTGACTCTTGTTTAAGCACTCTTGCTTAATATGATTATGAGGCAGCAGTGTGGAAGAGTGGTTAAGGACTGGATTTGGAACTGGGTATTGGTTCAGACTGTGGGATATGATTGAGCAATCAACTTAGATCCCTTCAGTAAAGTACCCTGATGTATAAATGGATAAAATATGCATGTCACACAAATAAATTAATAATATTAGTTTGCTTGAAATATTATATTTCTTCTTTCACTGTGCTGAGAACAAATATATTTTTTAAAAATCCTTTTTGTGTAATTTCTAGTCATTTTTCTTTCTTCTACAGACACAAGCTCCCAACTTTAATCTCAGCATCATATTGTTTTCCATGTATGTCTGTTTCCATAGCATTCTACCATGTTAACTTGATCGATTCTGTTCCTGGTTAAATGTGCAGCTCGTCAGACAGCACTACAACTCGCAGTCCAGTACAGAGTCATCCCGTGGCCGATACCCTGTGATGATGATGAACATTGTCGTCCCTCCCTCTGCGGTTGATGTGAACCTCACTCCTGATAAAACTACAGTCATGCTTCATAACAAGGTTTAACTTGTGCTCTTTCAGTTTGTATGTTCTTGCTTAAGAATGTTGAAGTATATTTACAATTTACAAGGTTCTCACAAATGGTTTTAGTGCTTAACTAGGACTTTTCAACAGATTGTGAAAGCAGGTTATGAGTTTGGTCATTTGTATTGCGGCAGTGCCAAGATTCTGGTCTTGCTTGGCACCGTCTAAGAGCTTTATGTTTATTTTTTGGTCTGAAAAATTACATTTAGTGTTGATCTGTTTTGCCTCTTTGCTCCGTTAAAGCAATTCCTACTGAATATTTTCTTTATATTTGGCAAACTCCTGCTTTAACTGTCACTACTGAGCTGATTATGTTTGAATAATATAGGATGATAAGGACATTATCATATCCTGATTTAATTCTTCATTATGTGGGAATCACATTAAACCTACTGTCTTGAACACATGACCTGGGCAGCTGGGTAGCACTTAATTGTTAAAGAGTATAAAATTTGCTTGGGCGGTTTTCTTCCTCTTCAACGATATGCTAGGCAGTTTTCATTTATTTCTGCTGAAAGCTACTTCATTATGTTGGCTAAAATGTTAAACTATAAACCACATTTGTAAATCCAAGTAAAGTGAACTCTTTACTTAACCAAGAGAATGTTCCTTCCTCTTGCTTTTAATTTAAGTCCCAATTTAGGAGAAGGTGTTTTGTTTTGGGACATTTCAGTATAGTGGATGAAAATAATTAAATCCCTCTTTCTATTTCCCTAGGAAGCAGTTTTTATAGCTGTGGAGTCCATGTTGATGTCAATATACGTCTCCTCCTCGAATACAGTGCCTGCAGACATTAGTGGAACAGACGAGCAGACATCTACCCAAAAAACAGATCTTCTCAATGGCTTGGAGGTTACTTCTGGAGGTTCTTCTTCGACTTACAACAGTGGGGAACACACTGATCTTGAAAAGGTGCAGAAGAGCTTCATACAACATGAGCAGACAGGATCACATGATAAAGTCCCACAACATGCCTCTGACGTGTTCAATAAGACTGCTCAGGATGAGATGCTAGATGGCACTTCATCAGCTTCCGATGGCTGTCAGGTCAATAAGAACTACTGTGAGTTTGGCGTGTCTTTCTCACTAACTGATGAGAGCACACTCGCACATACCCAGCAAGAACACAGTTTGAACAGCGCAGGTGATCTTGATGCTCCAAGGACTCCTGACAATTCAAATGGCTCAGATGGAATAAAAGATGGTTTTGAGATAACCGCTGAAAACTGGAGCAAGGGTCATGCTTTTAAAGACCCTATAACGAGTGAGTGGCTGGAGCCGGTAAAAATTCATGTGCCTAATGAAAAAGGAAGTGAGAACACGTCCGATAACAGCCAAGGAACTTCTGAAGCCAATGCAAAGATGAGCAAGAACCCATGCAAAAATGCAGTGACAGAGAAAATGGCAAAAGTCACTGCCTACGACTTGATAAGCAATCGAACTGTCCGGCAGCCTATGTCCGCTAGTGCAATTTTTGAGCAGGAGATGCGGCCACGGATTCTCGAAGAGAATCCAAAGTCCAGCCTGCAAGACATTACCGGTGCTGTTGAAGGGATGTGGAAAAACCTGAGGGAAGAAGAGAAAAAGAAGTAAGATTCCAGATTTCACCTTTGAACAAATATTTTCCATTCCTTGTGACTCACTAGGTAAAAAAAAGACATATCACCTGCCTTTATAAAATATAGCGTGGAAAATCTTTTTGGCTTGTCCCTTGTTCTACCCTGATGGTGAATTGTTGATATGAGGTATGTTTATCTTTTCCAGACCACTGCGTCTGACTATTAGGTTAGATGCTCAATATTTTCCAGTCTTGAAACAGGTTTTCTGTGTTATAAAACATCGTAACGTTTTTTTTTTCCAACATTCTATGCATTTTGTATACTTCAAGGCTGCGTTAATCTTCATCTCTGTGACAGCAGTGACTTAGTATGTGTTCATATTCTGTTCAATCAGTTATTCAAACTAAAAATAGCCCAGTAGATGTTTGTTTGTAGGTTTAATTTAGTGCACCCAGGCATAACGATCCTCATTCTATGCTATGAATTTGCTGTAGTGACAGAGTTTGAAGTTGCCAGCTTTGTAATGCCAATGAAGAAGCTGCAAGTATGTGATATATTCAAGGTGGAACATATACATCTGCACCATTCCAAAATGTCTGTTCTAGACTGAACAAAAATAACTGATAGCGGGATAAGGAGTGGTGACTATATTATTTTTATTTACATAATGTGAAAAGATATTGTAATGAGGAAGTTGCCGTTTTAATTGAAATGGCCCTCCAGCATATTCTTCAGTTTTTAGGAAAGCAATAAAATCATGGATGGTCTGCACTTAACCTGGTAATTCCAGCTAAAAGTCTTATTGAAAATTCTTATCTTTAGACAGATAAACTGTCCTAGTAGAGAATAATCCTTCAGTTCAACTTTAAAAAAATGCTTTGATTTCCCTTTTCCTCACTTTCCCATTAATTTGATATTCTGGCTAAAGATTGGCATAGACGACTATAATACACATCCTTATTGTTTGAAGCACTTTAAGGAGTCAAAGGAGTGCCTGAAAAAAGCTTTTGCTTAACACCCCTCATTTTACTAGTGCATTATTACAGTATGAAATAGTATAAATACAATCTCATGCTTGGCCATTTTTTTGTCCTGTAGTTATATGTAGGAACCTCATGTCTTCCCCTGTTAACATATGGGTTGATCTTCTTTAATTCTACATGCCTTTTATCTTCACTGTGTTTTGAAAACTTGTAACCAAGGATCTTTTCAATACACTGGAGGAGATGCTGACACCAGCCTCTTTCTGGGCTCCTGAAACCATGCTAGGTAGAGTCAATACTGAGTCCCAGACAATGGCAGGGAACAAACACTAATGAGCACCCTTATCACTGATCACTTTTGTTTTTGTTTCAAACCCTGTTGACTCATATGTTGTGACTGTGACTTTCCTTTGCCTGGGAGGACAGAAGGCAGAGAGGTTTGGAGGAAGGTGTTGGTGTAACATTGATTTACTTGTTTTAACACTGTGAGATGTTGGGCTGGGATGGAAATAGCTGTGTCTGATGATGGGAGGAGAGCTCATCCTGTTTTGTCCAGTTTGGCATGTGTGGTCTGTGGTCCCTAGGTTGAACACTTTGGTAGGATCCTCTAAGCTGATGTAGGCTATTTTACCATTATCAGATTGCAACACTAACTGATGACTGACGCTGTGAGATGGTGAGTTTGTGACTATACAACGGGCTTTGAGAAGACATGGGATATGTTCAGCTACCAATATGATGCTAAATGGGGAAAGAGTTTGCCAGTATGCTAGAGACACAACAGTTTATCATTGTGAAACATGCCAACATTGGAAAGCTATTGCTTTCTGCAAACTTGTTATCCTTCTGAATTCAGCTGTGGAAGAATAGTACAAACATTTCTACATGCCATAATGAACACCATTTTGTAACAGTTCTGATTAAAACTGGACCAAGAGGGTATCTCCTGTGGAGTAGGAGTATGCATCTGCCATCTGGGAAGGTCAGTGTTCTGTATTAAATAGTATTAGCATAGCAGAGTCAGACGTGTTTTGGATAGTAGATGGTATCTTACAAATTGTACGCAAGGATGCAAGAGATGTTGCTCAGAACCCATTGATTCACCTTTTCTAACAATCAAATAAGACGGTTGAAGTACCCAGGGACTCGAGAGGTACTAATCTAGTATGCTTCCATAAAAAAAAAAACTGAATCAACTTACTAGAGACCATTAATTTTGAAGTCTTTCACAGGTAAAGTTATGAAAATGATTATGAGAATGAAATTCTTCTTAGAGGATAATTTAAATGGCAATAATGTCCTAGAAAACAGTCAACATGGAATAGCTATACAGGTTGTAATGGTTATAAACCTGTTAAAAATGGTTAAAAACAAGAGGAGGTCATTCAGCCCATTTGGTAGTGAGTACCTAATTGATCCCAGAAGCTCATCCAGCTGTTTTTTGAAAAAGCCTTGGTATCAGCTTCGGTAGCTTGTTCCACAACCTTTTGGATACCTGTTTTCAGTTTTAAATGTACTTTCCCTTGGTTTCCTCTGAGAAAAAGACCACTGAGCTGAATTTGTAAAGGATTTTGAATTCTTGTATTAGGTCCTTAGTTCCTTAAGCCTGTCTGTGCAAGACATTCCTTTAAACCTCTGAATGTTGCTCTTTTAGGGACTTTTTCCAGACCAGCAATGACTTGGTGACCACGACTTGTACACAATATCCTAAATGAGGCCTTACTAGTGCACTATACAATGGTAACATAACATCTCTTAACTTCATTTCTAAAATTGCTTACCCACGTTGTCCAGGAGATGTAAATGATGTGTCAACAAAAAAAATCTAAGCTATTTTCCTAGATAGACATTATAACCTTTCAAACTAAAGAACAAATTAATTAAATAGCAAATCCTGAAACAGTAAAAACTGATCTTGATTCCTTATCATATTTCTGTGCTTCTTTTTGATGAATTCACTAATGGTATCCATGCTTCAGAAACATGCCTCATATTATTATAAATGCTTACAATGACAATTGCATAATTTTTACTGGATTTTAATTGGCAAGAATGTGAAACCTTAAGTAGTAGATCAGGAACTGTAACTTCAGTTTCCACAGGCATTTACACCCCCATCCCCCGCCTTTGGCTACAGGTAGCAGATGTTTTTTATCTTAACAGTTTCTGCACATTTTCTTGGATATGATTTATTACTTGTCCCTAGGAGCACTTAGATTCACCAGAGTAAATTGAATCAAGGTTCCATATGTGAATTGAGCAAATTTAATTAGTTACAACTGGTGACCTTTTCACTAAACCTATTTTCCACCACGCCTGCAAGTAATTGATTCTGAATGTTCATGTAAGAAGTGCTTATCTTTAAAAGCTTAATTTACGACTGTTAAAGATTACACTAAACTAATAGCGTGAGGTTACGAGCTGACTCCAAATCTTCAGCATATTTTGTTTACTTTGAAAACTGGATTAATAAACATTGCATACACAAATGAAAACTTACCGAATTTTGGGAAAGCCTCTTCATTCTTTGCCTGGATACACATTTACTGTATTAAGTACAGTTTCTCAACTTAAATGAACAGTGTTCCCAGTGTGTATTTAGCTTGCACAGTTTATTTACAGTTAGATTCTGTAATGTGATCTCTCTATAAGGAGATTGTTATATGTAAGAACTAGAAAGGGTTAAAAAATGGAAAGTATAAAGAACAGATTGTTCATAAGCATTAGTATATCAAACAGAAAAGCATACCACACATATGCCAAAAAATATGACATGCTTTTATTGGGTGGCATAAAAATGCCGTATCTTCAAATTTTTGCTCATTCAGAAACAATTTAGGGTTTACTGGGGACAAATTTTTAACAAAGCAAATTAGCCACAAATTGAAAATGGAACAGACTGGACACAGTTCTCTGGCCTTTCCAAAAAAGGAATACAGTTGTTAAGGCAAAAACAAAAATGTACTCCGTTCTTCAGACTTTGTCTGGAGAATTCATTGTGAAGTGCTTAATTTCACAGAAAGAGTCAGCCTCTTTGGGTAATGAAGAATCGCATCACTGTGAAACAATATTGACATCTCTGCTGCTTGCAGTCTAAATGAGCAGGATTAATTCCATCCAAAAGCATGCATACAAATAGCAATGTTTCGATCTAGCAGAATATTAATCACACAGCTATTTCTTTACAAATAATATCCACTTGACATTTTTAAACATCTTGAGAAAAGTTACAAAAAAGACAAGGATATTCTGCCATTCTAGATTATCTAGCTAGTAGCTAATTGATCTGAGGATCTCGTTCAGCCATTTCTTTGAAAGAAGCCAGGGTATTCGCTTCAATAGCATAGTTAGGAAATTGTTCCCTACCCTCACAACTCTTTGTAAAAAAGTGCCTTATTTTATCAGTTTTAAATGCACTTCCACTTTGTTTCAATTTTTGTCTTCTGATCTTCATGTTTCACTGTTGACTTTGTCAATGTCTGAGAGGATTTTGAATAACTGAATCAGATCTTCCTTGTTGCCGTCTATGTTCAGAACTAAAGAGGTTCAGTTCTTTTAGCCTGTCACTGTAGAAACAACTATATACTATGTGTACATTCAACACAGTATACTAAGTGAGATCCTTTGTGAGTAGAATGTTGTTTCCTTAAGTACAAGCTTTGAGGTTTTCTAACTTTCTCACAAGAGGGCGGTTTTTCTACTAGGGACCAAAGATATTATTGTCTTTTAGGTTAAGAGTGCCATTTAATAAAGCACATTTGCATTTTTGAAGCATCTAATGAAAGGAAAGTCTCACTCTTATTGTGATAATTGTGGGATATTGGGGAATTGTGGAAAACCAGACAAATGGCAAACTGGCCAAAAACATATATCTGGCATGACTCAGACATCTAGTTGAAAGGTGTTATAACATTACATGGGAAACTGAAACTTGTTCAAACAAGTTTCAATCAAACTGACTGAGCCCTTTTTATATTTTGACAGTAAGTATTATCTCACCCTTTAACCCCTTAACATAATTGTTTTATTTTGTGTTTTTGTTTTGTTACAGGTATTCGGACAAGGCTGAAAAGGACTTAGCCCGGTACAATTTACAAACTAAGAAGGCAACAGAGCAAGGTGGAAAAGAAGCAGAGAAGTGGAACAAGCTGGATTCACTTCCTAGCCGACCAGCAGTCCAGAACCGCAAGGTTTCCCTTCCCAACCAGCAGACGCTGGATGAGCTCTTTCAGTCTCGAGCCGAAAAGAAAGCCCGTTCCACGACACCCTTTAAACCCATTCTCTTTAGTATGAATTCTCTGAAACAGCGGATTAAGCTGTTATCAGAGGAACAGCAACAAAAGGCGGAAGGCCTGCAGCTCGTAAACCGGCTGACTTCACACAGCACATGGGTTGTTTTATCTGGGAAAAAGCTCATGTTGTTAAATCCTTTTCGGGTGGAAGAAGCCTTGCTGTTTAAAAGACTTCTGGAGAATAATATACTTCCAGCAGTGAGCCTTCAGACACCTATACAGTTAACAGATGGGTAATACACTGTTTTGGAATTTCCTATTGCATAAGAAAAATATATGCTTTGATATATTACTTATTTAAGTTTTTAATGCTATAACAAATACAGTATCTCATGTACAATACTTGCCCTGGGATCTGGGCTTTCATGGAAATTACACTAGGCTAAAATTGTATTTTAAAGATTGAGCTGGTCTTGTGCAGCGTTCCAGTTTGTTTTAGTTTGTTACCTTGGTTTGCTTTCTTGCAGCCTCCTCGGTGGAACAGAATACACAGGTGTGCTCTTCGGCATGGAGAAGGAATGCCCAGGGTTAAACGGTGTGACCTACTTTTCAGATCCAAGACTCGTGGCAAATGGGTTTAAACTCCGACTGATTCCAGGTTTGCTGGACCTTAAGACTTATTTAATACAGAGCTCACTACCAGTCTAATCCTGCATCCATATTTCTGCTTTTTCTGAAATCAGATTAATATCAGAGGTAAATCTGTGGTGTTGAAAGTGGTAGAGTTCTGAATTAATTCTTACTTTATTCTTTCTTACTCCAAGAGAGGAGTCTTTCTGGAGGTTGTCATACTCCAGTAGGAATGTAATTTTATTACACTTGCAGCATTTCCACTGAAACAAGTGTCCAACATCAGCAACATTTTGACATACAATACTTTTTGAATGTGTTTATCTCGAGAGTATCATTAATTTCAAACTATGAAGGAATTAGTACAGAATGCCCTCTTTTAGCTAGTTCTTATTCTTGTGAAAGACCTGAAGTTACAAATGGGGCATAAACTTCTGCATCTTATTTTTCTTTGGTGAAAAGCATTAATTCAGTTTTTTTGTTTTTAAAAAAAACTAGAGGATTTTAATGATTTTGTTCTTTGTTTTTGTTAACGTGGGTAATTTACACACATGCCGTACTGTTTACAACAAATCATTCCCCTGAGAAAAAGCTCTTTTATTATTTCTCGATTCATGCTGTTTAAAGGTCTCAAGTATTGTCCATTTCAATTAAACAGAGGTTGGATCAATTGGACATCATTAATGTCATAGTTCACAAATAATTTAGAAATGTCAAACATAGGGGTTTGAATAAAAGGATTAAAATAAATTATTCTGACAGAATTGCTGTGTCAGTATTGGATTAACACCAAAAGAAAAAAATCTGCAGCTTTCCTAGAAACCGCTCCATCATATGGAACATATTTTAGGGGTTTAACCTTTGAAAGTGACAGTGCCTCAAATCTGAGCTGTGCACCTGAGCTTTAAACACAGAATGGAGCCCTTGCCTCCTGCTTAATTTACACAGCAAAGTTAAACTTAAACATGTCAGTTGCTACAATGTCAGAAGGTTGCACTTTAAAAATCAGTGTTCTATGTAGAATGCCAGCATATGAAAGCAGTTAATAACATCTATTCTAAATTTTTTTATTATCCCTGTTGTGACCAAAATGCAGTCTTTTAAAGTTATCCATCCATCCATCCCTCTGTCCATTTTCTGACTGTCCAGTTCAAGATCAAGGTGGAGCCGAAACCTAGCCGGACAAGCAACGGGCACATGGCACGATACATCATGAGCGGGACGCAATTGCAATTGTGATTGTCCAGTTGTGCAGTCCATCGCAGTGAACACATAGACACAACCACAGACACGTACGCACTCACACCAGGGCCAATTTTTCCAGAAACCAATTAACCCACCAGTATGTTTTTGGACTGTGGGAGGACATGGGGAGTTTATTACAGATTTAAATCTGTTAAAGAAAATTGTAAGAAGACATAAAACACTGTATAATATTATTACAAAGCAAAGCTTCTGGTTAAATTAATGGGGTGACAGAAAAGAAAAGGAAAGGATGAAGATGAGGGTATCCTCAGAAATAAAAATGAGAAACTTTAAGCAATGAAGGAGTCATGACAGATAAAAATATCACTTGTGTTCTCCAAGGAACTAATTCACAACATGCCTCAGCCTGAGTAATGACAAAAGTTCTATATTAATATTAGCATTCACTTTAAAAAGTTAGAAGCATTACAAGTGTGAGAATTGAGTATTTGTAGATTGATATGTTTCTTCTACAACATGTAGTGTTATGGAATTGATAATGGGATTCCAGGTGATAGGAGTTCTTGTGTAACTAAATTTGTTAGACTTGTTAGAGCATACCGAGAACGGTCACATATCTCTGTGATCAATTATATGGTCAAATGTTCAAGTAGGGACATGCATCATCATGCCTTGGTTGCAAATGACCAAGTACAGGTTAATTCCATGCAGAAAAGTAGGAAGAAGAAATGCAATGTTTCGTCTGTTGAGCTTTCCTCAAGTCTGTGGTCTGCTTCAAACTATGAAGACTATTTAACTATTAACAAACTATTTAACAAACTAGTTTACTTTAAACTCAAAAAGACGGGGATTTATAACACAAAGCTAAAGCACAACCTAGTGTTTACAGACTATGTGTTTACAGACTAATATTAATTGTCCAGGACTCTTTCAGCTCATGGCAGCACATTGCCCGCTGTGACTTAACTGGGCTTGAAGCTCACAATGCTGTCCATGAGGGACACACTTCTCCTCCAAGCAGCCTTGAACCTCCTACATATGCTTGCATAGCTTGTGAAATGTCAAAAATATGAACAGGCTGAAGGTGTGCAGGTTGTACTTATCTACCCGCACTCCGCACATTCTCCCGTGTGCGGTAGCGCAGTTTTAAACACTTTATACTGGGCAAGCACATTGCACAAGTCATTTAATATAGCTAATATGTGCAGATTGCTATGTACAGGGTGCAGAAACATAAATTGTGGACACTAAGATGTGAATCACTGAACGTGAAGAAACTACTATTGAAAATAACCTAAGAGTCTATGTCAACACATCATTTTTATTCTGAGACTGTGGGGCAACACATATGGCAGCAAACATGTTAGGATAAAGGTAAATGTGCATAACTTAAATTAAAACGTGTTAAAATTCTACATTGCATACACAATGCTGACATTCCAAAATTATATTGCTAAATCATTTGCTTAAAGATATCAACGGGATAAAAGAACTATGTACTATATTTTTAGTTTTAAAAGAGAAGGCACCTGAGAAGTCAACACAGTAGAGATATAGGAGTTATCTTTTTTCATGTAAAGTTGTGGGTGTCTGGAACAAGTTACCTAGCCAAAGCTGGAAATTCTGGCTTCTTTGACAAAATTGTGCAAAAATGGCAAATGATTCTGCCATTTACATTTTGTGGAAGAACACATACATGGTTTTCTTCAGTCTTGTTGTGGTAGAGGTTTGTAGTAGTGAGAGAAACTGATTAGGAGGAAAAGGTTCCAGAACTGGAGTTTGGAACAGAAAAAATAAATGTAGTTTTCAAGTGAAAAGGTTAGAGCTTTTGTTCTGTATTAAAATATTTTTGAGAAACTGAAGTTGGTTGGATGAAGGTCAAAATCAGGTAAAGGACATGCTGTTCTGGAAACCGATTCTTTGATTGCAAGACCTTGAATGAACGCAAATAAAAGGTAGTGTCACTTCCAAGTTCTGTTCCTTAATTTTAGCTTGCTGAGATTGTACCATGGCAGAAATATCTGTATGATTCCAACCACATAAATATACATTATCATATAGATTTTCAATTTCTAAAGGTATTTTATGGGTCACAGAGACCTACAGAGTACAGATTTTATTTTATCTTGAGTTTGCAGGTTAATTAGAATTTTTATTCTGTAATCAAAGCTATCTTTGTGGGTCGATTTCTGCATTTCCTCTTTTCCTCAGGTCATGCAAATCAAGTCCAATTTAAAGCAGAAACCTGAACTGTAAGTTTGAATAGATGCCGTTGCGAAACCTCATCTGACATGGCCTGCTGCCAAGGTTTGTACCCAGCACAGTGGGTTCATACCACTCCATGGTGATGAGGAGAATGGTTGCCCTTTGAGGAAAGAGAAATGCCAAGAAATGAGCACACTGTTGCTGCCAACTCTGCAGCTGTCAGCTGATTAAGTACAGATATTTCCTGGATCTATCAGCAGGGGTCAGTGCAGAGCAGTCAGATAAGTAGGAGCTGGGGAATTAAAACAGAAGGGATTGACCATACGACATTACTACATTCACGTTTTTCTTTTTGTCTGCCTGTGGTTTAATAAAAAAAATACATTTTAATAAAATAATTTTACATTTTCTCATAAAATAGAACTTTTTTCAATAAAAATAGAACTGTGTTTAAAATATCTTGTGAAAATCCAAGTTAAACATTGTTTTCATTTTTATAATTATTTTGAAAGAAAGTGAGTAACTTATTGTACACCTATGAGTGGGTCAGTAATGCCAGGGTCTTTAGCTTAATGTTGTGAAAACTCATAAAGGTCTTAACCTGGATTTGTGGATTTATATGATGCTGATAATAGTGACGGCAGAACTTTCAGCGTCTGCCTGTCTTCCCTGCATCCAAGGCGGCTCGAATGACAAGTCTTAGTCTTATCCTCACCAAGGCATACCAAGCGCATTCCTGTAATGTGAGAAATATTCAAGCACACACGTGCAGTGTACAGAAAAAACTACAAGTGATTCCACAAAAAAAAAGTCCTGCTTACAGAGAGCTGCGGCCTTATCTTTAAAGATGCCATTAAATGACGGCAGATTTCTCTTAATTTTATGCATTGTGATAACTGAATATGCTTGTACCAAACTTCTACCACTTCCAAAAATGTCCACGAGTAAAAAAACAGAACCCGATATGGTTATGTGTGTAGACGTGTTCAAGTGCTGATAGGTTCTGATATATGATAATTTATAAAATAATATACAATATAAAAAATATTTATTTTTTTGTTAGCATGTTAAAAAGGAACAAACACTGTTTTACTCCTGTGATTCCCAACATCAGAAATTAGGCCATAGGGCAATCGTTTGTACATGCAACACCTGGCCATTACTATACCTTTTAAAACACCAGAGACTTACTTCTCATAAGCAGAGTTAAGAGATTGTTGGAGTACATCATGTTCTGAATCCTCTTCAATTCATTTTTTTCCAGTCTGTAAGGAAATTGTAATAGTCATTTAGTACACTCCATTTGGCACTCCACTTATTTTTGTTGGTCAGTCACTGGAGTGTAAATCACAATATTTATTTATTATTCTTTCCTGGAGATAGTTGTTATTATCTAGTGTATATTAATCCTTGTTTTCTGCTTTACTTGGCCAGGTGCCTCATCCGCTGAGAAATGTCTGGAAGTCTCCGGGATGGCTGACTGTGTGCCTTTCTTTGGTGTTGCTGATTTAAAGGAAATTTTAATGGCTGTTTTAAAGAAAAACGCAAAAACTGTGGAGGAGTGCAGGCCGCTTAAAGTTATCAGTTACCTAGAGGTAAGAAATATATTTAAGAAAATTCTGTAGCTTTTTAGGGTGTTGTGTTAGAAAGCAACATAGTTGAACACAGAACATTCTGTATCCCAGGTACAATTTCAATACTTTTGTTGGACAGTATCAAAATGTTTCAACATTTATTAGTACTAAAAAAGTTAATTCAAAGTGCTTTCTCAAATACGTGCTTTGCTGTTTGAAATTCAGTTTTTCAATAGAACAATTTTCAATAAAAAAAACTCCATAATGTTTATGTTCGCATTTTTTTCCTAAGCTTAGCACCAGTTGTCTGACAATGCAGTTGCAGACAATATTCATTTATAGCAAAAGAAAATCAAACACAGATTTTTCATGGATATGCTGTTAGCAGAGTTTGAGCTGATATGCCTTTTGCACATACAGTGAAACCGTAATTTAATGGAGAGACTAATGTGGTTTAACATGTCTAACTACAACTTAGGCGGGCAGAGCAGCCATAAGTAAATATCAAAATCTGCCAACTCTGGATGCTTACATGTTGTACAACACATCTTCACACTGATTTGCGAAGGTGGCAGGAAAAATTGGGATAAGCATTCTTAATGGAGCCAAAATAACTTGAAAATGTCTTTTATCACATCCAGGGAGAAGCAGTCCGGCTAGCTCGTCAGTTGCCACTCAACTTCTCCAGAGACGATATTAAAGACATCCTGTCCAGAATGAATGATCAGCTTGGAAAGGATGACTGGATGTGTATCCATGGACGCCCGTTCCTCCATTTTCTAAAAGATCTTCCAGATTGAAAGCAAGAAGCTGCTCAGACCTCTGCTGATGCCCTTTCAAAAGAATCAAGCTTGCCATTTGTATGGCCGATTTACTGTATCAAGAGTCAGTTTACATTTCTTAATAAATCTGTTCACTGTTCATTTACCTGCCACATTTATCATGGTTCCTTAGAGTTATAGAATTCTTGTTCCAGAGCAATTATAATTATTTTGTTGTGGTTTTGATTTTCCAGTTTATCACTGTCAAATGACTACATAATGTACATACAGTAGTTATTTTGCTGTCTTTTTCTGTTTAATTAGATGAGAGAAACTTGTAATCTTTTTGTACATGAGTTTAAAGATATTTGGTATCAAAAAGTTTTTGTACATATTCAAAAAATAGGTACTTAAAAATAAAGTTTTGTTTTGATGAACAAGATTTGTTTGATTAGTTGTGTAATAAAAAAAACAATTCTCTTTAACCCCTGAAATAAAGATTTCTGTTCTAGATACAATTGCTTCTTAAGACGCACCTATTAAAATACTAATTTATACAAATAAAGTATATACGTAGAGTGGCAAGGTGGTTAGCATTGCTGCCTCCTAGTGTTGGGACTCTGGGTTCAGTTCTGGATCAGGGATGCTACCTGTGTGGAGTTTGTATGTTCTCCCCCGTGTTTCCAGGTGTTCTGGCTTCCTCCTACAGTCCAAAAACAAAGTAGGCCCTGAGAAAATTGTCTCTGGTTGTAAGTGTGTGCATGTCCGTGTCTGTGTGTGCCCTGCGATGGACTGACGTCCTGTCAAGAGAGTATTCCCCCTTGCCACCATTGCTTGTCTGGATAGGCTTTGGCTTCCCCGTGACCCCGAATTGGAAGAAGCAGATAGAAAAAGGTTGGATGGATAATAAATAATTTTGGATATTCAAAGATTTTTGGCATCATTTTGATTAATCATTCTTGACAGATCGTGATTCACTCAACTGACATTGACAGTTGCGGAAGCACTAAATGACCTCTTTAGTGAGAGAGCTGATTGAGAACAGGCGATGAGTTGATTTATCGTGTTAAATGTCAAGCTTAGAGAAAGAAGAGGACAAAAATGAACCAATATGCCCTCCTTATCAAGAAGACAACACATTTGCCACTTTTATGTGGGAGACCAGACAGACCGCACTGTTTTTTTCTGTCTGATGTATTCACTGCCAGCTAATTCTTAACTGACATGGTATAGCCAATCACAGTCCATCATGGATAGGCCACCACCTGGGAGACCACAAGCCAACACCCTTCCCTTAGATCAGTGGAGACCTCTGAGTTTGATCTGAGTAGGAGCGATTCGGTACTACAGAACGGTAGTAATTGATGGCAGCCGGACTCTATGGCACTATACCATGTGCAGGTTCAGCTTGATGTGACAACACACATCCTCATGCTACTTTTGTAAGAACAGCCTCCTTGCAAGATGAGAATGTGGCCATTACACAATGGATGCCCAACTCACAAGACATGGGCCCCATTTAATGATTATAGAATGATCTGGGATGATCAGATTAGATTTCTTTCATTAAAAGCAGAGACCTCCAAATTGACTACTGATAGGTTTCCAGCACTCAACTTTCAGTGTTTTTTTTTTCCTTCAAGTAGGAAACAATCACTAGGCTGAATAATTGTATAATGTATAATTTAAGAATTTTGTGCCCAGATTCTTTAGACTACTGATTCTCACTCCAGATTCTGTTTGAGTTACTGTATGGAGTAATTCTACTCAAAATCATAATTAATTTAATAATTTATTGACTTCATTAGAATTAATTACCCCTGTTTCCAAGTCTCATTGAGAGCTTTGTGATACTTTTAAAACATGCAGGAATTAGGACCAGGAATGACAACAGCCGTAGACAGTTAGATTCTGTATCTTATAATTAAAAAAAAAGAAAGTATCTGAAACTGAGGTCCAGTTAAATGGAGGCTCATCAGGTAATAGGTGGATGGGGACACTGTTCATTCACAAAAACATTAAGCAATACGGTATTCACTGTACATAACGTATTAGTGGAACTTAGATGTCTCACGAGGTAAAAATAATTAATCTTATCTATTGCAGTCTTCAAAACAGTTATTCAGTTACTGACAGTTAATAGCCGGACAGTACGTGAGTCAATACTGTGTTACCACTATGTTTTGAAACTGCTACATAACATAAAAGCACAAGATGGTTGAAATTTCTTCGTTTACAGTGGTATCTTCAAGTGAAAGGGGAAGGAACGAGATTGTTTAGAGGCTCAGTTTTAAGATTAGTTTCTGTGTTTGCAAAAAAAAAAACATTGCTTTGATAACTTCTTTATATTTTCCACAACAAAACGCTTTGGAGTTTAAAACCGAGCGTTATCACCCAATTTACCTAATTTTGCTGTTGGGAAAGTTAGTACGCTTCATTCCAGTGAGAAGAAGCTTCAGAAGTTTACAAGACATGTTTTTTTCCTTCCAGATTCCGTAAAACAAAAATTATTATTTATTTATTACTAAAATAATTAATAGTAAATCTCAGGGGTGGGATTACTTGGCCGGCTTTCAAATACACAGGTGGACGACGTTAGCAGGTTGGCTACCTGTTTTCTTTGCTGCTAGTTGTGGCAGCCGAAGGATGTTTTGAGAGTGGTTTGTGTTGAAAACCTGTAGTTGTGAATTCAAGAATAAAAGAAATTTAATTTTTAACATATTGATGAGCTAAAACAAAACCTAATTTTCTAAAATTATATATCTCCAGGAACAGGCAAAAAAGATGGACGTTTTCGCATCTGACTGGCAACGCGGTAAATGTGGGGGTTTAAATGTGGTTAATGCTTTGCTTGCATTATGGTAAACCGCTTAAAATTATTATATGTATTTTTTCATGATTCTTTAATTTTATTTTTTAAAAATTCGTTTTTGATGTATTTATTTAAGCGATACTGCTTTCACAATTTAATGTTCTTTTTGGTTGAGGACAGAAACGTCACTTTTAAAAATCTTTGAACTTTTTCACATCTTCAGTATATTGGTGCATTTATTACAGTAGTTTCACTCTTAACATGTTTAAAGCAGTCACCCACACTTCGAGAGAATGCATCCTACGATATCTGAAATGCTGTACTCTGTAGAATCTAAGAACATTATCTTAACCAAAATATTTTTTAAAATATTTTTTCAAATGGTTTTATTGTGTGTGTTTATAAAATTAGATGATGAGGAAACGTTTGATTTACTGGAAAACGCATCTGGTAAGCTTATGGTAAGTAGTGCAAAATACAAATTCTTATTTGCCAACCTAGGTGTTCTAGCGTAATTCGGTCAATGCTGATACTGTACAAGAAAGTTATTTTTTTCCATTTATTGGTTTGGGACATTTCAGTCACCTTAAGCACAAGACACGAATGTTTCTTTGTATTGCAAATTAACTTTGAATTTCTTTGAACTGTCACGTTAGATGCCAGTGAAAACACAATAGTGCAGCAATATAGTTAGGAACTACTAGTCCTTATTCATCCTGGTTCAGGATGAACCTGGTTCAGTAAGGGACCTTGGAAATGTTCAAATTCCTGTTTTGTCAGCTCTGTTTCCTCTCATGTTGTCCAGCTCTACCTTCTCCTTCTAGATCTTCCTCTTTGTCATTTACACATTGGTTGTCATTTCGTCATCATCTTAGAGTTTGTGTTATCTGGTAATTGGCATACAGTAGGTGTTCCAAGCATCTCATCTGATGTTTGAGGATGACACACTGGCACATGCTTTGATCTCTGACTTCCTCACTTGTTGCATGATCTCACCACCTTATCTTCAATATACTACTCATGCCTCTGTGCCCAAAAGCATCACCTTAGTGTCCCTTTGGTTTAATGTCCTAGTTTCACATCTATACTTGAGCATAGTTAGCACAACTGCATTAAATATCTTGATGTTTGTGGGTAGTCATATATTTCTTTGAAACCAGACTTTCTATCTCAAGCTGAAGATTTTCAGTTTGTACTGTATGTTGATTTCTTTGGAACATTCTCCACTTCCTATCACTGTATGCCTGAAAAGAAGTAAATTGCTCTACTGTTTCAAAGTCACTGTAACTGGGAATTTAATTTGGCCGTTGCTGTTGTCACATCTGGCAGTGTTCATGATTATAGTTCATCATTGTTGAGTGTAGAGCCAACATGGACTTCTGTAGTATCCCAGCATCAAATGCAAATGATAAGATATTAAGTTCAATTCTGTCTCCAAACCAAATGTATTTTTCCTGGTTTAATGGCAGTTTTTAAACTTTTTTGTTTTCATAAACATTTTCTGAATTACTTTCTTCCTCTAAACTGTAATGTCTTCTTATTAGGAGGAAGAACTTGATGAAGAATGTTTTGAAGCAGATATTCTGTAAGTAAATGTTTTCTGTTGTCAGTTTAAGTTATGAAAATATGATGAAGAGGATGTTTTCCACTTCTTTGGAAATGTATTTAACCTCTTTGTATTGTTGCAGATACTCTGGTAAAGTGTCATTCAAAACCTTTTCATCAATGACACAAGAAGAGGTTAGTTGAATGATAACCATGATAATCAACCATATCTGTACGGTAGTTTCTGTGAAGTAGTTGCATGAAAGTGGGTGTGATGAGAAAAAACGGATGATCACATGGTACTTTATTTATTTATTATATTTGTTTCAGTTTTTATACATGAGTTGCTTGCTGAATGTCAATACAGTATTTTATAGTACTAAAAACATCTGTATGAAATACTACTATCCCATTACTTTAAGAGGAGTATGCTTTTCATACAAACTGTTAACTGATTGCTGCTTGTTAGTTAATTGTAGTGGGTCATCAAAATAATTGACTGTAATGCAGCCATGATTCTGATATCACTTAATTACAATCATTTCAAGCAGAATTCCAGGTGTTCAAATAAGGTTTTTGGAATCGCTCTAGTCCTGCTGTTTATTACACACATACTGTACACAACGTGAGACATAAAGGTCTGGCATTAATTTGTAGCATATTGAATATAAAAGCATACGTTAATGAAGAGACTGTTAATCTTTACAGAAGTATATTCAGAGATCAATATACTACATTTTCCAGCACTTTAGAGTGTACTGTACTACAACATTTTGTTAGTTTATTCATTTGCATATATATTTATATTTTTTATGATACACATTTTCATATAAATCTGTAATGTAAAGTTTTCTAAAAGTAAGATGTGGACACTGTAATATAATGCCTGCCCATGGACTTTTTACACTTTAACATCTTAGTTTCTCAATCTTTCATTTTTACTCAGCGTATACAGAAGAGATCGGAGAGATTTGGAGAAACCATTAGTGACCAAGCTAAGAAAGAAGCCAGAGCTGCAAGGTATGTAGAAACCTCCTTATCCACCATATTGTTACACTTGAAAAACATGCTCATTCAGGACCTTTAAAAAGAGATGCAGGTATTTCATGAGTCTGAAGAATCTGACAGAAATTTGCTTGTTGCTGTTTGTCAAGTACTAACAAAGGGTTCATACACATGGTACTTTATATGTCTGAAAATGAATTGACAGCACATACCGTATAGCTACTGTATAGGTGGAATATTTTTTTCAATGCAGCAAAATAACTAAACATTTCAGCCAATAACAAATCTGCAGTTGTCTGGACTTCCTTTTCTTCTTGTTTTGTTCCTATTTATTTCAGAATTTATATAAGAATTTATTTTAGACCTCTTTATTTCAGAAGCTACATGATCCTTTTTAATTGAACTCATAACTTGATTGGATCTTTTAAGCCTTTCTCTGCGCTCACACTTTAGTTTAAAAAATACTCTGCTGAACAGTAGGTGTGTTGTTACAAAGAAGTTATTTTATATTATAAGTTACAATTATTATTAATTTTCTTTATTTCTTTCTAACAAGTTCCTGACAGGTGGAGAGATAATGGAGTTTAGACATAAGTGAGAACAAAGTTATATTGGTTACTCCTTCCAAACAAAGACTGTTCTGCACAGGAACAGATACTGTGTTGCACACACCTGTATGAGGGGATTTGTGAATTGTGATTTGTGAGTTGATAGTAATTTCTCATTCAAATTGTATTTGTCCCTAAAAAATGTTCTTAACAGTAATAGACAGATGGGGTCAATCAGCCTTCTTGATTTACAATTTGGTTAATATGAAAAAAGGGATAGAGCCAAGGCCACTACTTTATACATGCAATGTTGTTGAGGTGCTTTTTCTGCTTCTGTTCTCTTTTCTCTCTCATCTGTGCATGCTTATCTCGCTCATTAAATTTTAAGTACAGGCCTTTTTATTTCAGATTTGGAATTCCAGTACATGGTAAGATTCTTTCGGTTACCTTCTGTACTGTTACAATGATGCATGTCAGTGGTCACTTTGAAAGAACAGAGGGAAGGCAGAGGTAATTTGTATATTGATCCATTGTCAGCCACATACATGGGTATGGGTCCACATTTACATTGACACACACATGCAAGTAAGCAAGTTAGAGACCCCCAACATTCCAGCCAGCATGTCTTTGGAAGGTAGAAACCTGGCACACCTGCAGAAAATCCACACAAACATGGAAACTCCATACAAAAGGTATCCAAATCTAACAATGAATCAAGGAACCAAGAACTGTAAGGCAGCAGTGCTGTCTTATAACCTACAACTTCTTATAGGTACAGGATATTTTCTCGGCATACTCAGTGCTTAATTTGTAATGACAGAGGAGCCAGCACTGAAGCAATTGATTAAAAAGTTTACAACTTGCTATGGTTGAATTTCTACACTACAAAGTAGTAGCTTGTTCAGTTAAATAAATTAAAAGAATCCAAAGGACCAGATAATGCCTGAATACATTCTAACTCCATCTCTAATTTCTCTTTTCTGACCTTCACTATGGCTTGCAATGAAGTTCTGCTGACTGCAGTCAGCATACAATCCGATAAAACGTGAACAATAGCTGAACTCCCCAGAGGTGCTGAAAGGCATCTCTTTCTCCTTTTCATTTTTTTTCTGAAAAAAAAAACCCTTCAGAAGTAAAGAATGAGGCCAAGAACTTCTGGCATTTATGAACAGGCAATCTCCAGTACAACACAGAAGCACAGAACATAATCACTATAGAAGCTTTAGTGTGATGGCTTCATGATTCAGTTATGAGTATATTGTTTTTGATGCAAAAGGTTGGAAATTAAAGACAACATTTAAGATGCATTTCTTGAAAGTTGTCTTTTATTGATCAGTTCATTTTATGCGAACATTTCTTTGAAGATGCAAAACTTTTGATTTAGTGCCAGAGTGTAAACCACATTGTTTTGTGTTAAAGTCAAATGGAAACATACAATTTAAAGGTAACTTTTCAATGTTATGTAAATCAAGTCAAGTAATTAATGTAAAACAACTGATTTTTTACTGTATATACCTGACTTGCATTATGTAAATTATATAAAGGTTAAGCATGCCCTGCTGTTATTCTCTAAACAAAAAAAAATCAAAACACCATATAAAGAAATTTCACTGGTAAATGTATTATTTCAAAATGTTTCACATATAAGTTTCCAGTATTCATTTCATTAATTTTTTTAGCTAAGCTTTAAGGTTGCAGTTGGTACTGTTGTTGCAACTGAAGCAGGTGATACTGTTTCATGTGCTTGTTGCCATTATTCTGTTTACGACTTTGAAGATTGTTTTTTTGAACTAAATTTTCTCATCATAATAATTATTCCTTTAGGTGCAATGAAAGAACATGAAAATCTGGTAAGTGTCTGTTACTCTTTCTAACATAACTGGTCATTTCTTTCACAGATACTGTATGAAAAAAAATTAAAAATATAATTGGTGTATGCATTGCAGAATGATGTATAATATAAGCTAATTTACCTAGTGAAACATGATTATGTAAAAGAAAGGAAATCATGTATTTTATTTCTGATCACCCTAAGGTTATGTTAGTAGCGTCTTGGATTATGACTGTGATTTTAAAAATGCTATTTGGATCTTTGGGTTTAGTAATTTAGAGCTTTTATGTAATTGTATGTGGAAAAGACATGTTTTATAAATGAATCCATCCCGATATTGTTCCATTCTAGAATGACCTTTTGATTTTGTGATTATACTAAATCAGTGTAATTACACTGGCACACAGCCTGATTTACAGTTCAGCTGTTGATTTTATCCAGAGGGACCTTGATTTGTACCCATTTATACAGCAGGGTACTTGAGCAGAGCAATCTAAAAGATGTACTGTACCTTGCTCAGGGGTACAACAGTAGGACTACTAAACCCTCAAGCTTCCACTTACAAATCCAACACCTGAAGATCTAACTTTACACTTTCTAATCAAAGCAAAGAAGCATGAAGGAAAATTATCTTTATATCCTGACAAATTACTGGCTATTTTAATTCTGTTGCCTTTATGAGTACACAACGTTAAAGAAAAAAGTGTTCTGCAACTACATACTTTAAGTCATTGTGAAATAACTTTCTCAGAATTACTTATTCCCATTACAGTCCCTGAAAGGGTTGCTGGCATTCTGTTTGTGGTTGGTTTTATCTAGGACCACTAATCACACAATTTATTTTTGAGAAGTGCTTATAGTTGAATTATTTTCTTTGGTGATTTGTCAGAACTATTTTTGTTTGATTTGCTGGAATTAATTATTTAGGCTTGGAAATGAAACAATGTGAAAAGCTACTTCTCTTTATTGTATTAAAAAATTTGGACATAAACAAAACTAGATATTCATATAGTTCAAGTAGGTAGCTGTGTCAGCATGCGTAGGCTACAAAGGAATAAGTAAAGGTTTATTCCATGCTGATAAGAGAAGAAAAGAAACAACAATCATTTTTTTCATTGGTGTGCCCAATCGCAGTTGTGAGGGATGAGATTTTTTTTTGGCATCAGATTCATGTCATTTGTCAGCTTTAGTGTAGCTGGAGCAAGATCTTAAAGAACTAAACAATGACCCATTTCAACAATTTACAGCATAATGATAAAATATCTCCTGTATTCAGTCAGTAACTTCCCATTTGCATTTTAGATTCATCAGGAAAAGTTACGGAAAAGAAAGGAAAGGTTTGGAGCTGTGATGGACACAACCATACTGCTTGATGATCAGGTACAGTGGGTCTTTTACATTTCTTAAAATAATCTGTTGGAAAGGCAAATAATATAACCTATCGAAATATAATCTCTTTTTTTCTATCATAGGCTAAAAAAAGGATGAGAGCTGAACGGTTTGGACTACAATTCAATAAATATTGATCAAGGAATATTTATATCAAATATATATCAAGGAATTTTTCCTGTTTATCTTCACTGTACCTCAAATATATTTCTAAGTTTGTTTTGAAATTTTGTTTGATATTAAGCAGTTTTTACTGGTCTACTTTTCTAAGGTTGAATGTGAAAAGTGCAGTTATGTGAAGCATTTTTTCAAAATGTTCAGTTTTTATTAACCATAATGTGTTTCTTATTATCCAAGCGAGTCCTTTGTAAATAACGCTGTTGGTTGCATAAACAATAACTTGTTGTGCCAGCTGTGATTTGATTTGAAGTTTTTCTCTTCTGTTTAATAGCTTTTCTTGTTGACTTTGATTTAAAATGAAAATGAGAAAGAACTGACCTCTCAACAGAAGCCAATGAACCACAAAATTGAATTCAGTGTGGCTGTAAATTTCTTTACCAAATAAAATCATCACCTTTATTCCACGTTTGTGACTGAAGCTTGTAAATTCACATACACTGAGATTTGAGGTTTTCAAGAGAAAGCAAAGTCACAGTAAGGGACTTCCAATTACCTGCTGAAAATAGATTCCAGATGTAAAAGAAATTTAAAAGTGCTTGCCCTCTAGGTACAAGGAATACATGTTTGTGCAATAGTTTATCAATTTATCATATATAAAATATTTTAGGGAAAGCATAGAGGGGGAAGTACATTTTCATTTAAAAATGTGAAAATGAAGACCTGCAATTTGGTGTCTATTACTGGTATGTAAATACTGTAAATGTTAGTTAATTATGTTAATTCATACTAAATAAGACATGGTGCATAAAATGAATTCTTGATCTTAATGGAGCTTCTGTTTGGACAAAAAGATGAAACAGAAAATATTCAAGGTGGCTGACCAGAGCAATTGGTGGAATAACAACAATTTTAAAGGATGGATATTCAGAATTAATTCTGGCAGAGGATTTTTTTCCACAATGAGAGATTGCAATTTGGCAGTGTGTGCCACAGTACCCTAGAAATACCAACCCAGTCAACAGGAAAAGTTTAATACCTGGGTTTGAGGGGAAGCCTGATTGGGTCTGAAAAGACCTCTAATCAAAGCCAAGAAATATTTGTTCCAAAATCAACATTATGTAATTGGAGTTACAACTGTTTTTCCTGCTGTGTAATTTTGTACACAAGAAACTCATGGACCAAAATGTGCTGGATTTAAAACATTAATCACAGATCAGGCATTTGCTTAAAGTTCCAATGTACACAAATATCCCCCACATATAACTAGTATGTTACCATTATTTTTCCTATTTTGTTTTTTGTGTAAAAAATATTTGTTTATTTCTTTTGCAGAATTTTTCTAAAAGATTCAGCTGTTAATTTGTTACTTTTAAAATACATTGGTCCACTTGCAATGTGGTGTTGGCAGGGTGGAAAGTTCTCCTTGCACAAATTTGTCCATTTTGACCCGGAACAGATTACTAGCCTGCTACCAGATGCCATTGCCCTATTCTTTTTAAAGCACAGAATTACATGTCACGAAGCTGATAAAAATGTATATCTGAAGAAATTTCTCTTTTTAAACTTTACTTTGAATATAATGGTATAAACTGATGGTAAATAATAGCATGTCTGGAGTGTTAAAATGTGATGCCAAGAAAAAACGCGGCAATGCATAAAAATGTTTATAGAAAACACTTCCTCTGCACTGCCGTGGTGTCTTCTTGGTATCACATTTTAACACTGCAGGCTAGAATTACTGGAGAGGACCTGCAAAAATATTGTTCATAAGCACCTTGGTAATCTATAATAAAGATAAAAAACAGGGGATAATTTATACAGTAAATCAACAGATTGTAACTTACTGTTTGCTTGATTAAGTGGGAATTTTTTATATAAAAAAATTATGGACATACTTGTGTGGACATACTGTACGCGATAAATTGACATCGAGAACAAGGATTAGTGTGTAAGGGTACTCTATGGATAATGTCCATAGAGGATTATTTGCTGTAACCTATTTGCAATAACCTGGAAAACCAGGTTTTTGGTTCAGTCCTTGATGTGTTAAAATCATACTGCATTTCTTGCAGGCTTCCTGTTTTGTAGAAATTGCAAGCAGGTGGGGAAAAGAAAGAACTTACTCCAAAAATAAGGTGCTCATACCTGAAGAAGGCTCCACGGCCGAAACTTTGTTTTCTTTCTTCTCTTTTCAGCATGGAATAAACCTTTTACTTGTTCCTTTACTCCAAAAAATGACTATTTTGGGTTTGTTCCATAAAATGCATGAATGTGAAGTAAAACAAAATTTGATAATTCCGTAAATATTTTGACTTGTGTAAAATGTCTTCAATAATTGCTTTTTTAGTAGGATGCTTGTTGTAACCCCTCCCCTGTTGATAACTAATGACAAAAGAAATGTAAGACCAACATTTGTAAAAAAACAAAACAAAATGTAGTTCTTGGACTTTCACCACACATTTTAGAAAATGTCAAAATGCATGAGTTTCAAAAACTCCTAATTACTCTAGTTCCCACTAGTCATGGCGCCTCTGACAATAATGTAATGAGCCATAATTTACAGATCTGACAAGAAGTGGAGTTAGTCCTCAGATATGATGTTTGAATTTAGTTTAATTACCCTAATTAATGACCTTGCTTGGCCATACTTTTACCCTTTAGCTTGTACTGAGCAATTACTTCATTCCACTAAACTGAAAAACCCAAGACACATGCTCTGCATTAATTGTCACTGGTGTGAAACATGTTAAATTTCTGCTCATTTAACCTGCAGAAGCCTTTGAAACAAAGCTCTGTTTCCCCTGCCCAGAATTATCAAGCTCAGAAGCAAAGTGCTTAGCGCTCTAAAAGCCATACTAACAGAGCATTTTGCAGATTGCAGCTACAATTAAAAGTAATTGTTTCCATCTCCCGGACAGGGCAGTTGCCTTCTTTGAAGTGCAAGATTTGCTTTCAGAAAGGAAATTACACGGGGTGTTGAATAGGTGGTGACAAGTAAATCATTAAGCCACTTAATGGATATTTAAGTATTTCTAATAATTCTATTCCAGGGTCTTGCTATAATGAACATATCTCTACCATAAACCTCTTCCTGTACCTTCAGTAGCAAAGTTTGACTACTAATCATTTATAGGTATGAACATAAGTTTTGGATATAATGCAGCCTAAAATTGATGCACAGATTATGCTTAGTTATTACTAACGTTTTTCATTGAAGATGTATGGTTCGGTTGATGCAGTGTGCAGAGCTTTTGAAATCATCCCTGATAGGTGTGTAAATATATAATGAATAAGTAATGGAGACCTGAGGGAAATCTGTTTTTGGTTAGCTGAGTCTAGCAGTCAAGCCAAAGATTTTAGTTAAGTAAGCAGAGGAGAGAGCTAGAAGAGGCTGGTATTTCAAAAGTGGTCCCTGGAGTGACTGTTTTTAGCCCATGTAAGGCTGATTGTTTTCCCAGGGTGATGGGTGATGGGGATGAGTGAAGTCTGCTGCTGAGATGGCATGTGAGAAGCAATGCCAATGAGGTGATGTCACACTGAGGTGGGCAGCAATCGTTTTATATTTCTGCCTGAATAAAATGCAAAATATACAGGCGGCAATGAAGTCAAGAAAATAAAATCACTGTTGGGTTTTGTCACTTTTGGCTGAACCATAAGAGTGTAGCTCCAGTAATTTATAGTAGCTCAAGCTTGAAATTGAATTATGTTATTCCTCTAAGGCAGTGTATTTTATTAAACATTTTTGTATGAATTGCTTTAAATGATGTGGATATTGTGTCTTATGTGTAGTCTCCACTGTCTTTTCTTTAAACAGAAGATGAGTATTGGTGGATGTCTTTTGTGGTCATTGGAGTGACCATCTTGATGTGGCCAAATCCTTTCCATCAAGTGTTTTAAATGAAGTTTTGTCCAAGAAAAACTAGGCATCTTGCTGTCAAGGACTGTCAAGTCCATCCATCCCTCAGAAAACTGCTTAATTCTGATCAAGTTCACTGAAAGAATCAAAATAACTTTGACATTTTAATATTTGGTTTTGAGTCAAGATGTAGGTATACTGTAGTCTTCATTCATGTGCAGTATATAGAGACGAGCTAGGGATCACATTTGAATGGAACATCACAGACTTAATATCAGTCCTCTTCGCTTGACAAATCCAGATTATATCTTGGACTTGAATATACAGTACCAACAAATAACACGCATATCTATAAACAACATACAGTATATTAAGTGTTTCGTATTGCAGTATCAATGGACGACCAATGATATTGATGGAAATCAGTCATGGTTTGTGCTTGAATGAGCATGCAGAGAAAAACAGAACTCCAAGTCATCCAGGACAGTAACCTCACTGGTAGTATAAGTGTTCAGGTCTTCTGTGAACCTTATGGTGATGTGTTTGGCCCAGAGCTCATTGTAGTCGAATGTTTTTCCCACCCACATTGAGTGCTATCCCCTCAGTGCCTATCTTTAACAGGAAAAATTGGAAAAAGCGTGCAGTCAGCAAAATTCCCTGATCAGTGCTTTGTTTTCTACATTTAGAACATGGAGGGTATTAATGATCTATGAACCCAACACACACTGTGACAGGCAATCCGGGCCACCCTTATGGACAAATGGACCTAGAATTCAAGCAATGTGTTTCACAGATGGTTATTGAAATGTGAAAGTGTAATTATAGTTCTTTTGGTTTCTTGTGGCACATACACGTGATCTTGTGCAAACTAAATCTTTAAGAACATGACTCAGTTTTCTTGTTTTAAAGCAAGGGCAGTTTTCTGCAATCGGTGTCTGTATCTTATATACCTTCTTTTGGTTATCCTGAATAACTCCAGTCCTGGAGTCATAGCCCAGCAGGTTTTGTAGGTTTCTTAAAAACATTAAAAAAAACTGAAAAGTGTTGAAAGGTTTCTCCAATTAAGCCCACAATAAGTTAATTTGAGGTATTTAAAACATGAAATGGAAGACAAAACTGCAGAGATAGTGGCCTTGTGTGGACTGGAGTTAGACATCTCTGCTACACTTCTGCTAGGGTAGCATTGTGGAGCAGTGGTTGAGGTTCTTGAGGTTGAGGTTCTTCAGGTTGGTTGAGGTTCTTGAGTAAGAAGATTGTGGACATCATCCAAAATTGCTCCGGTAAAATACCCAAAAACTGTATATAATAATGTACAAATATGAGCTTCTCTCGGTAGTAGAATCTACCAAAAAATTAGTATATCTACTAAAACTATACATATATATATATTAAAACAATCATCTGTTCAATAACTAGGAAGATGTCCAATTTTTCTGCTAATGAAATTTGAGGTTTTGCAAAATAATTGTGAAAGTTTGAAAGTGCGTTTTTGAGTGAGGAAGAAAAATAAATAGGCTATGGGTTTTATGTCAGACAGTTATTACCAGCTAAGCATCAATTTGTAACATACAAAAAATTGACTTCATCATTCTCTTTTATACACTATAC